CTCATTTGTGTTGAGTGCCTTGGCACCGGGTGCAGAAAATCCAGCCTGGATATGTTTGTTGCTGAACTGAGAACCTGCAGGCACAGGGTAAGACTTTGACTCCTCGTCTCCGGGCTTCGACTTTGTGCGGCCAATATGAATGACAAGGCGATGAATGCAGTTGCGGCCATTGATGTCGTCTGGTTCATCGAGGCTCTTGAGGTTAGAGAGTAGGAAGGCGATAGATGCTTTCGCTCGTGCAGAGATGGATCGCTGCAGGAGGTTCAAGAGGAGTGGCTTGGATCCGTCTTCAGAGACATTGCTTTCCTTGAGGCCAGCCTCAAGTGCTGCAACATCATCATTTCGGACCGCCTGATCGAGCACGTCAAGCTGTGCCTGTGGCAGGTTTAGCAGTCCTTTGGTTGATGCGCGACCCAGAGAGCGAGTTGAGTGGTCAGACATGGCATCGTCAAAAGTCTGGGCCTCGGCCAAAACAGACATCCACTTGTTGATTTCAGTCAAGAGCCTCGCCGTGTTTGCCTCCTTGGCAAAAGGCTTTGGATCAACCTTGGTTGAAATGTAAGGATGCTGTGTTACAAGGTCCGGGACCTTCTTGTCAAGCTTCTTTGTGATCTTGACAAAGCCTCTGCGGTTAATCTCACCAAACCACTGCAAGTTGCGCAGCTGGCTTCTCAGCTCGAGGAGGGCGCCCATAACTTCCTCAACCTCATCCTGGTCGAGAGTAGAGACGACATCGGGGGTGCGGCCATAGCGGTTGTAGAGGAGGTTCAGTCGGCGGCAGGACTCAGCGAGTTTCTTGTTGTAGAAAAAGTCGACATCTTCGAGGTTTCGGTCAAGGGCGAAAAAGAATTCTGCATGGGGAGTTAGGGGAGAGGCTCAGGGAGCGACACAAAGAGAGTCGTCAAAGCCGCCCACCTGCAGGGTCCACCTTTTCTCCATTCCTGGCCTTTTCTGCTGCAGCCTTTACCAGTTTCTTGAGGCCCTTGTAGTTGATGTACGAGGACGCCCATTCGGGGACCTGATTGCGCGGTAGGCTGCGCAAGGTGAGTGGTGAGTGAGCTGAGCTGAACTGCGGCGCTGATTCGCTGGCTGATATGGAGGACTCACTTTCTGCCAAACTTCATGCTGCAGAGGTTGGTTGGGGTTCTCTTTCGCGTCGAGACTCAAACCTGCGCCAGAGAGTGAGAGAAGAAATTGAAAGGTTTTGCGACCGGGAGCAATGAGTCGCGCGTCAGTTGGAAGGCGAAGACGACTGTGATAAGAGTCCCGGCGAGTCGCCCCCAGGGTAGTCCGGCTGGGACAATGGAAGTTCCCAGACGAAGCTCGTGCTTCAAAACAGCTCGCCAATGGACAAATGTCTTTGTAATGCTGAACTCAACCGTCGCAGTGCCGCGCAGTACAATGATGTCAAGCCAACGCCCGGTACTGTAGTGATCAGGAATATCCGGTGGCTTCGATAAGAGAGGATGGAGCTTGTGACGTATAATCCATCGGCGTACGGCAACAGTCTTTGCCCTTGATCTCACGACACAGGGACAATGTAAGATGGAGGAGGAAAGAGGAGAGACAAGCCCGGGATCCAGACAGATTTTGTTAAGCCGACATTGCCTTGGAGAAAACAAAACAATTCGTGGGTTGGATTGTGAAAATGGGAACAGCTGGAGCCCTTTCCACTTGTTTGGGATGAACTCCATGTGGGGGAAGTACTGGACTCCATCCTCCAGGCCCCAGGGCTCGCTCACGGCGGTACCTTTTCCACTGAGATGCGCTGGAACAGGGACAAACTCTGGAAGGGTGAAGGGGGGGTGTGCCCCTAGCTCCACTGGAGTCAAGCCTGTCAATCCAATTGGCCCCGTGGACCCTCCATGCCTCGTGACTGGATGACGGCGAGTCGAGGAGCATCCACTCGACTCCTAGCCCAGGGCGCATCGTGACCCTTGGAGGGTCCATATCTTCAGCCGAGAACCTGTCAGAGAGGGAGGTTGGGACCTGCGATACAGTGCTAGCTGACGAGGAAACTTACTATAGAAACTATGCCCCCGTGAGACTGCAGACCGCCATGTTCAGAGAGCCCTTTGTCGTGTCAATTCCACTGTGCCGTACCATGATTGCTCATGACCCTGGACGCTGGTGGCGGCCAGGGCGGCGCCTCCGGCTGCGGGGGACCATCTAGGTAATCAAAGGATCTGCTCGTGGTAGGCGCAGGTGCCGAGGTAATCAACTTGAGGGTCTCGCAAAGCAATGCGAGTTGAGCTGGTTGGGTCCTGTAGGTGTTGATACAAGAAAAGTCATTCATATGTATGCTGGGCAACGTCTACCCGGCCACGTGTAGCTAAGTTTACATCCAATGCGGCTCAAATGCCATATCAACCTCCTTCATCAATGTACAAACAAGAGGGGTCACCCATCTCCGTCTTTACTCCGCTCAGACCAATCCCGCCCACTGCCCCTGCTCTAGATATGCCGGTCGCTGATCCGGTACTGGCCATGTGATCAGCCTCCTTGGCCTCGCCTTCAAATGTGATGGCCTAGACTGTCCAGACGTTCTGCTTATCCGCCCAGCCGACAATCCCGACATTGCTATCGGTTCTGGAAGAACGACGGCCGTCTTCTGATCGTTAATCCATGCCTTGGCCTGGCTTGTAGCCTGGTTTTTCCTTGACTTTATCTGCTTCTTGACTGCCTCATCACCCCTGTTGTTTCTCGGGAAATTCTCGCACCTCATCAGCGCCACCAGCACATGCCTCGAGATCGAGAGTTGTGACAGAAAACCAATCAGCTCCTGATTGAGCTTCATTGTCTGCTTGGTTGTCGTGTCTCCAATGTACCGAGCCATTGACATGCGGAATTGGGGGTTGAAATCTGGATAGAGGAGTTTACTCTCAATAGAGCGCGTTGTCCTTTCCACAAAAGCCACCTCCTTCCAGAGAGCCTCAATCTGTAGTAACCTGCTCTCTGAAGAGTGGACGAGCTGAGTTGTTGAGTTCTGCAGCTGAAGTTGTGAAGTAGAGTCGACCGCCGCTAGAGCGTCCAGGAACCGGCGGAATCCTTGAGTTGAGATGGACAGGTTATCGAGAGTTGACTCAAGCACTTGACCGCCAGAAGTTCTCAGACCAACAAGGTCAAGGAGGACATGTAGCCGGCTGATGAGATAGGTAGTGCTCTCGTTTCGATACATCAGCATGGGTTGCCATGTATTTGGGCAATTCGTGAAGCCCTGAATCAGACGCACAGCAGCCTTCCAGTCAAGAGCGAGGATGCACTCGTCAAACAACTGCTTGATCGTGTTCGTGCCAAGCACAACGTTGGCCTTCATGCATGACACGAAGAAGAGTGCAGCCTGGTCAAATAACCTGAAATGAAGAAGACCATCAATCACTGCCTCGATAATAGGCTTGGTAAGAGGTGCGTGCTCCCAGATCCAATCGCCGGTTTGAGTAGATGTCTTGTTACTCATTCTTTTCGCCTTGGGTGGGGCAATGTCAGTGACATGTCTGCGAGCCAGCTTGGCTCCCGTTTCTGCATCAAGGCCAGTAAGGCACGCAAGAGCGCGAAGGAACCTTCCATGGTTCTGGGAGTTCTTGTAGTGATTCAAGATTGCCACGAAAGTTGATGGCGTTGGCTGGACGCGTCGGTAGTAGAAGAATGAGTTGACCAGGGCCTCGGAAATGTATTTGTACCCTTGCTTGTCAAAGGCAACAATCAAGGTGTTGAAGGTGTGCATATCAGCTGGGTACGCCGACACAAGCAAATTGTAGCACACCCTGCCAACCTTTTCCTTTAACCTGAGGTTGGGAGAATTGACCACTTCTCTGAGTCGTCGGTTCAGTGTGATTCGGTTTTTTCTGGCTCTGGCGGGGTCGATCGAGTCGAAAGTATAAGAGACACCCTCGTTCAACAGATCGCGAGCCTCATAGTAGCTGGGACTGGAGGATGTCGATTTGTCGTGAGCAGCAGCGCGGTCCAGGAGTTGTGTGACAAGATGAACAATTGTCCGAGAGTCGTTGTGAAGATGTTTCTGGTTTAATGGAGTTCGGTGAGGGAGAGATTGATCAATCTCTTCGTCCTTTATAGCTTGCTCAAGGCGTTCATAGTCTGTCTGCCTCAGAGCAAGCATTGTTGCTTCATCTGGGCATTGATAATAGTCGGCTTGCAGGCGGTTCAAAAACTCGGAAACGCGTATGGTAACAGGCTTGTCGATCTCCTTCATATACGGTCGGTTCGTGTAGATATCCTTGAGAGATTGCCACAGAACTTCCATCTGGCTGGCGCTCAGTTCATCGTTTTCGACAATGTTGGTTGTAATCCGTTTCGTCTCGAGGGTTCGGAGCATCTGAAGCTCTGCCAATTCTCGCCGCGTCTCCTCCAATTGGCGATCCAAGTCTTGCCTGCGGTCCTCCTTCTTCACGGCATCCACAACAGCTGCGGTGGCAAACATGGAGCTGTAGCATGCTGTAAAGACATCGGCAAATGTGACTTTGCGTGGTCGAGAGGCAGTCGTCACCCGTCGACCGAGGGCGCTGACGGCGGTTTCGCAGACCCGGCATCCGCAGCGGTGAGCCTGGCCGGCTCTCGACCATAGAGTCTGCATGATGGCAATGTGATTTTCGGTCAAGACATCGCTTGAAGGCGATGGATGCGTAGGCTGACGGCAATCGTTCAATTGAGGTGTTTCGCGGATCCGGAAGCAAGAAATTGGCCAGTTACGGATGGTTCGATTATCCAGGTCACGTGCTAGTCCCGACGGCCCTCCTACTGCTATTCGCACACCCCACCACCCCACCTTCGTCGCTTGGAACCTGACGCAGCTGGATTTTGTTCTGTGCTCAACACACTCTACGATATTCCATCTTGCTACTTAGTTCATTTCTGTTTTTTATTGTTACTGATCTGCTCATACCTATCTCAACATGTTCGCTCTCTATCTCACCGCCGAGTTGCAAGGGTACGCCAGACAAGCTTGTGGACGCAAACCAACTGAGCTTTGCTGATGAGGGGCAATGACAGGGTTACCAACTTGCGCCCTGACGACACTCAAGACAACCCTTTCTGGTACATGTTCAAGGTTCAGTGTACCTCTTGCCGTGAGGTCCACGCAAACCATGTTGGCGTGAACCGATTTGTATGTCTTGACTCGTCCTAGCTTCTTGGGTAGCTGCTCATCATCCCTAGGAAACCAATGAGATGAGTGGAAGCAGGGGAGAGGCCAACTTTGTTTGGAAGTGCAAAAACTGCAAGGTGATTGCTTTCATATACTATTCTTTCCCCTAATACTAACATGATTCTAGCGAGAGTCGTCGGCATCTATCAAGGCTGCACCAGCTCCCTACGAACAGGGTGAGCCGGCGAAGGCTCAGAAGATCATCGAGTTTGACTGCCGAGGACTCGAATTCACCGAATTCAAGGCCGAGGTGAGTAAACACTCAGCCCTCTCATATTTTGATGTCAACTAATATGGTCTGCAGGGCGAGTGGCTGGCAGATGGTGCCGAAACCAACACCAAGTTCAACGACATTGACTTGGCAGATGGTGAGTGGTTCGACTATGACGAAAAGGCGAACGAAGAGGTCAGCATCAACGAGATTAAGTGGGAAATTCGTCGTGCCTAAAGTTACATGTCGCTTCTGAGTAGTTGAGTTGGCGTAGGGGTTGATGTTTTTGGGTGAGGCTGTGGTTTGGGGTGTTGAACAAGCAGGCGAAGACCTCGTTGGGGACGGAGTTTTGAACAGAGTCACAAGAAAAAAATGCAGCCGAATTTATGGCTCTTGAAATGAGTCAACACTAAATGAGAAGCCACACTTGAGAGTCCTGTAAGTGTGAAGTTGGTTTAAAGTATCATGTTCCTTGTCTGATGAAGTTTGTGGTTGTGTGCAAGGGAGGGAGAGCCAATGGGGTTGGGTTATCTTAGAAGACCCACTTTCTAAATCGGATCGCCTTCACGTCAAAGCGTGTGTGTCCGTAAAGGTTCTGCTGAAGCAGCGACAACTTCAGACTTCAACTGCAACATTCAAAGACTCATTCTCCGAGAGAGTATACAATTCTCAGCCTCCAGAAACAATGGCTCTTTCTGAGCTTCCAGGGACGGTCGACTTCCTCACCGATGCAGCACACCTCCTCCGCATGACAGCTCCAGAAACCTCGGCGCACCTCATGAGCGTTCGCGGTCAGCTCCTCTTCCAGCAAGGGATCCCGCCATCCGACATTCAGCGCCAACATGTATGTGGCAGATGTGGTCTAATCATGATCCCAGGCCAGGGAGTCACTCTGAAGATTGACGCGCGAAAAGCCATTCGAAGAAAGGCCGAGGGCGCAAAGTCAACCAAATCAACCCCTGAAGTCTCCCAGCCTTCAGGCCCTTGCAAGGCTTTTCACTGCAACAGCTGCCAACAGGACACAAAGATATCGCTTCCACCTCCTGGACCTGCCACACGACGCAAGGCTACGATCCAATCCAAGATCAAGAAGGCTGTTGCTCCTGAGCCACTTAAGCCAACTGCAAATGCCAGCAGCAAGAAGAGGGCCAAGAATCGAAAGGCAGGGCTACAGGCGCTTCTTTCAGGACAAAAACAGCAAACAGCCAACCCACTCAGTCTCTCTCATTTCATGAAATGATCATGTTGTTCATCAACCAGACAGAGCCCGTGATAACAAGTCGCCACGGATGAATCTAGGCCCGCCTCGCTCAGTCAGGCCGCGACGCAGAGCATCCCGAAGATTCTAGCGCCCCACCCGCTGTGGCTTGTGCATTTCAGTTGCCCCTCCAAAAATTTCATGAACCCCTCCATCGGATCAGGACCCAACACGCTTTTGCAAAAGAGTCACGATTCGAGCCGAACAAAAATGACGACCGACGACGTGAACAAGCAAACTCCTCAGGAGTTCTTTGAGACCATCGGTAACAAGGTCAAGAACCTTGCGCCTACTGCCGATGGCGAACAAAGTGACGACGACGAGCGGGCTGTTGAAGAAATCGAGTCGCTGTGCATGAACTGCGGCAAGAATGTGAGTCGAATTGTCTTGAGTCTCGCGCAAACATCAGACACTAATACATGCTTCTAGGGCATGACCCGAATGCTCCTTACCGCGATCCCCTACTTCCGCGAAATTGTCATCATGTCCTTTTCCTGCGAACACTGCAACTTCCAGAACAACGAGATCCAGGCTGCTGGAACCGTCCAGCCCAAGGGCACACACTACGAGCTGCGCTTGACTACCCTCGCCGACTTTGGGCGACAGGTTGTCAAGTCGGATACTGCCACCGTCAAGTTTATCGAGCTGGATCTCGAGATTCCCGCTGGTCGCGGCCAGCTGACAAATGTCGAGGGTCTCTTGACGACTGTCATTGATGATCTCGAGCTGGGACAAGAGGCGCGAAAGGAGCAGGCTCCCGAGGTGCACATCAAGGTCGCCGAGATCATCGCCAAGGGCCGTGCCATGCTGCTTGGCGACTCCTTCCCCTTCCGTGTCTGGGTCGACGACCCTGCTGGAAACTCTTTCATTGCTCCCGACCTGAAGGACGGCGTGGGCAAGTGGGAGAAGCACGAGTATGCCCGAACTCCCGAGCAGAACGCTGAATTGGGTCTCTCGGGCTCCGACCCCAGCGCCGGCCAGGAGCAACAAACCCCTGGCTTGACTGCTGATGGCGAAATCATCCCCAACGAGGTCTACAGCTTCCCTGCCACATGCCCCGGCTGCATGCACCCTTGCACTACACACATGAAGATGGTTGACATCCCCCACTTTAAGCAAGTTGTTCTCATGTCGACCGTGTGCGATGACTGCGGTTACCGATCCAACGATGTCAAGACTGGTGGAGAGATCCCTGAGCTGGGTGAGAAGATCATTCTCGATGTCAAGGATAGTACCGATCTTGGCCGTGATATTCTCAAGAGTGAGACGTGTGCGCTTGAGTGCCCCGAGCTCAAGCTGCAGGTCAACCCCGGTACTCTTGGTGGTCGCTTCACCACCGTCGAGGGTCTCCTGACTCAGGTCCGAAACGACCTCCACTCGCAGATCTTTGAGGCCGACGGCTCTGGCCAGGGCGGCGACTCTCTGGCTGCTAATGAGAAGAGCCAGTGGGACGAGTTCTTTGACGGCCTCGATACCGCGATCCGGGGCGACAAGCCCTTCACCATCATCCTTACCGATCCCTTCGCCAGCAGCTATGTCCAGCCCTTGGTTGACCCGCCAAAGCCTGACCCCAGCATCCACCGTGAGAGCTACACCCGTACAGACGAGGAGGAGGAGGAGCTTGGTCTCAAGGATATGAAGCTAGAGAACTATGGTGAGAAGGAGGAGAAGGAGGGAGATAAGAAGGAGGAGGAGGCAAAGAAGGAGACGGAGCAAAGGTAGCAGTGGGCAAAAAGTTCCCAATTTCAGAGATTCCAGAGTATAGACGACGCAATGAGTAAAAGTTTAACGAGTTAATCCACTGATACCGACTTTGCTTATTGTGACCCGACGGCTGCCTAAGCAAACCTGACTGATGAGGCCAGACAGAATGACGGCAAACCAAGACAGATGCACATCACTTGGTATTATGATAGATGCATGTACTTGTTACGTGATGTGTATTCCCGCGCACTTGACTTGATTGTCTTGAGAGAGTACCTAGGGTTATTAAAGGTCACCTGGCTGAACCCTATCCCACCAACCTACATAATTTTGTAGCATGTGTATAAAGCCTCGCAACTTGGAAACCGTGCCTAGTTAACCCAATAGTTGGTAAGAAAGGTGTCCTCGGCGAAATCTCTTCATCATCGAAGCCATTCTACTGAATATCAGCTTGTTTAAGGCTTCCTAACTCACACTGATATAACCGAACCAATACTTGAGAGGTGAACAATCTTTGCTTCCTGCCAGTTGACCTTTGATCAGAACTTATGAAACCAAGAGAGCCTAGAATCAACCATGAGAACAAGACTTCTGACGCCTCTTGTCTAATACTATTGAGACAACTGGCTCTGAGATAGTTTGTGGTAAGTATGAAATAACTTATAATGGGGAAGCAATTCATGCTCACCATCCAGTCGGTATTGATTTCAGGAAATTTCTCACCATAGACAAAGGAGAAAGGGATCAATAGATTGCAACTAGAGTCTTGCGTGTTTTTGACGTGTCATCTAGTTAAGTCAAAGTTGATGCAGGCTACCGATGAAAAGTAAATATGAATTCAGTTCATTCAAAGTAAAAAGCTGATAGTTATATACAGTTATGGAGTGGCCAGCAAGAGATGTTCTCAAACAACGGTAGCCTGCTTATTCTTCATGAGTCCAAACATCTGAACAATCTCCACCCAGAAACCAACAGGAACCTCTTCAAACGAAGCCTCATAGGCGTCAATCTGAGGCTTCTCCCACACAAGGTCAGCCTCAGAGGCCTTGACAAACTTGGTCTTCTTGGTAAACTTCCAACCGAAAAAGGTAATGGGCGCAACCAACACCATGGTGTAGTATGTGAAGAAGCCATCAACAGTGAAGTTTCCTGGTAGAAAGACGGTGTAGCCGTACACGCAGACGACGCAGGTCAGGAAGATGGCCGAGATGTAGGATCCGTAGGGTTGGAACCAGCCACAGTACGGGAGGGTCTTGCGGTCGAGACCTTGAGCCTTGCAGGCGTTGTAGAAGAAGATGTAAGTGACTGAGATGACGATGTGGTCGATGATCTGGGCCGCAGTGATGATGTTTGTGAGCCAGGTTAGGACGACAGAAGAATCGTTCGAGACGGCCAGGAATGCCAAGAATGGGAAAAGCATGACGATTCCTAGACAGTAGATGGGCAGACCGAAAGATGTGCACTTGAGAAGGAATCTAGGGGCTTGGCCCTCAAGAGCCAAACCATAGAGACTTCGAGTGCCATAGTATGTCAGGGCGTTTCCAGCAGAGAAGATACTGGACACCAAGAGGGCGTTGGTGATGTGAGGTAAGACTCCAATGCCAAGGTTTCCCATGGCAATGACATAGGGAGAGGCAGCTCCAGTTCCAGCACCCTCACCAGTTCCGCTGACAATACCAACAAGCGTAGGGTCGTTATAAGGGAGAACAATACCAACGCAGAGGGCCGAGAGGATAAAGAAGATGCCAAACCGGACATAGGTGGTCTTGAAGGCGTTCTTGAGATATCGACGAGGCAGCTTGGCCTCTCCCGCAATCATGGACACATATTCAGGGCCCACAACGGTGAAAGCTGCGATCCAGAGAGAACCCAGAAAACCCTCGAAGCGTCCGAGGTCACCAGTGGTGATGTACTCGGCGAAAGCCCCTGGATTCTGCCAATATCTGAACCCATATGCATCTTTGGCTGGATTTCCTCCTACCATTGTGATGAATGTGAAAAAGAAGAGGATAAAGAAGAGGAGGACCTTTCCGAGGGAGAGCCAGAATTCAGCCTCGCCGAACCATTTAACGGCGCCTACGTTGATGACACTGTGATGAACAAGTTAGCACAAGATGACACGCCAGGAAGAGATTGAAAAGACTCACCCATAGAGTACGATGCAAGCAGCTACAACAGCAGCAACGGGTATATCATCTCTCCAGAATTTTAAGACGACATTGAGAGCCGAGATTTCAAAGGGGACAAGGAGGGCTTCGTAGAGGAAAAAGTTCCAGCCAACCATGAAACCAAACGACTCATCAACCCAACGACCAGCCATGCGGATAAAAGCGCCAGAAACTGGCATGAAAGTCGCCATCTCGGCCATGGAGTTGTTGACCAGGCCAACCATGCATGAATACAAGGTATAGGCCAGTAGTAGACTCGCAGGGCCGCCGTGGGCTAGACCTGTGCCGATGGAGACAAAGACGGCCGTGCCAATGGAGCCTCCGATGGCGATGAGTTGGATCTGGCGGTTACCGAGACGTCGGTGTAGCTGGCTCGTGTATGTGACACTGCCATTGAGAACGCTACCGCCGCCGGTTGTGGTCTGTGGTTCGAGCTTGGTGTCGGCGATGCTCGACGCGTCGACGGGGGGTTTCTCATCATAGGTGTCCATGATAGAGGGACGAGGGAGTTTGAGCAAAAGATGGGGAAAGAGAGAGGAGGGGAGTGATGATCAGCAAGAGAGAATAGTAAAACGGTCGGGGTACAGCTGGGTTTAAATGCCCATGACAAGACATGAGCCATCCCTCTAATCAGTACCAGGACAATGGACTAGACTGACTCGAAATCTCTCCTCCCCCGCAGATCCAAGCCTATCAACAAGTGTCTCCGCTTCCCCAGAGCCTGGGGTAAAAGAAGGTTGCACCAAACAGAGCCAAGGCCTAGACCCTGACCATCCATGATACCACAAGGATTTTTCTCCAGCCGGACTCGCCGTTTGGTTCTTTCTACTTATCCCCCCGCTTGTCCGAGGGCAGTGCACCTCTTTTCCCGCCTTCCCCGGATTAGATACGTTTACCGGATTCGCCCATCTCCAACGGTTCCCCCCCTGGGAGAGACAACGTCATGGTGGAGAGTTGGCTCATGCTTTCCATTATGCCTCAACAACAAGTCTAGAATGATACGACTAAGCTGTAACAGGGAATTTTGTCCCGTCTAGATCAGGGTTTATACCTTTTGCCAAGTCTCGACTGGTCTGTGTATATCACGCATCTTATGGTGTTGAGTCTGATAGCATAGGCCCGAGAGCATCCCAGTCTCCAAATCGCTACCTGACTGTACGAGAAGATTACACGTTTTCCTTGTTTATCATGCTAAACGAATGTATCATTAACGTATCTTTCCAAATCCACAGATAACAGTCTCAAACGGTGGGATAGGGGTATCACCACATTACGACTGTAACACTGCCCATTGGTTTTACATCCCAGCAGGACTCGCCATGGCGCCACAATATTGATTGAGGGGATACGGATGGAGAAGTCTAGCCAGGCTAGTTCCCTCCGTCTTTTCGTTTGGGTTCTCTGATCCTTCTCCAAGCCCTCCACATGATTCATGAGCTGAGCATGATGGCTGTCCCCCCTTGTTCGCGTGGCGTGCTTGGAGAAATGCAACTTCTCCAAGACGTCGATCAAGGGTCTTTTCCATGGCACTACAGTTGTTTAAACATATTGGTCTTGAGTGTAGAAACAATCAAGATTCTTAAGTGTGTTTGTGAATCGACTCAGGACATCAAGGTTGCAAAGCACCTCGATAAGAAGGAGAAGAAATTCCCGCCCCCTTTTCACTAGGGGACACCAATGCTTTTTGTCTCTCATCAAGCAAATTCCCTGTCTCATCATCATGAGCTGGTGAAGGGGTTCCGACAATGGAAGTTGGTCTGCCCTTCTCCTATTGGCTGCTCGGTGAGCACATCCGATCCCTGACGGTCAGAGACAAAGACGATTGGTTAGTTCCCGGTGAGGCTTCAAGGATAGCTTCGGGTCGGCTAACCGCTTTGGATCGAGTGTCGGATGAGAAGCCGACCCGGATGATTCTTGTTCTCGGAAATTCGATCGGTTTTTCTTCCAAGTCACGGCCTCGGGTCTTGAACTCGACCCGAAAGCCCTTTAAGAACGCTCGGTCGCCCACGTAATCGGGACGTCGGGTTGGAGGGAAGGATGGGCTTCCCGTAGGACATGACTATCTCCCTTTAGCCACTTTTCCTCCCAGGGAAACCTTTCGACAAATCTTGCATGCACTTTTCAAAAGCAGGAGCGATATTCGGAGCCTTTGATAAAGGTACACGATCGATATGAGGGGTGTTGCGAAGCAGTGGTGGAAGAGTGACAAGAGTTGGATAGAGATATCAATACTATTATGATTCTTTCTTCACTGCTGGGTTGAACGATACTACGATTTTTGCCTTGTGATGCTGAGTTCAAACAACACTTTCTCACAAAGAAGGAGCCCAGGTCGAGGGATCATTGTCTTGGAGACAGACGCACAAAGTGGCTGCATATCATGGCGCGTGACAGGACATGATACCGTTGATAAGCGTGGGGGAGGGATCAACGATGAACCAAAGACGGCAAGGTATGGTGACCTGCAATAGATCTAGATTACGCAAGTTAATCAAGTCGGATGCCCAGCCCAGGACGTGTGAGTATCTGTTCCTCGCACCTGGACTCTGCCACTGATTGTTCAACTCCTCCCTCGTAGAGATGAGATTCTGTCAAGGCGCAAAGAACACAGCTTTCAATGCAATGACGGTACTCAACCCCAATTTTGTGAAAGCTCGTAACCTAGATTTGGACTACTCTCTTGGACATCAAGTTGACAATCAACATCCCCCCTCCAACTGCTCCAAACTATACCATACATAGCAAGCACCATATCAAATGCCGTAGACTGATGCCCCAATGATAGTCTCTGTAGGGGATCTAGACTGCGGGAACTATATCCGAACTCCACCCCTTATCGAGGAAAACATTGCCCAACTTGATCAAGCTGGCGAATAGAAGACACCTACACCCCAGACGTGGCCAGGAACCAGGCCTCTAGCTTATGCTCCCCGTGCTCTGTCACTCTCCTTTTGGGAAACGCTCCTGCATCAGTATCTAGACCCCCAGAGGTGGTCACTTGACTGTTGGTTGGTGATCTAGTCATGATACCTCCCGAAGCGACACACTCTCAGTCCCCTTTTCCGTGGAAAGCCACTTCGCTCTAACCCGTGAATGTTGATCTTGGCTGTTGGTCACGCTCACGACGCCTACGTCCGAAGTTCGGACGTGAATCTGCCTCTTGGCAGATCATCTATAGATATAAAGATGTCCTTCCTCCATCCCCAGGTTTTGTTATCTTGATCATCTCACTTCAACTCCACAAGGACAACATCCCACCTCAAAGATACCCTGAAACTACACACTGATAACAACATCCTCGTTCACAATGCCTGGCGCAATCTACGAAACTCCTGCCCCCTTGCCTGTCCGCAAGCCGGCCCCCTTTGTCGTCGGCCCTACCAACAAGACCCCCGTCCGCCCAACAAACAAGCTTCCCCAAGATGTCATCGACGCCGCCCGTGCCACCCCCGCCGAGGACTTTGATGCTCGCAAGCACATCTGCTTCGAGCCGCCCAAGAGGACCTACACCATGAAGGAGTGGGGATATGAGAACCAGGGCGTCTCCCCTATCGCTGGCTCTGACCCCTTCCCTCTCTTCACCGAGGCTGCTGTCAGGCAGATCCGTCGCGAGCTGTTCAGCGAAGAGATACTCAGAACCTGCCAGTACGCCTCAACCTTTACCAAGAACCAGATCCGAGGCTACACCCAAGAGTGAGTAAACTCCCCTCCCCAAAGATTCCTAGCTAAACCACAATGCCAGGATGGCCCCCTTTAATCACGCTCTCTGCAAGAGCCCCGAGGTACTAGCGGCTGTCTCCGAGGTTGCCGGTATCGAACTCGTTCCCTTTGAGTACGAGGTTGGCCACGCCAATCTCTTCTTCAGTGACGGGGATGAGACCAGTGACAAGGGCAATGACAACGTCGGCTTTTCATGGCACTATGACAGCTTTCCCTTCGTCTGCGTCACCATGCTTTCCGACTGCAGTGAGTTGACACCGAGGCCCTTGCTATGTACATAAGTTACTGACATTCTTGTAGCTGGAATGAAGGGTGGTGAAACTGCTGTCCTCACCGGCAGCGGCGAGGTTCTCAAGGTTCGCGGTCCTTCTATGGTATGCTGACCCTTAATGCCAACTCTGCTCTCTATTAACTCACTTCCTAGGGAACTGCCGTGATTCTTCAAGGCCGATATGTCAAGCACGCCGCTCTCAAGGCCATCGGCAAGGAGAGAATCTCGTTCATCACAGCCTTCCGACCCAAGTCACCATTCGTCAAAGACGAGCTCGTCCTCACAGGCTCCCGTCCCATCAGCAACCAGTCAGATCTCGTCTACGATTACTGCACCTACCGTGCCGAAATCTTGGAGGAGCGTTTCCGTGATCATGCCAAAAAGCTGAGGGAGGCCCGGGCCGCGGGTGTCAAGTTCAACCCCGATGCTGTGAGGGAGTTTATCCAGGAGCAAAAGGAGATGCTCGAGGCTACTCTGCTGGAGATGATTCCTATCCGCGATGTTGTAGAGGTCGAGTAAAGGTGGCCTTTGGGGTGATATAGCCTATGAGATGCATCATGATAATCAAAAAGCGTGTGATTCTTTCAAGTCATTACAGACTCAATCTCCCGAGAGCCGTTGTTTCATGAGATAACTGCCATACTGGTGTCCTTAACTGCCAGGAGAGTCTTCGAGGAGTGTCCGAAGGGGGTGCAAGCCCCCGGTACTGGAAACTGCTTCCGGCGGCGTCCAAGTGGAGACGCCGGTCTTGGAGTCCGGTTACCGTAGAGGCGCCGGATAGGAAAACCGTAGTCCCAGAGACCGGTTAGCTTAACCGATCTACGCCAATGACACCCGGGAAGATAAGCCCCTTGGAGAAGCAGGATTGTGGCAAGGCCAAAAGCAGTGTCCTGGATGAGCCTGTTTGACTTGTCTTCTTCACCCAAGCAACCAAGAGGCTATCCAATGTACATGACGTAGTCTACAAGAAACATTCCTCTCTCACTCATTCAATTTGAGGCAAGAGAAATTTGATTTCCATTTACACCACAGCCAAGATATGGCATCATCTGACGGTCTACAGAACGAGCTGTTCCATCACAAACCACGCACGAGTGACTGAAAATTGGCTGAAGAGTCATCCTTGAAAATAATAACTGAGAATCAAGAGGTCTGCCTAAACACAATCATCTATAGGTAGCTACTACTCTAACCAATATCCCAGCGAGCGCACATCGGTCCGTACAGTGCTCTGCCTTCCGAGCAAGTAGCCATGCTCATATATGAGAGGCAAGGGAAGACAAGGTTTGGGCTTCCAGGCTGTGGCATAGCTTTACCACGTCAAGTTGGAGCCATTATCTTTATGCATGCGTTCTGTACTGGTGACAGGATTAAACTGGACAAAGATAAGTCAAGCGAGGCAGCTCAGTAATCTGGTCGGTATCGATCGGCTGGCGAACATCTGCTCGCGTGTATTTTTTTATTTTTTATTTTTTTCCTGTTTTTTTTTCCCCTTCGCTCACACACACATTCTGTCTCTCTCTGAGCGGGTTTTTGCTCCTCTATGTCATTCACAGTTTAAACCCAAGGTTAAAACCTCACGTGCTCATGGCGATTTAACAGCCAAAAAGAAGAAGAAAAAGAACACTCCAATGGCTCAAAATGGCCCATGCATCTTTTTAACTGGCCAAAAATACTAGGAAAGCAGAGCAAAAAAACAATCGCTTGCCGTCAGCAAGACTCGAACTTGCGTTTTCAGTGCTTCATTGAGCCACAAACTGATGTACTGACCCCTATACGATGACGGCTTCTTAGTGATTGTTGAATAACAGGGTTCATAATTGAGCTTATGTACCCCACCTCCAGGTACCCGCCCACGTCACATGTCTTTTCCTCAGCAACATCCATTGTCAACATGTGTCAAGCAAGCCCCGACACACAGAACAATTCGGGCCTTGGGCCTATTGTGTCATAATTATGAAGTATACGCCGCTGTCTCTCTAGGATATTAGAAGCAAAGTTGATCAGATGAACGCGGACTTGCATCGAGCAAGACTAGAGTGACACGGATGCTGGCAATTCACTCGCAGATTGAGACCCGTGCATCACTTTGATGCGTTCAAGGAAAGCACTAGCACAGAAAACATCATCTCGTCTTCATACTATATTATGAGGCCTACTGGGCGCTTCGGTACCATCATCTCGAGTCTCCCTTCACTTCGCGTTAACACAGCTTCCTACCACCACTAACCAGACAGTTGCCATCGTCACCAAGGCCACTGTCAGCATATTATAAACCAGAGTGAGTATCTGATAACCTTGACAGATTGTCTCGGGCCATGATGACCTCTGAAGACACCAAGAATTAGCCTCAGCGAGTCGATCTCAAACACACAACTTCACAAGAACCACAAAGCGAGGAAATGCTTTCCATCTCGTACAGTAACAACCGATTACGAAACCCCTACACCGGGTATATTAAGCAACACACCCAATTCCGAACACCGCCCACTCCGTTTCCGTAGAGTCCAAGTCCAGTCTTGACTAAACCCACCCGTTTCCACCTCCCTCAACCTTCCAGGTGTGGCCTGAACCGGGGCCCTGAGAGAGACAGAGTGACAAAGGAAATGAGGAAAAGAAAGGGTAAAACAGATTAGGAAGGTCATTCTAGTGTGCCGAAACCGATCCCTTTTTGGCTCAACCTCCGTCCGCTTCTTGGTTGCTGAAAAGCACAACACTTTGCAAAAAAGGGCCCCCTCCCCGCCTTATACCGTACAGACAAGACAGCCCTAGGAAACCAGAAAGAAAAAGGTTGTCGGGAACAACGTAGCGTATAAAGTATTAGTGGTGAAAGGTTGTAAAATCGTCAATCGCTCCTTGCAACGGCTATTCGTGTATGCGTCTGCCAGCCGTCGCTCGTCCCGACTTGAGCGGGGACTGTCCAAGTCGACAAAGGTAAAAGGCATTGTTGTAGTGATTTAGAAGAAGGATGGCTTGGTAAGCACACGGTATTCCACATAGTCCTCACCATCGATAGTGATGATATTCCCCTGGGACACCAACTTGCCCATGAAGGGACCGTTGGCCTTGCGTTCGTACTTGACTCCACCGTAGATCTTGGCGTCCTCGGATCCTGCCTTCATACGAAGGCTTTCCTGGCGCGCCCAAACCTTGTTGAGCCGCTGCATCTCTTCCGATTCGTGGAAACGCATCCGTCCATTGATCGCCACCGAGGGGATGGCTGCGACAGCGGCGTTGGCAGCATCCGCAGCAGCGGCTACAGCTCGCTCGCGGTTAGCGGCGTGTCGGTCGGCACGTCCTTGGGCAGCCTCGGCACGTGCAATTTCGCGCCGGGCAAGAGACGAGGTCCGCTCGATAGCATCAGTTCCTTGTGCTTTGCCAGCAGCGGGGGCTGACCGAGGCTGGGGTTGAGGTTGGGCTTGGGACGGTGGCTGAGCCGAAGTATCAACCTCTGCAGGCAGTTGACGTGTAGGGCGTGACTCCATCCTGGCAGCGTCGATTGCCCGTGCAGCTTCGACGCGGCGGCTCTGGCGAAGCTCATGACCTCCAAAGCCAGCCCGTCCAGTCTGGTCCGAATCGTAATCATCCGGCATACGAGGCAGCGCCGGTGCAATAGACAATGGAGCGGCAGTCTTGAAACTTGTTCCTGCAACCCTAGCCTGGGCATCGTATACTGCCTTTGTTTCGTTTGCCGTTCGCTCATCCGGTGACTCCCCATGGTCAATCTGCCACTGACGCACGCGGCAATACTCCTTGATCTCGGCACGGGGCAAGGACTTGAGGTGAGGCTCGAATATTACCTCTTCATACGGGATCCAGAGAGCACCAGCACCAGTTGGGAAATTACCGTCAACAAATCGGCCATCACGTGTCTCTCTTACAAGCTTGACGCGGAACATGTCATTCTGACCCAAAATACCATAGACGGCGTGCTTGTCCTTGGGGTTCAGTTCAGCAGACTTTTCCCAGCAGCCCAGGAGGATCCGCGTAGGACGAGTTCCGGGGAGAGGGTCGATCACATTTCGAATAGGTTGTGGTCCGCCGGGCGCGGGCTGGATGGGTGTGTGCTCGTACACAACACCGTTGGTGGGGGCCGGATTGATCGCAGCGAAGCCTCCACTAGTTCTTCGTCGCTTGGGATCACGGCTGGCCGCGATGTGGTCGGGGAGCTCTGCACCATAGGCAATCTGAGGTGGGTTGGTGGCGTTCTCTGCGGTAGGGTTCTGCTTGACGCGCTTTATCGCCTCCTTGACAGCGGCCTTATCCGCGGCGATGCGTTCTTCTTCCGACGACTCAGTCCCTGCTGTATCGGCACGAAGTCTAACAAACTCCTTGACTTGATAGTGATCGAGGCCGACGAGGTGCTTGAGAAAGACAACCCTCTCAAAGGTGACCCAGCTGCCACCAGGGCCAGGGGGTAGGGGATACTCGTCGGGTACCAGTTCGCCGGTCAAGGTGACAGGTTGGATGCGAGTTCGAAGGCGTTCCCGGACATCGATAAAGCCGATAACAGCATGTTTCAGATTCTCAACCGGGGCAGGTGAGTCTCTCCAATGGCCAATCGTTACTCCCTTGACACTACCCAGACTCTGCCGTGCAGGCTTGGGTCTCGTTGTGACTGGAGGTGTCCTCCTCTCCTCAGGCACTGACAAGGGTGCTTCGATCCTGCTATCGTTCAAGTCGTTAAGAATAGAGGTGCGCTTCCGCTTAGGATAGTGAGAGACGATGGGTTCGTCGTCGACATCGGCCATGGTTTCGTCCTCCTGATCAGATACGATGCGAGGGGATTGCTTGCGCAATCCGTTCGCACGAGCACCAACAACTATCTCGTCCTCGGGTTCGTTGAACTCGACGCCCGACGGTGAGTGAACACTGCTGACTGGATCGCTAAGTTCACTCTCAACCTCTCCCTCCCCGAATGAGGTCTTGCGACCGTTGGGTTGGCTATTGTTTCATTAGTACATGTTCATCAAGTGTCTCCCAGCAACAAGTAGGTGTATCGGGGACAAGTACAGCGATAAAAGAACAAGGTGTTGAAGCGCAAACGTAGAGGCTGAGGGTTGGTGACCCGAGACTGCTCGGTCACGTGTGGGTAGAGACGTGGACGGCAAAGAGGCAAAATCAAGAGAACAAGATGAAGAGATGAATGATTGTGGAGAGTCAGATTGGTACAGGCCCATCCAAGACTCGGTGCGGTTGCAGGGATGATGTCCCAGTGCGAAAATAATAAGACAGGGTTGATAGAATGTGAAACAGCAAGAGGGAATGGAGCGAGAAATGGGAGTACCTGAGGTCCTGGGGCACGGGAAAAAGGCCCATAGTTCCAAGGGCAAAGGCAGCAACGTGTTGCACAACTGTCGGCAACTGGGGGGCACGCCCAAGGGTGTAGGAGGAAGGTGTATTTGTCGGTGCAAGCGGTAGAAACCAAGATATGATGAGATGGATGGCGTTGCGTGTATGGTTGCAAGACTTGGGAGAGGGAGCGCGTCCAAGAACAGCCAGAAAGGTGGGAAGTGGCGCAGATGACCAAAAGTGCAGAAGAGACGAAAAAGTATGAAAAGGAAAGAAGGTTTAAGTTGTGGAAATACCAATGCAGACCAGGGAGGATGGATAGAGAGACAAGGCAAGACAAGACAGTGTCTGCCAGTTGTCAAGAAAAGAAGTGGGAGCGAGTTGTGACAGTGATTCAGCCCGTTGGGCAACTGTTGACCGACCGACTGACGGCTTCTTCTCGACCAAGATTTTCCTGGCTGACAGTGATTCACAGTCACCGGGCTTTCTCTTTTAGGCCACAACATGAGTTGCATGGACGAGACAAGTCAGGCCAGGTGCGGTCAACAACCTACTGGTCTTGACAAATGGGGACATGCCAACTAGGCCATGACCCTGGACAAAAGCCACGCCACTCATTCACTCGCTCACTCACTCACTGGCTGGCTGAGGACGCGAAGAGATGGCCAAGCAAATGCAACACGACCGACGGTCGATCGCAAGTGCGAGCGAAATGACATGGGAGAAAAAAGCAAAACGAATGGACAAGAGAGCACAAACAATGAGATGACAGTTGAGAGATGATGACTTACTTTGGTGAAGCAATGCGAGATGGTTGATTAGCAACAGCAGCACCGGGCGACTTCCTCCCGTTCGTGGTGCCAGTTGCGGGAGCGGGCGCAGATGCAGGCGCAGGCGATGGCGCGCTATCGTGAGGAGCCGGGCGAGCTGAAGTAGAGGTGCCCGGGAGCGGTGATGGCGGCGCCGGAGAGGTCGACGCGGGCCGGGGAGCTGATGCCGAGCCTAAGCCTGTCGTCGAGGTCAAGGTCGAGGCAGGTTTGGCGGGCACCAAGTCTGTAGCAGGTGCTGGACTTGTGGCAGAGACAGAGACGGGAGCAGCGCGAGGAGAATCCGGAGTGGGTGCTGTGGTTGGTGATGCTGCTGGCTTTGCCAGGGCAAACTTGGGTGCAGCAGCAGAAGCTGACAGAGCTGGCGATATTGGCTCAGGTGGCGCAACTGGCGGCCTGGGCTTGTCGCCGTCGATGGTGTCCATGACGCGACGTGTAGGATGCCGGGATTAGCGATGCTGGGCGCGAGATAACTGAAGCGGAAGTCAGGCGGGCTGGGGGGCTAAAGGGGAGTTCAGCGAGGTCCTGAAGATGCTGGGCGCGTTTCCGGGGGGTGGTTGATGTTTGAGGTTGAGGTTGTGGTTGTAGAAAGAAGAAAGAACCCGTCCGCGTCGACGGTCGCAAATCGACAGTTACGTGATCAAGGTATGTTAGGTTTAGGTAGGCAAGTACCTAGGTGGGCAAAGGTAGGCAGACAAGGTAAAGGCAAGGTAAGGCAAGGTAGAAAGATGCAACAAGTGTCGGGGGTGGGAATCAGGAATGAGGACCGACACCCTGGTTGGCCGAGGATCTGGATTCTGGAATCTAGAGCCGGGGGTGTGGTCCAGGGCTAAAGGCAATAAGCCCAGTCCAACTTGGCAGAGAGACAGACAGATATGGGAAGGCAACCTACCAAAGGGGGGATGGATGGAGGGGGGCAAAGGGCCGCAGTGCAGTGAGATGGAAGAAGCTAAGACGACTCGAGATTTATCGGAACCCAGAAGAAACGCGTCGGATTACGAGGCAGCCAAGACTAGCAAGGTGAGACTGCTAGTGAATGAATGGTGGGATGTACAGTGCAGTACAGCCAGCCAGGTATGTTATTAATAGACCGGGTCAGAGATTCGAGCTCGGCCCAGTGAGCGGGAGGATAGAAAGGAAAAAAGGATTTCGAGTTGGGTTTGGAGGTGCAGAAAAGGATACCTAGGTAAGGTAGGGAAAAATTGGGGGTGTTTTGGGTTTTGGTGGGGGGATGAGATAAAATAGAGGACGAGTGAGACAGGGAAGAGGAGAGGAAGAGGGAAAAAGGGAAATTGTGTGGAGGGTGAATGTGGGCAACAGAGGCAAGAAAGAGAGAGAGTGGATTTGTCCATTTAGATTTTGCCTTAGGTTGCCGACTTGCGAGAGCGAGCGACAATCACCTCAGCCAAGACATGCCATCCATTTACAGTACTGACCTACTACAGAAAGTAATAGTACCCCATCGCAGAAGCGCCCAAGATTTGATTGAATTGGGGTGGGATGGGGATTTGTGTGGAAATGGGCTAGCAGCAAGTTCTGAGTGGTGGCCCGCCAGGAAGTACTAACCTCCGAGTCCGAGTCGAGTAACTTTCGAAATCTCGCCAGGGGGTGGACGTGTTTTAGTTTCCAAGGGAGAGAGACAAAAAGCATCATCAGTTGACTTGGAGCACAGAGATTGGTCCCTTCTTCTTCTTTCTCATCTTGTTGCCCATTTCGGCGCTAGGTCTACTTTTAGACAGCTTCTCATCAACTTTCCAGCCTTCTTTTGCTCCATTTCTGAGATCAAAGTCGACAGTTGCTCATTGGTTTATTGCGTCAAACAAGCTGACGTTGATTGGCGACGAGACCGATCCCCGACGCGACTTGATGGAACTGAACTTGACAGCACTGCAGGCGCCTTGGTTGATCATTGCGTCCACTAGGTCGGTACTAGTACTCTCTCTCTGATGAACAAGTCAGCCCAGCCAGCCATCTACCACAACAAAAAAGGGACTCTTGTCAACAAAATGTGCCTCCATTGTTTACACCTGGAGGAAGGACCTCTTATGCATTGCTTGATCTCTTCTTCAATGCCCTTTCTTCATTGTCACCCTCCTCGAATCTTGTATTGATTGTCATATGAAACATAGACGCATTCAACCAACTCATGCGCGCCATTCTAGATCCACTCCCGTATGACTCTCGGCCCACTCCTCTCCCGGCACTCTCTTTTTTTACTCAGAAGCTCTCTCTCTCGACTCACTGTTTTTTTTTTTTCTTCTCAACCTCAGATAAGGTGCTACAGTACTGATGCAACTCTAAACGGGGTGACCCCTTGGTTATCCTCAAACTCTGTTTATTGTGTTTAAAATCACCTTCTCTTCTTTCTCGTATTGTTGACATTGGAGATTTAATTGCCCAACCCCCAGTTTTGACAACTCATGACACCGCCCTTTTACCCACGAGATGGATACGAAAGGAGATGATCAATGGAAAAAAAAAAAATCGAACCAGGGTCGTAGGGGCGAAAACCCAACAGCGAGCGATACAGAGAGTAGTGATACAATGGGCTACTCGGTTTCTCTTACCACTAGAGTGCGAATGATCGACCCCAACGGGCACCACCCGCCCCCCATGACTCCCTTCCATCCCCCCCCCCCTAGCACCGCGCCGTAAACTCATTACGAATTACGTGCGTGCGCCAAGCTTTGGTTCTTGCCGGGCCTGGGTTGAAGAGTGACAATCATGGCTCGATACAAGTTCAGACCCCTTCTGGGTTATGCGCCCGTATCTTTGTCTTTCTTTCGAGTTTCCATCTTGACCGTTTCAGCTGATGTATAGGTAGACAAAGTCATGCAACGCCCGTCAGGCACTTGTCATGCTCTCTCTCTCTCTCATCTTACCCGGTTGTGCTTTGGTGCGACAGTCAGACTTCGGCAGTGTCGGCCACAGCACACAAAAGTAGAGCATCAAGGAAAACAACATGTGCTGATGAACACCGAGCGAGCGAGTGATGTTCATCAGTGGCAGTCCCATTTCTGATTATGATGACATGTCCGCTCCCGTCGACTGGATCACCGACACCAATCAAAGGAAACGAGGCCCGTGGTCCCCAATTCCAGAACACACACCTCTCTCTCTCTCTCTCTGTCTCTACACACGTTGGAACCAATCATCAAGTGTCGAATTGCCGTGGGGCCCAGAAATCTTGCTTGCAATCTCGCAACTTTATGGAACCCAGAAACATTCCCCGGCCTTGGGCGCACGCCCTCATTCCACACGCCCTTTCCCGGTCCCAAGCAATGAGGAATCCATCTGTTTGTGGCTGTTGCTCCCTTGAGATCTTGGCCATTCAATCCCTGGTTAATGTCAATGCCTCTTCTTGACACACGACAACTCAAAACTCCCACTCTCGTCCCCGTTGTTAAACGTCACTCGCGAAACTGCCGAGGTTGGATCTAGATGGGGGCCGACTCTTTTTTTTTTTTTTGCACGAGTGTTGTACATACATACAGGACATACATAGTGGCGAAGCAAGGGTTAGACGCGACGCGCACAGAAAGAAAGCAAGCTGAAGAGGGAAAATGGCTCCACGTTCTTTTTCCTTTCCCAGCTGGACAAAACAAGTCTCGTAAACACCTACCTACTCGAGCATCATGTCGCGCACTCGCAATCTTGTTGGACAGATCGCGAGAGGGAACAGAGAGTTGATGCAACAAGTGCTTACGACAGAGAGCATGATACTGTCTGTCAGACTTGCAGAAACAAGGGGTTTTGGTTGGTTAGTCTTACCAACAAACTGCCCTCTTTTTTTTTTTTTTTCCTCGAAACTCTCATAGTGGATCTCCTTGTCTTTCTCTATTTTAGACAATGGAAGGGGACTCCCATGACTCGACATGATAATCAGATGTCGAGTCTTTAGCGGAAGCGCGCGCCGCCAACAGAGCAAATCGACCCATATCTCCCACACACCCCTGCGGGTTTTTTACACTCTTGTCATTTATTTCTTCTTTTGGTTTCAATAGCTCAGGTAACCGGCAGATGGTCCTACACAGTGTCAAAAGTCCAACGCGCAGAGCTCTCCTCTTTTGGATGATCTTCCAACTCACTGCCGTCGGAGCAAGGTTTACGCCAGTGATCCTTTCTTCATTTCAATATACTGATACTTTTTGCAAGGTCCATGTTTCATAATAGACTTGCAGTAAAAAGTATGCCCATCTGCTTTCAACTAATTCCCTCAGTTGCTACCCTGATTTAGGGTGAGTTGTGAGGGGAGCAAATGACTAGGTATCCTCCCGAGTACCACAACAACAAACTGCATTGCAGACTCGGCGGGTTCCTCCCGCAACATGCCAGTAAAAGAAACCCCCTCTCTCGGTCATGTTTTCCCCGTTCCTGTGTCGCCGAGTAAGTTGAAGGCAACAATCAAAATGAACGAAAAAAAGGGCGCGCAGGATATGACTTGTGCGTCCCTCGTGTACAACTCCCGGGTAGCACCACGCTCGATCGCGACTGGTTGGACTCGGGAGAGACATTCTGACGAACGAGCTGCTGTCCATAGCCGAAGTGATGCCTAGTTCCATGTTACTTTTCTTGATTCGCACATAACTCGATGTAGAGGCGATTGTGGGACATGCCTGTTTGGGTGCAGTTGGCAACATGCCAGTTGTCCATGCGAGTTGAGTCAACCCTGACCAGCATGAAACTACCAACATGCGCTCGCAAACTCGATGCTTAGGATGCTGCTATTTTTAAGGGTTCAAGGAACCAACATATCCTTACGATGCTCACGTTCAACTGTTGGCTCTGACAACTCGTATGCAATGCCTGATGCCATCCATGGTCCATAAAGACCTGACAGCCAACAACACCCCATCACAACAACTCGAAACTTGGCACACGTCAGCTCATCTCGCATGACTTGCTTCATGTTCACGATGCATCCTGGGTAGATCCAATCTTGTCACGTCGATTCGTGCGCGATGCCAGATGTATCATGTTCCTCCGCCCTATCTATCTGATACAAATTAGCCTGAGAGGACTGGCCTATTAGCCCCCCCGTCCCCGTCCTCGTCCGCGACCACCACCCCTGCCCCTGCCTCCTCTGCCCCTCCCTCCGCCGCGGCTCGTCTTCTTGCCGCCCCTCTGCCCGCCCTTGTTGTCGAACCTCTCAAACAGCCTCTCCTCCCCAAACGCCCCCTCGCCGAACCTCATAAAGTTGACGAGGCCTCGGTCCACAATCGCCACCAGCACGTTGCGGTGTCCGTGCTTCAGGCGCTGATACATCCGTCCGGGGCCCTTCCACGCCTCGTTGGGCGGGTCGTGAGGCGTTGATTCTAGGAGGGCCTCAATCTCCTCTAGGGTCGGCACGAATGTGTCATCGGCATCGACCACGGCGATGCGGAAATCCGGCGGCGGTGGGTTCTTCTTGGAGAAAGGTGCGCCGCCAGACTTCCACACGTGCCAAAAGACCCGGTATGGCTCCTGCGGCGGGTGTATTGTGGGAGGTGTAGGCAACGGCTTATGGCGGGGGAGGATGGCGAGTTGATCGTATATGGGCCTATAGGCACGGTAGAGTCCTGGCTGGACAAGAGGTCCTAATGGCTTCTGCCTTGAGGGTGCGGCGTCCGAGCTAAAGAAGGAAAACAGCCACTGCCAGAGGGTCTTTGACGCTGGAGCCTGAGATGGAGCCTCATAAGGCGGCGCCCGTAGGACGTAGAAGCCTGCTCGCTTTAGATGCGAAAAGACCTGGAACTGAGGCAGTGTGATCTTGCCCCTCTCGCCTTCATGCCCGATGAGGAGTGAATATGCCGCCTCGAGACTTAGTGGGAGTCCAACATCGTAGTTGTCTGGTCCTAGATCCGTCCTTGGGGTTCCGTCACTCGACAGAAGCTCCTCCAATGGTCGTTCCGGCCACCAGAGGTCCACGGTCCCTCTCTCAACCAAGTAGAGAGCTTCTTCAGGCAGAAGCCAAAGCCGTCCCGCACCAAGACGCTCGACCTTGCCAGGCACCGCGCGCCCAATATCCTTCTGCCAGCTGCCGCGCTCCTGCTCGATCATGACGACTCTGTCTTTTAGCCAGAGACCCTCATGCTCGCCAGAGTGCTCAGTCTCAGCCCACCAGTCTGGGAAACACCAGCCGCGCACCCAGGCATCCTCGCGATGTATCCTCGTGTAGCCCAGGACATTGTCCATGACCTTGCGGCTCTGCTCGAGGAGGTTGTCCTGCGCGCGAGTCCCATGCGACTCAAAGTCCTTTTCGCCCTTGCGGATCGCCTTTCCCGAGACGCCGGCCTTGTCAAACATGGAGAGGAATAGCTTGTAGTCAGGCGCATCTTCGTCGGCGTCTTCCGTCGCAGCGGCATTCGCGCCGTTCACCGGCGTAGCGACGGTGGGGTTATCGTCGTCGTCAAAAGCCATGACGGGCGGTTGAGATCGGTCTTGATAGTTATTCAAACAGTCGGGGTGAGTTAGAGGTTTTCGAGCAGGGCCTTAGGATATGCTGAGATCAGTATAGTATCGGTCTGGTTGAAGAGGAGAAGACGTAAGTTGAAGAAATAATTCCATGCGAGGCTGCGATTGTGAAGCCTTGCTCACTCCGCGCCCCACCTTGAATCTCACCGAGAAGACGCCTTAGCCTGGGCTTTCTGGAAGCCACTCAACGAATCATCGCTAACTTGGCCGAGTGGTTAAGGCGCTGTGTTTAGGTTCTCATCAGAAACCAAACCCGCAGTGGGAAACCGCGGAGGTTCGAACCCTCCAGTTAGCATTCAGCGATTCAATTCTTTTTTGCCCTTTTCAGCGATTATCAGACTCACAAGTGTGGTTCTCCTTGCTTGCTCATCCGTTGGATGATTCTCAGTGATCTGTGCTACTCTGGATCGACAATGTGGTGGTTTCTTTTTGCTCTTCTTCAGTGGCACTTAGTTCAGTTGCCTTGACCTCCAGAGTCACTCACCTTGCCTTCATGTCCTAAAGTGTAAAACTGGTAAATACTATTTTCTTCCTGGCTGTGATAATCGCCTGGTCCGCCATGGGATATATACCCTTCACCTGCTTTATAGTGCACCACTTTGAGGTAATATCACCTAATGAACCCTCACCTTCATCAATACATCTTGATTCATCTCGCTACTTCGTATCGACATCTACTAAACATTGCTTGTCGTGCACTTGCCCACTGCCTGTGCCCAGAATCCCCCCTCCTAGGTAGTCCTCCGGAACGCCATGAACTATGCCCGATTATAAGAGCCCCATCCCATCTTCGCCAAACCCCTGAAATGCAAACGCCCCTGGGTATACTTCAAGTGGCGGACCTGGCCTCCCCCGTGAATCGACTCCAACCGTCGCCTCCATCCATCTCCGCTTCCTCTGTCGTGCTGCCGGTGCGATCCAGTTCCGAAGCCGGAGTGCTGTGACGTTCGGCCTTGGAGGGATTCCTGACGCGGGAGATTTGTTTCTTCCGACGCGGCACTGCCTGCAGCGATATTCGGGGCGCAGCAGGCGTCTCTCCGTCATCGTGCGGACGTGGCGTGCGGCTCTGGAGGCTGCTATAAGGTGACTATCTCGGAACCCGTATTTTCGTCACTCAATGAATGGCTTCTTTTGTCCGCCCACCATGCAAAGGCCCAGAGCTCGTAATGAGTCGCGGTCGTTGGCGAGGATAATGGTCTGCGCGGGCAGCATGGGGTTATTGGGGTCGACGTGTGAGGCTTCCTTGGCCGCTTGCTCGATGGCGTCCATCTCTTCTTTACAGGCTTGTTGGTCGAGGGGGCAAATGACGATCGGTTGTCGTAGGGTCACGTCGCGAGCGCCGCTCAAATTGACCTGGGAATGTTAGCAGAGACGAGACAAAAGAGCAAAGCCCATACCTTGATGCTGAGATAAAATTCTATCTTGTAGAGCGTCGAGGTCGTGGTAAATGATGTGACCTCGTAGAGAGGGAACTGTGGTTTTCCCCTCTTGATAATTCCATCTGGATCGCGCAAATCCTTTGAAGGAAAGTTGAGGCCTATGTTGGTGGCATATCCTGCCTCGGGTATTTTCGTCTTGACCACCTGGACCTGTCTTGATATCTTGTTTACTTTCTTTGAGGGTTCGTCGCCCTCCGGGTTGTATGTAATCTCCTCCTCGATGGTCAGGGTGATCTTGTCGATGGTGACTCGCTTTGCCTTGTGCAGCCAGTCGGTGTTTGGTGACAACTTGATATATACTGTGATAGGGTCGCTGGGGCCGTAGCTCCATCGTGGGAGGTTGATGCCCAGGTGAACTATGTTGTCGTTGGTCACGAGCTTGGACTCGGGTTTGTTGTACATGCCGAAAGTGGAGAGGGTATCGTAGCGCAGAAGTGGTATAGGGAAGCTGTATTTGTACTGGTTGCTGTGGCCCTGCTGGACCGTGACGACGAGTTCGTAGTATGTCTCGGCGGTTCGACTCGGGAGCTGGAGAGAGGCTGGTGGGATGCGTCGGTTTGACTCTTCTCCGCCGCGGCCGTAGGGAATAAAGAGGACGAACGGGAGGTCCATGGCGATGACCTTTTCGGCCTCCCTCCCGGATGCGCAACGAAAGAGAAGCTGCTCCTTGCCGACGAGGTCTGTAGTCTCCCGTCGGGGGGCGCCGAGATGTCGTTTCGCGAGGCTGTCGGCGTCGGGGTGGATGGTTTCTCGGCGTTGAAGGCATATTCGAACGAGGGAGATGGGTACGGGCATGGAGTAGCCCTGGCCAGGACGGATCTCGACCTTTCCTTCGATGCGCGGCTTTGTCAATTTGTCAGCTTTGTGCGGGAGACATTCACAGTCGCGCAACAGAGCGAGAAGGCTCCGGGGCGTAAGCACGAGATTGAACCTACCAGAGTCGCAGAGATGCCGGGGTAGCCCACGAGGAAGCTGCTATTGGGAGGGCCGGATACCCTCACGCTCGCGGGAGCCGACATGATGGCGTTGTGCTGCTGGAGGGGGATGTTGGGAGGCATTGCGAACTTGTGCTGGTCCGGGTCGGTTGGAGCGGCGGTGTCGTCGAGCTGCGGGTGGGGGAGATGACGGCGACGAAGGCGGAAGCGGAGCGGGAGCGGGCGGCTGGCTGAGCCCCGAGGGCGACGAGAGCGTCGGGCGCTACGCCAGAGCCGGAGGGAAGAGCGTGAGCCAGTGTCGAGGAAGCCAGAGCGGGCGCGATAGCTGTCGACTTGGGGATGCGGCGGGCATGAGAGTCTGAGCAGCAGCAGGCAGATGGACGCAGAAGATGAGATGCGTCGGTCGCTGTGCTAGGCCACCCACTAAGCAGGTGGTGTGCGGGATCGGGAGTGGTAGACGGGGTTCGCCAAGGCCGATGCGGGGGGGTCAGTTGTATAATAAGAAGGAATCAAGTGGCAATGGAAGCGAGCGTAGAATATAGAGAGAGGGTTATTAGAGACGATGTGACGACGGTTAAAGGACCAAGGTTGGCGGTCGCATCACGGTTCAGCCAGGAAAACGGTAGGCAAGGTAAGGTAGGTCAAGGTTGGGCGGCCCCCTCCTTACAGTAGCAGTAGTAGGCTAGTGCTGTATAGCACGCGGGCGCGAGGCTCTGAGTGGAGTAATGCAGGTAAATGGTGATGGATGGCAATATTCTTCAGCTGAGTTTGGAGATTGAGTGAGAAGCCGAGTCTACACAGCCTGAGTTATCCAACAGCAGAGCTATAGTGTCATAGTTGTGCGCTGTGCTGAACAGCCTCTACATCCATACAGTCCAGGGTCCAGATCGTCCACCTCACGCGCGGCGCGGCAAGGCAGCCTCGACGTCTTAAGGCTGACTTGTCTCTCTAGCCTGGGGGGTCAGTCAGCAGTGGGGAAACATCCATGGGATCCATGCAAATAATGATGACAGGTTGTATGAGAGGATTTTGTTTCTGAATTGCCTATTTAACTATGGAATAACGAAACAGTAAATAAACTACACAATGGCATTTGCCTAAACCTTGCTTCAAGCCTCAACTCGCCGTTTCTTGTCTCCAACATTCGTTGCCATGGCACCCGCTTCCGTCTCCATCAAATGTTGATCCCCATGTCACGTCAGTCATAGGCTCTCTCCTCTCAATGCTACCCCAGCTGCCCAGCCCAAGCAGAGGCACAGCCGAGCTCCTGCTGCCCTAACCAGGAACCCACATCTGACAGAGACTCTGACTTGTCCTTCTCCGTCTCCGTTTCGCTCTCGCTTGCGAATCCTCCTTGCCCCAGAGTATTTCAACCAAAGTCCCTCGCCTTGACTGTCCCCCTCCAAACCCCAGTCTCATGATGGTGGCGTCGTGCTCGGAGATAAAACACGGACGGACAGGCCAGCCCAGGGCCATTCCTATTCCCCCACTGTCGCAGATCAAGATAGTCAACGTTAGCGCCAAAACGGATTGAGCCACTGTGGCTGGTGCATTGTTCAAGTCTAATTTAAGACGTCTGATCCTCCTCCCTTTCATCTGCTCAAGTTGCGATGGCTGTCGCTGTAGATATTGTGTCGGGGGATGAGTACTAATTAGGGAGTGGATAACTGCTCAGCCACATGTCGAATCTCTGTTTCTGTCGTTGTTCAATTCGTATTCTCAGAGGCTGGTAGGGCTGATCTTTCACTTTACTCTAGGATGCCCTGCTCGGAGGCTCCAAGCTGGAGCAGAATTGGGTCCTGTCAGATCCAGATGAGAATATCATTATGGAGCTTATGCGATGATGGCATATTGATCGACCGAGCTCTTCAGATGTCGCATCGGCAGTCATTCTTCTCATCCCAACACGTATTCTCCTGTTGACCTTCACCGCATCGTGGAGGATACTAGAGATACCTGGGAACTCGACATCACAAGCTCTGATACCGACTATTTGGCATTGGAATTAGAAGACAGCCAATAATTCCATCTTTCTAGTCCCCTAGGCTTCTTGAGCCTGCTACGACCTGCTAGTACCGTCTCGATGCTAATGGACTCGCAAATTGTTGCCGTCGCTCATCCTAGTGTGGGGACTGACGCAAGCGTTGTGGCTAACGATGATGCTCGCAGTACCCAGACACCTACTCTCGCCCGTGGACCAAGCAATGGAGCTCCTTCCCTGTCCTTAGAAAGAAGGGCCGTATCCAAGTCATCGGGTCCACGCTACTCCTGCAGTCGTAGGAGGCCTTGCTTGACTCGGCGTCAGCTAACACGCAAGAGTCAATAGTACCAGCTGACTACATTCTATACGAGAGAGACCAGGCAATCTCACAGAAGACGCAACAAAACATCATTTCTGCCATCCCGCCGCTGAAAAGTTCTATCGACCTTGGTCGTCATTGTGCCTTATTATCAGGTCACCATGAGCCAACTGGTCATTCATCATGCATCATACTCAGCCCAGAGTGTCCACCCCGTAAGACAAGTGGTGCAAAACAAACGAGAATGAGACTGCAATCATGGCCGATTCAAGGTAGCTCGGCACTTGTGCCCCGTTGCATCAACATCGGACGGGACTTGGCATCGAGATGGTGGACCCCGATCTCCGTGTGGGGCCGAGAATTAGACCGGGGCCGGAACCCCCGGTCTGCCGGAGCGGCACGGCAGTTGGTCCAATTTATGAGAAGGGATCGAATCATGAAGATGCTCTCTAAGGAGACGCTATTCTCAGCATGAATGCTAATTCCATTGGTCTGTACCATCGTCCAAGACGATAAAACGCTATGAAGTGCGCCCTCGAAACCAAAGCAAAGACGCCAAAACACAACCCTGCCATCAACTATACCCATCCTGTATTGCAATAGTAGAGTAAACTATTCACAGCCCCTGAGAATCAAGGTATTCATATCCACCTCATCCTCTTCTTCCCAGGCTCGCCAGTTGGGCTTCCAGGCCGCTTCTTCGTCTTTTCCCTGTTCACGATCTGTACCCTTTGAGATACCCGCGGCTCCATGCCGTACGTGTTACGATCAGCCCAGATGTCGACAGTTATCTGGCTCGCTCCGGGACGCCCAGGAACGTCAGTATCGACAATGCGTTTGTGATCCATCTTGTGATCAAACGTAACGACAGGACGCTCCTCCAGTGCGTCCAGCTGGGAGCCTCGAACGAGCTGCTTAACTTTGTGCCGCTCCCACCGGCGCTGACCAGGCATACGATCTGCTCCGAGCACGTCACAGCGGTCTTCACCAAACCAGATATCCATTCCAGGTGCTCCGGCAAAGTAGCACACTTGGAACGGAAGCATCCCAGAGAGTCGGGCGTCTTTTGGGTTCTTCTGCCGGACTGCCAGGGCAGCCTCACTAACGTCTTCTCCGCGCTCACGACGAAGTTTGACCTCTTCGTCGGTTAGCGGCCCGGGGTCAGGGTTTATCCCCTCAAGGAGAACCATGACGGGGGTGATGCCGCCTAGCTCGCGACGCTCTGTAGGCCAGACTGGGTTGTCACCTACGAGTGACCGGCCATCATGACGACAGACGTCAACGCGCATCTCGTAAATCGCGGCGAGGGTTGAAGAAGTCGCCGTGTTGACGTTGATGTGCGTCTGAGGAGGATATACCCTTCGATCTATACCGATAATCTCAAGGTCGGTGTTGTACAGGCAAGGGTGAGACGCGCCGCTGTCGAGCTGCATCAGAAAGAAGCATCGCGCCGCCATCTCGTCGTCCTCAACCCAGCACTCGTCCCTGGGCTGGGGCTGGGGCAAGGTTCTAACCCGAGTCTTGTACGCGAGAAATTTGCCGCTTTGGGTCGGTTGAGTGCCGTCACGGCTGTGGAAGCCCTTTACGCGGCGGAATCCCATGGTGATGTCCCAGGCTTGGTTTATGCCACCGCTCAGTGTGCTGGAGTCCTTCGCTGGTTGAGCCCATGTGGCGGCCTTGAGAGATGGCTGATGACCGGCACCTGGAGCTAGTGGAGGTTCATACCAGAGCCATCCTGGGCCGTGTTTTTCATAGTATCGGTCGAGCCTCTCTGCTCGATCGTGAGTGAAGGATTCGTAAGAGTAGCAAAGGTCGACAAGATGGCCGGCGTAGAACAGAGCCCATAGTTCCCAGCACTGAATAGTCCGTTCCTCGTAGGCTTTGATAGCGGCGCGGATGTTGATGTTTGCAGTTGGGCACTCGTTTTTCTCAAGAGCATTCTTTAGAATGCGGATGCGTTCTTGAATCTTTTGCCGTTTGGTAGACTCGAGTTGATTACTAGACAGTCAGACAAAGTTGGCTATGGATATAAGGGCAACTTACGCTGGCACCGAGTTCTCCTCAGAATTCTCCATCTCGTTGAACTTCGTGCGAGCCTTCTCCAACTGCTTCTCAAAGCCCGACAGGTCAGCCAAAGGTTGCGTCTGGCGGGCATTTTCTAGGATTGCTTCCCATTGCAAGACCGATCGCTCTGCCTCCTCTATCCGACTTAGGTTGTCTCCTAGGGAGGCACCAACGGCCAAAGGAGGCTTCCAACTAGGAGGAATCGGTCGTCGAGATCGTTTGGGGGTCGCGGGAGCAGGGACGGGAGCCCGCTCGGGTTGTGTCTCTATCGGCGACTCATCCCTTTCAATTCGTACTCTCTTGCTTGCTGAAGATGGACTTTCATGTGTCTTCCTGCCAGTGTCTGGTGTTTGTCTGGAAGGGCCCGCTTGCTGCTCTTGAGCCTGTTGCTTTCGCTTGAGTCCAAGGTTGATCTCTCTGTTGGCCTCACTCCTCCCAGGACGCCAGAGTTGACCACGAGCAGGAGTCTGCGTTCTAGAAGAACTACCAGATGGCTTCTCAGGGGGGTTGCCAGGGTCGGGACCCCTGGTCTGGGGCTGGCGTTTCTTGGGCTCTGGCTTAGATTTGTCCCCCATGACTGCAAGATTCGGTCGGTATCAGCAAAACGAAGATTCCCTAGGAGATGAGGGTTGAGTTTTACATTGGTATTTGGTTCAAGTGACCCAAACCCCTCTTCCTTCTTTGTCTTCACAGCTGTATAGGAAATACACACTCTCAGGTTTGTGGCGCCTGGTTGAACAAAGAACCCAGTGATTGCCAAGCCCTCCCTTTCCTCACTGGCCGCATTCAACTACCCCTGCCAGTTTGTCAGGTGTATTTTTGGACAGTTTGAAAGAAATCTTGTGTGTCAATTGACGGTCGGCTTTGCCGGTCTCTTTGTTGTGCCTATTGTGAGGGGCTCGGCGTGAGGCGTCAATGTTGGATTGAAGTTTCTATAGGCACATGTCTGTACCGTGCACCATGCATGGCGGAGTCCTTTGAGCTTTTACAAGTGAGTGGTATTGGGAAGCTATGAAAACACGGTATTTCTTTATTTGGTCCTTCCCCTCCTTCACCGGCCAGCTCTCTTTGTCCCATCATCTCACCTGAAGGATTGCTTTCCTCGCTCTCACCTTCACGTTCGCCTTCATCCTCAGCTTTCATTTCACCTGCCAAAGACTCCCAAGGTAGCTTCATTATGGGCGAGCCTATGGAAGAGGACCCCCTTCCGCAGGTGGGCGAGGAAGAGGCAGTTCCCGAACCTCAGGAAGAGACCACAACGCCAACTACAGACCCGGCTCTTGCTCGGCGCCGCAAGAGACTCCTCGGTGAGTTGAGAAGAAGAGACAATTCCTCTAATTAGTCGCTGATTTGAATTCAGAAAAAATCTCTTTGATCTGGCATTTCGACTTCCAATCTCTCCCTAGCGAGGCTCAGGAGGCATACTGGAAATTTCAAGAAGACCGTGGCTTTTCCAGGTTTGCCATCGACCTGCAGCGAATACTCCTCGATCACAAGATAGACAACTTTCTTCAACAATGTCCAGCCTTTCTGCTTGCTGTTGCTGAACTGTTTGGCGAGAAACATCCTCAGCTTAGACTCCGAGAGCTCTGTGAAGGTATGACTGGCCCCGCCGTGCAGACAAACAGTTTAGTTAACATGACAAAGAGCAAGGACTTACCCGTGATGATGAATCTACGCTGGAGACCCGTCCTGGTGACTTTGGTACCAGGTATTTGCCGAGAGATGATGAATCAGATGTTAGCGATTCCGAAGGGCGTAGGTCTTGACTCTTCTTCTCTTTACACAGAAGCTGATGACACATAGAAAATCTTCCGTCGGCTCAACTTTCGAGAACCATAACCTTGACTTCACACACTCGCCAAGCTCCGACAATGGGGCCGTGGGACCAAGCGTCCCTTCGACTCATGGCCGGTCCATCGGCTCAGATTCCATACGACGAGGAGAACCCAGCCCAAGTCCCAGAGCTTGAGCCTACCAAGAACAAGCCGCTCATCCCTGCATTTGTCATCAGCACCCGAACGCCCCTGACCTCGCCAGAGGAAAAGGAGAAAGACACAACATCTGACAAGCAGCCTCCAGAGACTGACCGTGGACCAGCTAGAGACATCCGGTCTGAAGAAGAATATAACTCGGGTTGGCTCAGAAATTTTGCCGGCGACAGAAGTAGGGCCCTTCCCGACTTCAACCTCTACCCATACAAGGGCTGGAAGATTGAGCCTCCTCAGGTGTTGCTCAGCCGTGCCAAAAACTTCCTCGCCGACGAGGACGTCAACAGAACAGTCGAGTGGGATCGCAAGTTCGCTGAGCTGGCAGAGTACTTTTCGTATCTCCTTCACAACTGGAAGGGTGAACGCTGGGGTGCTGACCTCCACGAGTGCATCGACATGCTCCACGCGCACCGCGTCTTTGAGGACTACCACTACGGCAGGCCCAAGCTGAATCTTGACTTTCCTGACAAGTGGGAAATCAAGATCTGGAGACTGCCGCGGGTGCCTGGTCATCATGTCGTCGTGGATGATGAGGAGGACATGGGGGAGCGGAAGCTGCTCTTCAACCCCATCCGTGCTGTCCATGATGTCCACTACGAGATGCCTCCAGATGTTCTCAAGAAGTACGTGGAGGAGTATGGACAAGATGCTGAATACTTCTGGTCTTCGTCCCACGGCGTCGAGCCTCGTCCAGAGAGACTCAGCGATCAAGACCCCAACAACAGAAGATTCAACATGGTTGAGTGTGAGAACAACGCATACGAGAAGAGCATCCTGAAGAACATGCAAGAAACCTGCTCTCAACTCAAATCTCAGCCTCGACCTCCCGCTGAGCAAGTCGAGGGCACGCCAGACACCAACTCTCTCCGCCAGTTTGCCTGGTTCCGCGGAACTCGACGAGCCGCTCTCCAGCAGTGTCTTGGCCAGTTCGGCAATGCTGAGAACGCTGCTGTGTGCAACCAGTGGCGAGCCATCATCCTTCCACCACCCAAGAAGCCAAAGCAACCTGACGCTGGGGTCCTTTTCACCACCATGCAAGTCGCTGACATCCCTGAGAAGGAGGCCCGCGATCCCTTCAGCTACACCCTCGCTCACAAGTGGTACCTCACAGCGGACCAATGGTGGGGTGCCTGGATGCGTCCTCACTCCATCAAGGAGTCCTACGGGGAGAGACTCTGGATGAAACGTAAGGAGGCCATCATGGAACTGCCTCACAACTTCAGGGGTCCGTATGTCATTGACTATTTCGACAAGGACATGAGAAAGACTCGGGAGCTCCTTAACAAATGTCAATTCATCTGGGATAGACTGGACGACAAGGAGAAGCATTTCAACCGCGAATTCTTGACCAGAATTGTCAAGTGTGTTTGGGAGGGACTTCGATCAGGGGAGGGCAGCTATCTTGAGCAAGGCTCTCTCGTTCGAAATGATGGAACCACTCCTGTGCCTCACATCAGACCCCTTGAAGAAGAGCTCCTTCGCTTCATCCTTGAACCTTCAGTCAACGCCGCCATGTTCGGCATCAAGCAAGGTGCTGACACAGGTGGTCGTGAAGATGATGGAATTTCCCCTAACCTCGGCGCTCATGGTCGACTGTTTGAGGAGAGGGTTGACGAGATGCTGAACGATATCAGCCATGACTCCTTTTTTCATCCTACGGCAGGACCTAACTCGCAGGATTTCATGGAGGTTCTCAACCGTGACTGTGACGGTCCCATGAAGCGTTACAGGTTCTCCAGAAAGGAGGCTATCAAATATGCACTTGCGCTCAAGAAGAAGGGCAAGATTTAGTACGTCCCTCACCCCCTTTTTTAAGAGTCAGAACTAACAATCGCAGCGCAAACAAGGATCTAGTGGTCCGTCGCCCCAAAGTCGACTTTCACCCAGAAGAACGAATCCGCTGGCTTGAGTCTGACAATGAGGTTGAACCCCCGCCGCCTGTTGAGCCCAAGAGAGGTCCAGTCAAAACTGTAGCCAAAGATGACGATAGCGTGACCATCTCAACCGACGTCTCGACTGAAATCAGCGAGCCCGAGTCTGTCGATCTCGGTCCTTACGCCAAGGGACTTCCCAAACTGGCCAACATCCGATCCTGGGTCGAAACCATCCTCGACCGCCAGGCCGTCGGCACCGACATGGAAAAGACACTCGTCTTGTTTGAGGGCCTTGGATATCGTCTTGGTAGAACGCTTCGCGATCTCCGTGAGCAGCATGCCAAAGATCTCAAAAGTCTCACTCCCGAGAAAAGACAACAGAACCGCGACTACGTCTGGAGAATATACCGATGGTGGGAGAAGGATTTACCGCTGCGAGCCAACGATCCTAAATGGAACCCGAACATGACTGACAACTGTTGGAGGATCCGTCTCACGCCAAAGTTCTGTGACGCCATCAAGATGGCCGAGCCAGAGGCCTACCAGGAGCCCTGGGACCGCGAGTCACTTTGCATCGATGACTCGAACTGGCCGGCGTCTGATATGCTCCTCAGGGGTATCGTCCGTGAGGCCTACGAGAACAAGAGCATGCTGTTCCCGACTCGTGTCACTCGCCGTATCGATGACACCGGCAAGACAATCACCTCGGAGCCCCGTCGTGAGCCTGTCTGGTCGTTTGGACATCCTGAGCGGTGCGGTAAGGGACCACGGTTCTGGGACATTGACCGTTGGCCTCTCCACTTGCAGACTGAGGAGACGAGAGAGTTGATTGAGAGTTCAGGCCCTGATGATTCCGTCTGTGTCGTCCCGCCTTCTCTGGGCCGCAAGCCTCTAGAGAGAACTAAGAAGAAGAGAACCAAGGGCCGTAGGAGATTTGGAGAAGAGGTTGAGGAAGGTCAAGAGAAGGAGGAAGTGACCTGGGAGTCGAAGGGTAAGGGGCGTGCTCATGACGACTCCCTTCTTCAGCTTGGCCAGCCGTTTGGGTTCACGTTCCAGGACCAAGCCCAAATCCGACGACGCTTTAAACCAGGAACACCAGAGTACTGGCTAGGTGACACGCCTCTTCAGAAGCAGAGAATCGAAGAGAGAATCAAGAGCGGTAAGCATCATCCCAAGCAACTGTAAGAACCTCACTAACACGATGTCATAGGTCTTGTGGGATCAGAGAAACCACGCTCCTGCTGGCGTCAGCGTCTCGCAGGCCTCCTGGGCAGCAAGGAAAACGACCCCACGGCGCTTCCGTACGTGAACCCGCGGAACATCCCCCGGAGCAAGCCACTGCCCAGCGAAACGGAGAAGGATAGCCCTATGTTGCCTCCTGTTAGTCCAGGGGGTATCCACAGTCTCAGGGTGCCACCGCTTCCTGCAAAGGTAGGAGATCAACTTGGATCGAAACCACGGCGCAAAAAGACAGATTCGCGAATGAACCCTCCTCACTTGGTTGAAACAGCCAAGGATGATGGACAAGAGGACCGTCGACGAGATTCGGACATGATAGATTTTCCAAGAGACTCCTCGAAGCTCGTTCCTGTTACTCCTCCTCCTCCTCCACCTCCGCCTGAGATCAAGCAGGCTGAATCATCGACGGCTGAGCCGCGAAAGGTCGCTCCCACAGGGCAGCGGCGACGAAATTCTCGCCCAATGGAGTCTCAGCGCCTGGAGCTGGAGATTGTTGAGCCTGAGGAGGATGAGTTGCAGAGACCTATCAGGGATCCGGAAGACGAGGCCCTCTACCGAGCTCTTCACCAAGAGTTTTATGATCCGTATGCTGAACATGGCTCACATTAGAGCGAGGACATATTGTGTATCGACGTTGGCTTTTTGTGCTTTGTACTGTTAGTCGTTAGCTTACCCTTGTATGGGCATTGGACAGCTCTTGTATCGCAAACTTGACACTCAATCTAAACTTCACACAAAACAATGCAGGCCAGCCTCTTTACTTCATTTCGCAACGTAACAGGTGAAATTTTTTTTCATTCAGACCCTAAGCCATTATTCTCATAGCCTCAAATCTGACCGGCCAAAACCATGCAATGAAACACAATGGGTCGTGACTCCGCGCACCGTTTCCAGCCCGTCCTCTTAGTATCGCTTGCCGTCCCGCAGGGTGTCGGCGTACTCGTCCAGGGGACTCCGGATGAGCTTGGTCTCCTTCCACAGGTTGGGGGTGAGGAAGCCGTAGGTGTTGGAGACGGCCACAAAGGTAGCCTTGAGGGTGTTCTCGAGGGTCTTGGTGGAACCAGCGGAAGAGGTGTAGGCGTCCTCGACACCGGCGAGCTGGAGGAATCGCTTGACGGCGGGGGAGGCGACGAGGCCAGTACCGCGGGGAGCGGGGATGAGCTAAAGCTGTAGTCAGTATTTTTGACGCTCCCTTTGTTTCCTTTCGGGTGCTACTTACACGGACGGTGACGGAACCGCACTTGCCAGACTCCTTGCAGGGCAGGGAGTGAGGCTGACCAAGGTTGGTACCCCAGTAACCTCTTCGGACGGGGATGACGCTGAGCTTGGCGATGATGATGGCGGCGCGGATGGCGGTAGCGACTTCCTTGGAGGTCTTGATGCCGAGACCGACGTGGCCCTCGGAGTCACCAATGATGACAATAGCCTTGAATCGGGTTCGCTGACCGGCACGGGTCTGCTTCTGGACGGGCTTGATCTGTAGTTTCGCGACATGTCAGTATTTTTGTTCTATCCCAATGTCTCCCATCACAATCGTCTGAGGATCCTCGTGTAGTCGTTCCGCACCTTCATAACCTCATCCTTGAGCTTGGGCAGGAAGTTGTCGACAATCTGGTACTCCTTGATGGGCAGGGAGTGCAGGTAAATCTCCTCCATGCTGTTGATCTTGCCGGCCTTGACCAATCGACCGAGCTTGGTGACGGGCTGCCACTCCTTCTCCTCGTTCTTGCCACGGCCACGGCCACGACCACGTCCACGTCCACGGCCGCGGTCACCGCCACGGGCTCCGAAACCACCACCGCGAGAAGAAGCTCCTCGGTCAGCCATCTTGAATGTATATGTTGCGCTGGGGGGGGGGGAGTCGACGTCAAAGGTCTGCGCAAAGATGTGGTTTTGGTGTTTCGGCTTTGGGCGTTGCTGGGAACTTTTTCGGCTGGCGGGGGTCTGCGCACTGAATTTTGGGGAATGTGCTCGAGTTAGCGAGCCCTAATGCGTTTGTGGATTTCTGCCTTGGGGTTAAGGCACAAAAATGGTGGGGTGTGGTTAGCTTCACCTTGACCTCTCACCTCGGTGAGGACTCCGATTCTCGGTGAGACAAACTGACCCCTCACAAATTGATCGGCAAACTTCCGAACTCCAACGCCGGCATCGCATAAATTCGCATGAAATTGCAACACCATCAGTCAATTGATTCGCAACTATACACCTTGGAGTCTCTGAAAAAGTGTGGAGATGATACAAGAGAACCAAAACTACATTGCGCCCAATGCAGGCGTTCAAGAAACCTCAAGCCATGCGAGAATAGAAGTCATGTCACAGAGGGGGATGCATGTTCGTACACGCCTGGCAGCTCCAGGCCATCATTAAGGAGGGTATCGCAACTCAACAGCCTCGTATATCTGCCCTCTCCTAGAGCCAGATCACACCACGTCTATTCCTTTGTTGTCTTGAGAATCAGGTTTTCCGCAGGTTTCACTCGCTGGGCCCATTCGCTATCATATTCTGTTAGCAGTTGTCATGAAAAGTGTGGGAATTTCACTTACGTCCAGCTGCCGTCGTAGACCCTCCGAGACTCGTGAGAACCAACACCAGCCTCTTCGAGGGCAGTCTCAAGAACGCAGGCAGTTACTCCAGTACCGCAACTTGAAATAATAGGGTGCTTAGAATCAACTCCCTTCTCCTCAAATACCTTCTTCAGCTGGTCTCGGGGGAGGAAAGCCTTAGTCTCAGGGTCCAGAACAGCGTTGAAGGGAATGTTGATAGATCCAGGCATGTGCCCAGAGGAGAGACCTTCGCGAGGCTCAGGGGATTCGCCTGTAAATCGGCCATTGGGTCGAGCATCGAGGATCTGGACGCCCTCGGCACCCTCCTTGTTGTAGTCGTTGGCAATCTCCTTGACCTCCTCAAAGTTTGCAACCCGTGTAGACTCGACGTTGGGAATAGGATAAGGACAGCACTCGACGCTATACAGCTCTCCTGACTCGGTAGGAAGACCCTCTTCCACCCACAGCTTAAAGTTGTTCAGGATATGCACCTTGGGGTGGCCAAAGACCTGCAATGTCCAGCCCACGCGGGGGGCACTGAAGATACCAAGCTCCTTGCTGTCATACACCACCACTGTATCCTCTTTTCGAATTCCCAGTTCGCTCATGGCGGCGGCAAAGCCCTTGGCATCGGGGAGCATATGAGGGTAGGGACTGCGCTTGTCGATGACCTTGTCGAGATCGAAAAATCGTGCCTTGGGAATGCGCTGTTCGCGGAACGTTTGGATACCGGATCGACCATCGTTGGGGAGAAACCATGAGGCGCAGAGAGGAATTGTTCGGGGCTCAGGGCTGATCGGCGAGGGAGGATTCTTCTTGAGGGCTTCGTCGAGTTCCTTCGGGGAGACGAGGTAGTTTGAGAAATTCCGCCGGGTGAGCAAGATGGGTCGGAAGACTCTGGAGCCCCATTGGGGCAGGCTAGCTCTTGTTGAGCGAGAGAAGGCGACAGCGGCCATGTTGTAGAAGTTGTAGCGGGTTGCGGGATGGTAGAGGGAGGAGTGGTGACTCGTACGAGCCGTTTCGGAGTGGTTGATAAGCCCGAGGCCAAAAGTTGGCGACAACTGCAGCTAAGGGAAATGCGGCGGGTCAGTCGTTGGATAGAGACAGCTAGCAAGAGGCTGAACTGTCGTTGTTCGTCCGCATCACTCGGCGGGAGAGTGCCCGGTTTGTGTGTAGAGGATTGAGGTCAAGTTGGTGACGGTGACGAATTAGTTAGCGGCTCCTTGTGGGATCCGATTTGATGATGGCGACACGGACACGGGCGAGGTTGGCGTCAAAATCAGGAAGGAAGCTGCGGGTTTCGGGACCTGCCCTGGAAGCTTTGACCCGGGATTGCGGCTACTGGAGGAGGGCCCAGCTGTTCAGTGGAGGGCTTTAGCGGTGCGAGCCCTTTCAGTGGGCGACTCTCAGCGCATGAGGTCACTGAAGCGCCCTCACGTAGACGCCCGCCCACCTCTTCCCGACCTCAGCTCATGTCTCCCCGCCAGATCCCACATCCAAACCTTGACCCTCCTCCTCCGCGTCAAGGTTCCATCGTCATCTTGACACTTTCGACTCTCTCGAGTCCCTCTCTTATCAATCCCGTGACTCCCCCTAGCGGCAGATCACCATGAAAGTCACCATCAAGGAGTGGAACACGGTCGCTACCTGGCGATGGGATATTCCTGAGGACGACGTCTGTGGTATCTGCCAGGTCCACTTCGACGGGACGTGTCCGACTTGCAAATATCCCGGTGATAGCTGCAGCCTGTGTAAGTAGTCTCTTTGACAGGCACAGGCACATCAGGCCATGTTCTATGCTCCCATTCTAACAATCTCGTCTCAAAGTATCGGGAAAATGCGGCCACAACTTTCACATGGTTCGACTTCTCCTCTCTGGTCTTTGTTGTCTTTATTGCTCACTGTCGGTGCGTGTTTTTAGCATTGCATACTCGAATGGATCAAGCAGGACTCTTCGAGGGGTCAGTGTCCTATGTGTCGTCAACGTACGTTGCCTATTCTCGAGTTTATCGACGGCTCTCAATTGACATGGTCCACAGGGTTTGAGTGGGAAAATCCTCTAGTTCCGAGGCCACCGCAAGCTGGATAAAGGAGCTGGGGTGTGGGTGGTGTTTGGCGTTATGGCATATGAAAATGGGTGCCGGGCATACCCTGAATATATCGCAGCAGGTCCTTTTTATTCTTCTCCAGCCAGCTTTTGCCTGTTATTCATTGCATTCATGATATAGTCTACGAGTAGTCCCAAGTGATCCTTAACCTGGGGGTAGAAGATACTCCCCCTAGCTCTTAACCCGAGTCACCAATTCGTATCTTTCATCTCAAACCTCTGGGGGTCAGAGTTGATATTATGCGCATGTGAATGACATACATTCAAGCGAGATACCCAGTACACTTTAAGCCAGCAATTACATCTGAAAGCGGCCTCGCGAGAAGAGTTTACAAAAGGGGCAACGCAGTCAACACTGGAGCCTCCTTGAATCACAAATGCCGATTCTACAGGCACAATTCGATGAGCTACTATAGTGATGACTAGATGTCATAATTTGGGATTTCGAGGTTTCACTTGAGAGGCTCGACTTTATCCGAATATGGATCAATAAAACCTTCTGTCCATTTCAAGCCCTTGCCATTACTCGTTTTATGTATATATCTATTATTATAGTCTTTGATCCAAGTTTAAACCAGTTGGAACCTTTGAAACATTCGTCTTGAAACGATAAAGCAGTCCCCTTCCCCTCTAAGCCTCAGGGACATACACGCCGTCCTTGCACAGAACAACCACCTTCTTGAAGAAACGTCGCCACTCAAGAGGATCACCCTTGACCTTGACAAAGCGCACGTCGAGAACCTCGGTGCCGTCAGGTAGAGGTTGACGATCAACCTGGATCTCACCGTGGAGGCTTTGCTGACGGCCGTCTAGGGCCTTGACCTTGATCGTGGCTACGGGGCTGCCGTAAAGATTTGGTGAGACAGGGGCAAGGGGAACGTTGAGCTGGTGAAGAGCATCGCTTAGCATTTGAATGATGTGGGCAGGTGGCACAGCGGAGAAGAATCGAGTGAGTGACTCTGGTGGACAAATATCGCGGAAACGGCGAGCTTGTTGTGTAAGACTCATGGAGGGGCCAGGAGTGTGGGAGAACTGAGACATGGAAGGCTCGTCGGCGAGAGAGTCCATCATCACGCGACGAGCGTCATGAGCGCGCGAAGGTAGAGACGAAGCCGGGGCAGCCATGGAACGGAGCGCCGGGCGTTCCCAGTCCCAGTCGCGGTCGACGATGGGGGCTTCAGGCTGGGTCGACGAGAACTTGCCGGCGTTGAGGCCTGTGTCAAGATCCATGTTGTCGCTAGATGACGGCTGCGATGTGGGTTGTTGGCTAAAGTCGATACGCAGGTTCTCCAGCATCTGTGTTGCAAGATAGATGGGATCCGAGACTCGGCCGTCGGCGGTGAGAAGAGCATTGTGTCGTGTGTACCAGGGGTGCTGGCGGACTTGGGTGAAGCTGAAGCGTTTCGCCGGGTCTATGCTCATCATGCCTCGTAGCAGAGAGAGGGCTTCTGAGGGTATCCTCTCCCAGAGTGCATCAGTGCTGCGGCCAGCGGTGCGAACGTATTCTTGAAACTCCCAGCTACCCTGTGAAGGTTCATCCCAAGGGGTATTACCGACCAGAAGGACAAAGAGGATGACACCGCAGGACCAAACGTCGACAAGATCTGGTGAGTACTTGGCAGCGCTTGGTGATCTCCTGTCGGCGCGGCCACAGGCAAGAATCTCAGGGGCGATGTAAGGGGGGCTACCGCAGAGCGTCGAGCTCATCTTTCGCTGACCCTTGTACTCAAACATTGTAGCCATTCCAAAATCAGCAAGCTTAAGTGAGCCATCCTGAGAGAGAAGAATGTTCTCCGGCTTGAGATCACGATGCGCAACACCCTTGGAGTGCATGAAGCTTACACCGCTGACGAGCTGCACAAAGTAGATCTGAGCAATGTCCTCGCGAACACCCACATCGGCTTCGATCTTGTCAAAGAGATCACCGCCTTCTGCGTACTCCATGGCGATCCAGCGCCAGATAGCATCCTCCCCAGAAGCGAACCACTCAATGATGTTGGGGTGTTGGCCAATGTGTGAGTGGAGGGAGACCTCCATGGCAAGCTGCTTTGTCGAGATGCGGCCATGTTTAACGGCGTATCCCTTGTGGATGAGCTTTACCGCAAAGATTGGTGTTGGAGCATCAAGTGGAATGGCCTTTTTGATACTGTCCCGTGTTAGTATTGGGTAGCATGTGAAATATTGGCGAGTGAAACTAACGAGGCGTAGGCTCCTCGACCAACGGTCTTGGAAACGATTCGAAAGGGAAGATCCCTTGGTAGAGGATCTAATTGAGACTGGTTCATCTGTGTTAGCGGGAGAGTAACGTCAAAGAAGTGATACAAGGCCGTATAAGAGCCAAAATGAAGTAGGGATAGCCTGGTGATGCCTCATCCATTCACGGATGAAGAACCACGTGCAAGTCGCACAATCATCAGGAACCATGAGCTACCTCGCAGGTACGATCAAAGACAAAAAAAGATGGGGACTTGCCATGATTTCAAACTTGCAACTCTCCAGCTGCCCACGCTGCAAACCCAATCGCGTCGTGAAAAAAAAAAAAGAGTGTTTGACGGGATGCTTGGTTCAGTCGTGGTTATGATGCAGAAGGTCCCCCAAGTGAAAGGCGGTCGCGTTTTTGGTCAAGTTTGTCGCGTCGCACCGCGTAAAGTGTTTGCTTGTTGCTGTGAGACCCCTAAACATTCAGTGGCATCTGGCGCCCCGCGCTTCTCCCTCCAGCGCTTCCCAGGCCTACGGTTTCAGGGCCCAAGCCCCCCATCCGGTTCCATTGGCCGCAGGCGTCCGTCTTTGTCGCCCCTCCCTGGCCCGGTCGCGCCGTTGCTGCGGTAAACAATTCAGTTGTTTCCATCCATCCAATGTCTTTGAAATCATAACCTCCCTTCGCTCTTCATTATTCCTGTCGCATCCCGTTCCCGTTCCCAAAACAAGAAAGAAGGCGTCTCGCGTCAAAAGCTTGCCCCGGCCTCACTTTAAGACCTCCTTCCCCTTCCTTACACTTCCCGCATACGCCACCAACTCTACCTCCTCGTCTTCCTTCACTGCCCCTGCATCCATACCGACCTCACCTCCTGCCGGTTGCGGACTTGCTTCTTGTGAATAACGATTCCCTCCTCATCTCAAGTCTCTTCCATCCCCACTCACGACTTCGGATCCGACATTTTTGCTCGTATCTGTTTCTAGCCTGTGTCTTTGAGCATCACCAACAGCATCATACAATGGATTACACGGAGGACAACCAGAACTCGGCTCCTGGCAGCGTCCCTGCTGCCAAGCTCAACAATGGTCGCTCAGGTCCCGACTCTCAGAGCACTACCAAGAGGTCAGTCAAAGTCCCCTCTCATCCGCAGCTCGCCAACCGCTAACATCATGCAGACTCCAGACCGAGTTGATGCAACTCATGACGTCGCCCGCTCCCGGCGTCTCGGCCTTTCCCTCCGCCGACGGCAACCTTCTCTCTTGGACCGCCACCATCGAGGGTCCCGACGACACTCCCTATGCCGGTCTCACCTTCAAGCTCAGCTTCGCCTTCCCCTCCAACTACCCCTACGCTGCTCCCACTGTTCTCTTCAAGACACCCATTTACCACCCCAACGTTGACTTCTCCGGTCGCATCTGTCTGGACATCCTCAAGGACAAGTGGACTGCCGCCTACAACATCCAGACTGTCCTTCTGAGTCTGCAGAGCTTGCTCGGCGAGCCCAACAAGTTAGTATTCCCCTACCAGGTTGCTACATCATGACATGTCTTAACAACTTCCAGCGCATCCCCCCTCAACGGTGAGGCGGCCGAGCTGTGGGACAAGGACCCCGAGGAGTTCAAGAAGAAGGTGCTGGGACGTCACCAGGACGTTGAGGACGAGTAATTGACTTCTACTGGGTTGGTGCTTAGGCTTGCTTGAATAAGGGACAGGAGTACCAGGTGTAAGGATTTTGTTTGATGACTTGTTAGGGATACGGGATTGCATGGCATTTCCTGAACTGGGCAAACAAGGGAGTGATATCGTTTGGGTCAAAAACAGGCAGACCATTGTCGATAGAATACCCTCATCGACATCTCGAGACATCCACGACCACTAGATCCGAAAGACATGATTGATTCGCCCCCATAAAAAGCCTTGAACTGACCACTTCACGCCGAGGCACCGATGATTGTCGTCAAGGATGGACTTCAAAGCTTTGATCACATTTTCCCTCTGTGTATTTTCAGCGTCAAAAGCCAGTAAGCCGATTGCAACTCCAAATGCCATGCCACCGTAGACCTTGTCCCAGAAGAGAAACTTTTTGCATTTATTCCTCAACAAGGACCGTGGGGAGGCCCTTGGGGTCCTTGACGTTCACAGCCTGAACGTAGCTGTACAGCTTCTCCTTAGCACCCTCCTCGTCATTTCGTCGTCGGGAAATTCGGATTCGGAGTCGGTAGTCAACACCCTTGACACCGTTCTCCCAGACCTTCTTGTTGAGCTGGGGGTCGATGCGGACATCAGAGGTACCCTGGGATCCTGTTAGCACTGGTGTCGTTGAAAAATGACAACTCTGCCGGTTCCAATTGCATCTCGCTCGGCGGCAGGTGTCTCGGGTGGGCGGTCGTACCATGGCCTTGGTGGCGAAGGACTTGATCTCCTTGATGGCACGGGGAGCCCTCTTCTTGAAGGTGACACCATGGAGCTTCAACCCATTAGCATATGATCCTGATCTGGAGCTCCGATTGTCGAGCTCTGCTGGTCGAGAAAACGTACTCGCTTGTGCATGTGGATGGTGTACTCGCGGGCGACGACATCCGCAATAGCGGAGCGCTGAGTCTTGCCAGAGGGCTTCTTGGACGACATGGCTGTGTGTGGTTTGTTAGTCGGTCGGTCTGGAGGAAACGACGAGAGTATAGGCGCAGGCTTCGAGGCGCTCGTAATCTCTCAAAGATGTGGTCTTGCGAGGGAGTAGAAGTTGTCGGGGGTATCGTACCTGCGGCTCGTCTCTTTCAAGGTCTGGCGTTGAGAGGTGTTGATTGTCGGAATAGTCAAAATCCCACAAAATCTTTGTGCGTAGGGCAGGCACGAAATTCAGTGGTGGGGAAAGCGAGCCAATGGCCTCGAGCCCTCACTCCCCACCAGGACTTCACGTGACATTGCAGGAACGACCCACTCCTAGCCTCCGAGTTAACGGGAGTTGGCTTAGGGGCCAAGTGTGGCCCGATCCACGTCGACCTGCGGCTGTTTATCGAAGCAACGCATTGTATCGTCGCCTGCATAGCGAGCGATTCCACATTCCAACGGCGACTGACCCTCGAGGCACCGCATCGCAACGTTTCTCTACGCATCGGCGCCCCTCCTGACTGTGTTCGCAGGGATCGACTTAACCAGGAGAGAGCGTGCTGCGGTTGCTGCGACAAGGAAGCCTCTTTCTCGTCGTCATCAAAAGGGGGACCTCGTCTCGCGTACCGGACCTTTCCATAAGCTCTCGGCAGTTGACATCACCCGCGCCGCCGAATCGAAACGCCTCTTTCTTAATCATCTACACTCTTTAACCCAGCTTCGAATAACCTTGCCCAACATGGCTGAGCACGAACCTGTCACCACCATGGCCTCGCCGTCGCCGCAACCTGACATGGCGCGAAACCGACTTCCAACGCTGTTTGAGGTGTTGAGCCGTCGCACCTTGCCGCCTGTCGACCTGTTCTCGTTCTACATTTACATGCGAGACCAGCAGAGATCGGTGGACTACCTTGACTTCTGGTAGGTGAACGAGAAACTTGGTGGCCTGGGCAAATCACTGACAATCACAGGCTCGATGTCGCCCAGCACATGTCTCTCTGCCGTCACTATGTGCGAGAGCTCAGACGTTCCGTCCTGATTGGCACGCCCGAGATGCAATCCAAGAGGTCATCTGCTATCCTAGAGAACATTGGCGACCTGGAACCCCGAGCGGCTGGTCCCTCGATGTACGCCACGGAGAAGGAGAAGAACCAGGATGCCCAAATGTCTGCTTTCCTGCGAGAGGAGCAACACGAGTCCCCGCAGAGCACCACCGCGCCTGTGCGACCCAGCCCTCAGTTCAGCAACTCGCACGATATCACCACCGACTCCAACTCTCCCGCCCACACGGTTGCGCGACAGGACATTCGCGCCTCGGCGGAGAAGATTCTCTACACCTTCCTGCTTCCCGGCGCTGAGCGAGAAATCACCCTTCCTGGCTCCATCACCCAGGAGGTTACCACAGCAATCGAGGAGTATGGCCGTGACGATCCCGAAGTATTCGATGTGGCCAAGGACTACGTCTTTCAAGCGATGGAGCGAGATGCCTTTCCCGGATTCCTGAGAATGAAGGCTCTTGGCAACCTGATCCCACCAACCCTCATCATGAGACTGATCTTGGGTCTGATCGCCATGTTTGGCGCCTTCTGGACTGGCTTCATTCTCATTTTCCTTGACAAGTCTCGTCTGACGAAATGCTGGGTAAGCTCACTTGTACACGTCGTTTAGGCCCCCACTGACCAGCGCCAGCTCATCATCCCCTTCACCGTCGGTGTCTATTTCCTTGCGTCTTACCAGTACTCACTCGACCCTATTATGGCTTTGGTCGGCTACAGCGAGTACACCCCATTCAACTTCTCTCGCATTCGCGAACCGTACATCCGCAAACTACTCGCCAAGCGAGCTCTCATGGTCCTGGCAGTCACCATTCTCATCGATGCCGGACTCTGCGTTCTCTTTATCCTCGTACCAGGCAAGCGCCTGTGAGCGCATGTTCTTATCGAACAACCACGGCCATTAATGCCGGCCGTTACTGGCCTTCGGATTTCTTTCTAGAGCAAGCCACTAGGCGAGATTTATACAGGGACAGAAAAAAGTTTCACGACCGTAATGACATTGAGAGCTTTGATTCGGCAGCGATATCAGCCGCCCTTCACACTGGAGGTTGTGGCCCTTTTACTTTCTCTTTGGAATGTTGGCGTCTGGAGATCTATCTGTGTTGTATCATATAGGGCTTGCGTATAACTTTGCTATTCTGCAGCCTCTACTTTGAGATGTCTCATCTCGGAGTTTCTGGCTATGTCATGTTTCTTCTCTTCTTGATCATCATTATGTAGGGCGGTAGCGTCACAGTTATGGTACAGGCACTGGCGGCACTCGGTACTAGGGGTAGCTAATCAAGGGCGTTATGTCGTCTATTACATCGTGGTTCTTCGTGATACATACGTTTTATGCAGTTCTCGCCGCCGTGTCTAGCCGTCATCAGGGACACTGAGTATCATCACATCTTGCGCTTGCTGGCTCGCTTCTTCTCCTCCTCGGACTCGTCCACGTCCATGAGCTCACTCTCTGGCAGGCTGCCGACTTCCATGACGGGTCGCTTGTTAAGACCTCTTCTATTGATCATTTCCCTCGTCAAGCCTGTCATGCCGAACGCGCGGGCGTTTCCCTCCTGGACATCACTCACTTGCTGCTTGAGCTTATCATCAGTAGCACGTTGCTCCCGCTGTCGTGCCGTGGCCGTTGTCTGGATATCCTTGATCTGGGTTTCCAAGTCCCCGAGGGTCGAAGTGCAGCGGTCTGACCATGCCTTGAGCGCCGTAGCCAGGTCGGGTATCGCTCCTGGGGCGAGGTCACGTAGGGGCGCGACGCTGGTGACTTGAACCGCAGCACGGGCTGGGTCGAGCGTAGCGTGAAGAAGACCGGCGTAGACAGCCGAAATAACGAGGGTCTCAACTTCCCGGGCCCCGGGTAGGTCGAGGGCATCCTGTAGCGCAGCGTAGGATAGGTTCTTTCGGTCTCGGGCTAGTGTGAGGAGCGAGAGCTGACGGAGCTTTGTTGCCTGGGCCTCTGAAAGGGCGGGCAGACCCTCGGTGGTTTTGTAGGAAGCGTATGTGCCATAGGCGAATGTCTGTAGGAGTGTAAGGTGTGACGCGAACTCTGAACCAGTGAGGCCCTGGATGGCGGGTGTTTGGAGGAGTTCGGTGAAGAGAAAGGTGTTTTGGGCGGAGGTGGCTCGGGTGACGAGGTCGGCGGCGGCGCGGGGAGAGGTGGCCGACTTGGAGAGAGCGAGGAAGGGCTGGCAGGTGTTAATATTGGTCATGCTGATCAACTGTGTATTCAAGAGTTTACCTCGAGAGCGTTGAGAGCTTTTGTCTGCTCCATGATGGGCTGCGGTTGAGGCTACAGCCTCGCGGGGTGGAGTTTCACGGTGACAAGACAATGAACAGAGTCGGAATGTTCAGCGGTCGTTGGATTGTGAAGGCCCGTGTAACTGCTATGATTCGTTCTGCAGGTTCTTCCCAGCTGAGTAATTCGCCGGTGATGCCTGGTTTCTTGTGTTTTGTTGGTTACTTGAAGTTGCTGAAGTAATAGGCAGATGCAGTTGCATGTTGGAGCTCGCCTGGAAGTGAGGCTGGAGTCCTGTGGCGGCGCGGGGCTCATCCTGTGGGGAAGAGTCGTGGGGTCACTTTGAGGAATGCGAGTCCAGGCTCAAAAAGTTGAAGTGAACTTACCCTACGACATCGTGCCGACGGGCCGTTGACGTTGAGAAATCTTATTGAAACGACATGGGCAGTTTCTTGTACTTTGAATTCTTTATTGTTCAAATTACACATGCCTCGTCCATTATTTACATGCTGCTGGGCATTAATAGAGAAGGGAGTGTCCAGTTAATTGAAAGAAACCAACTTGACACAAGAGCCATGAACTTCATCACTCTCAGCATTAACAACAGCCACAACACCACTAGCGGACATGCGTGTATCAATGTAATAATCATACCTATCCTAGATCATCGATCTCAGCACGGTTTTTCAGCGACGTTTGAATGCCATGGCTTGAGTCAGCAATTCACATAGCCAATTGTCTACTCCTTCGACAAAACACGGATGCAAGTTCTAAGCCGAGTTACACGAGCGCCCCCGAATAAGCACACGCTAATGCCGGAACCTTTGCCATCTTGCCAAATCGTCCTCGGCCACGGCTGCGCAGCTGACCTACAGCCTCAGCTGGACGTAGCCACGCGTACACGAGCTGTCGGAACAAGTGAGACCCGGGCTTGCATCTCACTCTTGGGCGGCATGGCGCCTTACAAGACATCAAGACACTGCCGTCTTAGTTGCAGGCGATGATTGGTAAACGTCGTAAAAAACGCTGGTGACAGAGTTACGATCGACGGGTCCTAGGTCGAAAGAGTGAAGCTTGAAATTAAACATCACAACCCTCTGCGTCTTCTTGGACAAGTTCATGTCTGTTTAGAGACCGACACTACGCCTAGCTTCGATAGCTTGGCAAAGTCAAAGTCTGGTTGGACGGCAAGGTCAATCGGAGGCTGCCCCCGCGAGAGATCGACGCTCACGTCTTTGAGGGCGTGGGATGGCGACATCACGAAACAGGAAACTACGGAGCATCGGCAGTGCTTTTCTGGGAGAGGAGTGAGACGGCAGATGTGGACAGCAATGTAAATATAAACACGGGTCAATTGCGCCTCTCTTGTGTGGTTGCAGCGACTCTTCTCACTCACACTCCTCCAACTTGAATTGCACACACACTCTTTTTCCAACTGCACCACCAGTGCATCAGAAGCGTGGATCACATTCCCCGTTTGTTTCATTCGGCCAATCGCTTCACAAGGAAGAGTGACTTGCCCAGCGGGTGGATCACGCCCAAGAATCCCGCCCCCAGCGTCTCAGGCCTTGCGCCCCAAGCTCCAGTCCAATCCATCCATTGTGGTGTCAGTGTCCGACGGGACCTACGGGACAGAGCGTTCATTGTTCTGCGCTAGCAAGCGACAACAGAACAAGAAGGAAAAAAAGACAGGACCCTTGACTGAACAGAGACCCCTGCAACAAAGATTTCCGCGGCGGCTCCTGCAGACGCTCCCTGTCTCATCATCAATCCCACCAACGAGACTTGTCGGACAACGTCAAACCGTCCGGGAACCGTCCCAAATCTGGAACTTGGCCGCAACAGCCGCTGAGCCAAGACCTCGTCAAAACAGCTTCGGATCTGGGATAATCTGGCTGAGGAGCCTGTTCTCTGCTGCGGCCGTCCTTGGTAATGCTGTGCTAAGAGTGTGTGTGAGTCCCTTTCCTTCCCTTCCCTTCCCCTGAGCCTGGGTGCGAATGGGCAATAAAATGCCGTCGCATCCGTCTCATGTCATTCGCGTCCTGGTCTAGGCGTCCTCTTTTTTTTCTTCCTCACCCAAGTGGTCATTCATTTTGTACCCATTTCATTTTGTTACTAACGACAAAATCGCCCAGTCTGGATTACTGACGCCTCGATCAATCAGACGACGACCCGCCTCAGCTCGACAAGAAAGAAGCCGGTCTTCGGGGTCCAGTGGCGTCGTTTCTCCAGCCTCGTTCACTTAACGTTATCAATCAGCATCAGCTGTTGTTTTCTACTCCATTTTCCTTCAGTCTGCCTGCGACCTGCTTTTAGCTGCGTTTCCTCATTGCGGCTTTTCCCTTACTTTTCCCCTTCTGTCCGAGCTACTGCTCGCTTTATTCTTGGCTGAATTCCATCATCATTGTTGCGATACGAGCGAATTGATTTCCACCGAATGCCCATGGCTGGAATAGCGAACTGAGGGACCAAAACTACTGGGGAACGAACCCAGCACAGTCAGCCAACCAACCACCACGACTAATTAACCGCGAGAACCACGTTCCATCGACTCCGCCCGCCACTGTCTCTCTTATCACCAACAACCACCTTCCGCTCTCGGTGCTCTTGGAGAGCATATTAATCAAACGAGGAGGCTCGCGGGCCATAATCCGTCTGTCGCCATGGCTCCCTCGTATATTCAGATCCCCTCGAGGGAAAAGGGCAATGACGTTGGCGCTGCGGATGCCGCCCTCTCCGTCCCCAAGAGCGCTGGCGCCGGCGCCCACCTCGCTACCACGGCTCTCCGCGTGGACGGTATGACGTGAGTTGCTTGCTCGCCCCAACATCAACCACCTCCGGACATTCCGGCTCCGCCATGCCGAGAAACTCTTGGCCGGACATGGCTGTAGATATATTACTAACGCCTGTTCCTCTACAGATGCGGCGCATGTACTTCTGCTGTTGAAGCTGGCTTCAAGGGCGTCGATGGTGTCGGAAACGTCTCAGTCAGTCTGGTTATGGAGCGCGCAGTCGTCATGCACGACCCCAGTGTCATCTCTGCCGCTCAGATTCAAGAAATTATCGAGGATAGAGGCTTCGACGCTGAGGTCCTCTCTACCGACCTTCCGAGCCCTGCTTTCAAGCCCACCGGTAGCCTCAACCTCCTCGATGGAGACGACGACTTTGTCACGACTACCGTTGCCGTCGAGGGCATGACCTGTGGTGCCTGCACCTCTGCTGTCGAGGGCGGCTTCAAGGATGTCCCTGGCGTCAAGAGCTTCAGCATCTCTCTACTGTCCGAGCGAGCCGTCATCGAGCACGACCCCGATCTGCTCACCGCGGAGCAGATTGCCGAGATCATCGAGGACCGAGGCTTCGACGCTACGATTATCGACTCAGGAAAGTCAGCTGCGGACAAGGCGACGAAAGATTCTGGAAGCAACGGCGACGTGGTCATCACGACAGTTGCCATCGAAGGCATGACGTGCGGCGCATGCACGTCGGCCGTTGAGGGTGGATTCAAGGGTCTAGAAGGTGTCCTGAAATTCAACATCAGCTTGCTCGCGGAACGAGCCGTCATCACGCACGACGTCACCAAGCTTTCACCGGAAAAGATTGCAGAAATCATTGACGATCGGGGATTCGACGCCAAGGTTCTTTCGACACAGTCCGCCGGCGATCACCCCAGCGGCTCGTCCTCCAATGCGCAGCTCAAGGTCTACGGTGTCCCCGATGCGGCTGCAGCGAAGGCTTTGGAGGCTACATTAGCTTCGTATCACGGCGTCGACTCTGTTTCGTTGGACCTCGCCTCCTCACGCCTCACCATCAATCACCAGCCCAGCGTTCTTGGCTTGCGAGCTATTGTTGAGGCCGTTGAGGCAGCGGGCTACAATGCTCTCGTCGCCGACAACCAAGATAACAATGCCCAGCTCGAGTCACTGGCCAAAACCCGCGAGATCAACGAATGGCGGACGGCCTTCCGCATTTCTCTAGCTTTTGCTATTCCCGTCTTTATCATTGGCATGATACTGCCAATGTGTTCGCCTAAGCTCGACTTTGGAGGCTACGAGCTGGCTACCGGCCTGTATCTCGGCGATGTTATCGGTTTGATTCTCACGATACCCGTCCAATTCGGCGTTGGAAAGCGATTTTACATCTCGGCCTACAAGTCCATCAAGCACCGTTCCCCTACGATGGATGTTCTGGTGATTCTGGGCACTTCGTGCGCCTTTTTCTTCAGCATCCTTACTATGGTAGTTTCACTACTTGTGCCCCCTCACACAAGGCCTGGCACCATCTTCGACACAAGCACCATGCTTATCACATTTGTCACTCTCGGACGTTATCTGGAGAACAGCGCCAAGGGTCAGACTTCCAAGGCCCTTTCTCGTCTCATGTCTCTGGCGCCTCCCATGGCGACCATTTACGCGGATCCAATTGCTGCTGAAAAGGCTGCTGAGACTTGGGACAAGAACCCAACTACGCCCCGAACTCCCAGGACTCCTGGACTTGGTGGATCGGCCTTTGAGGAGAGACTCATCCCTACAGAGCTGTTGCAGGTTGGTGACATAGTGGTTCTCCGACCTGGTGACAAGCTTCCCGCCGACGGAGTCCTTGTCCGCGGTGAGACTTACGTTGATGAGAGTATGGTGACGGGCGAGGCGATGCCCGTCCAGAAGCGAGTGGGCGACAACGTCATTGGCGGTACTGTCAATGGCGACGGTCGAGTCGACCTTCGAGTCACCCGTGCTGGACGTGACACTCAGCTTAGCCAGATCGTCAAGCTGGTCCAAGATGCGCAGACAACCCGGGCACCCATCCAGCGACTCGCCGATACCATTGCTGGCTACTTTGTCCCTACCATTCTGATACTGGGAGTGTCGACATTCCTCTGCTGGATGGTTCTTAGTCATGTTCTCTCTAACCCACCAAAGATCTTTCTGCAGGACGTCAGCGGCGGCAAGGTTATGGTTTGCGTTAAGCTGTGCATCTCCGTCATCGTCTTTGCATGCCCCTGCGCCCTCGGTCTGGCCACGCCCACCGCCGTCATGGTCGGTACAGGCGTTGGCGCCGAGAATGGTATCCTGATCAAGGGCGGCGCAACCCTCGAAAGGACTACCAAGGTGACCCAGATCGTTCTTGACAAGACTGGCACTATCACCTACGGCAAGATGAGTGTTGTCGAGTACAGCATTGAATCTGCATGGGATGACAATGGATGGCGCCGTCGACTTTGGTGGACCATTGTTGGTCTTGCTGAGATGGGTAGCGAACACCCCGTGGGTAAGGCCGTTCTCAGAGGAGCCCGTACTGAACTGGACATTGAAGTCGATGGCGTCATTGAAGGCAGTGTCGGAGAGTTCAAGGCGGCCGTCGGCAAGGGTGTGAACGCTCTGGTTGAACCTGCGTCAGCCGTTGACCGCACTCGTTATCGTGTGCTTCTTGGAAACGTTGCGTTCCTGCAGGATAACGGAGTTGATGTACCCGAAGAAGCCATTGAGGCGTCGGAGCATTTCAACTCGAGCGCAAGCAAGGCAGCAGGAAAAGCACCCACTACTGGCACGACAAACATTTTTGTGGCCATCGATGGCTCTTATGGCGGTCACCTCTGCCTGGCCGACTCCATCAAGGAGGGTGCTGCCGCTGCCATCTCCGTGCTTCATCAGATGGGCGTTAAGACAGCCATCGTGACTGGAGATCAACGGTCCACTGCCCTCAGCGTCGCCGCTGCAGTGGGCATCTCCCCTGACAACGTCTACGCTGGTGTTAGCCCCGACCAGAAGCAGGAGATTCTGAAGGAGATTCAAGCGCAGGGTGAGGTCGTCGCCATGGTTGGCGATGGTATCAATGACTCTCCTGCGTTGGCGACAGCTGATGTCGGTATCGCCATGGCCAGTGGCACAGATGTCGCCATGGAGGCCGCAGACATGGTGCTCATGCGTCCGACAGATCTGATGGACATTCCTGCAGCGCTCGACCTCACACGCTGCATCTTCCGTCGCATCAAGCTTAACCTTGCGTGGGCGTGCATGTACAATCTTGTCGGACTGCCCATCGCCATGGGTTTCTTCCTTCCTCTCGGCTTCCACATGCACCCCATGATGGCAGGCTTCGCAATGGCGTTTAGCAGCGTTAGCGTCGTTGTGAGTAGCATCCTGCTCAAGACCTGGAAGAGGCCAAGGTGGATGGACGAGGCGGCTGCGGCTCCTCATGGTGGCCTTCACTGGAAGGGCGGACGTGGCATCTTTGGCTGGGTGCGCGAGGTGCTTGGAAGGAGAAAGGTGAAGAAGGAGGAAGGATACGTGCCGTTGTCCAACCTAGAGGCGGCGGAAGTATAACATGACATCTAATGATGCATTGTTTCGCAAGCGGTGGAGTTGTTGTTTTGGTGTAGATATGTATAGCCGATTTACTCAACCTTGATGATATCCTGTAAGTAGTCAAAAACATGATCAAATTTCAACTATCGGCGTCCTCGGAATGATCAAGTCAACTTGGGTCCTCGTCTCTTATTATTCAAATCTACCGGCCCCTTTCACATCCCTGCTCTTTCGGTTCTGCGCATGGATAACGCGATCGATGGCAGTTGCTCGTGTGGTAGTCGGGTGGTGCTCGTATGTTGACATGTGGTGTATAGACACATACGTATGCGAGCACGGACTCGGTAGATGGTACACGTCTCGGTTCTAGAGCTCCGTCTATCATCAAGTTTGAGGCGTGTTTCTTATCTTTTGGTGGGGTGATGTATGCGACATTGTCGTCCATCGAGTTGATATCTCAACTTCAAGATGAAGTGGGTTAGTCATCTCACATGCCATTGCCCGAGAACACCGAATTATGGCCGCTATTGTTCTTTTACATTTAAACTCAATTGGCAAAAAGCGTGAAAGCAGAAAAAAAAAAGAGGCCGTTGGAGGTTGCACGTGATCCCGCAACCTCTTTGACGAGCAGATCTTTCGTAGCTCCCGTCTTTCGGCCAAGGAGCTCTCTTCACAAACACTGTCGGCTATCAATTAATCACTCGCTTCACCAACAATGCTGGATCAAATGGCCAACGACATCAAGCTCCTCTCGGGGAGCGGCCATCCGGAGCTCAGCTCTCTGATGGCCACCCGGTACGTCGAGCAGTCATGATGATGATGACGATGATGCACAAACCCCACGCTGGTGAGCACAAGGATCCTATTGGGCTAACCAACCCCTGCAGACTCGGCATCACTGTCGCAAACACCATGTGCCTGAAGTACTCGAACCAAGAGACGAGCGTCTCCATCGGCGAGTCGGTTCGTGATGAAGATGTATTCATCGTTCAATCGGTCGCGCCGGGCCAGGTCAACGATGGCATCATGGAGGTCTTTATCACGGCCAATGCTTGCCGCAGCGCTTCAGCTCGAAGCATCACCGTTGTCCTCCCCTTCTTTCCCTACAGCAGACAGGACAAGAAGGACAAGTCGCGCGCCCCAATCAGCGCGAGGCTTATGGCAAACATGCTGCAGGTGTCTGGTGTCGTGAGGATCCCTGTTCCCTTAAGCCCACGTGTGTATTGCTTACAATATGGTCAGAACCATGTCATCACGATGGACCTGCACGCCTCGCAAATCCAGGGCTTCTTCAACGTGCCCGTGGATAACCTCTTTGCTGAGCCGTCCATCTTTCGATGGATCCGAGAGAATCTAAACATTGAAGACTGCGTCATTGTCTCACCTGATGCTGGAGGCGCGAAGCGTGCGACATCTATTGCTGATCGTCTTAAGACTGCCTTTGCTTTGATCCACAAGGAGCGTCCACGTCCCAACGTCGTCGGCCGGATGGTGCTGGTCGGTGATGTCAAGGATAAGACTGCTATCATTGTGGATGATATGGCGGATACCTGTGGAACTGTACGACCCTGCCTTTTGGTTCTTTGTCGTATAAATGGCTAACCTCTCTGTGCAGCTTGCAAAGGCGGCGGCCACGCTTAACGAGCATGGTGCTCGTCAGGTCTTTGCGATTGTTACCCACGGAATTCTCAGTGGTAATGCCATTGAGACTATCAACAATTCTTGCCTTTCTGGCTTGGTCGTGACCAACAGTGAGTTGCTCTTGTGGGATGTGGTTGACTCATTGCTAACAAGTTTAATAGCTGTCCCGCGTAAGTCTCCTAGACCAATAACTCCCTTCTGCTTCTACGTATTATCACGTTTGTTGTGACTGTGACTTATACTGACCAATGGATTAGTTGGCGACAAGGTTGAGCGATGCCCCAAGCTCAAGGTGATTGATGTGTCTGGAACTCTGGCTGAGGTAGGTCCAACACGGTGGACCGCAAGACAACCATACTCACCTTCCCTTAGGCCATTCGGAGAACCCACAATGGCGAGTCCGTCTCGTACCTCTTCACCAACGCTCCTCTGTGATCTGGATCGGCATTGGGTACATTTTGCTATTTCCGGAGTTGGGGCTGGAACTGGGGTTTGGGAGTTCGGATTGATGTGCTTGGCAAGTCTGTAACATGGACTGAAGCTAATGGGTATTTCTTGGCAATGAATTTCAGCTACAGTAGGTAGGTAACAACGCCTCAAGGTAGTGTGATCAGCTGTTCTATCAGAACTCACACCGAGTGGACATGATTTGCAGTAGTATGCTGATGAAGGAGCCTCAATACCGTGAGCTGTCAAAATGACACGCTGACAGATTCACCAGCAGCAGGGCGAATGTCACAGCCCAACAGCCGAGCACAGAGTACGTAAAAATCCACGGTTAGGGCTGTCTCTCAGGGACGGGTTCCAAGACAAGGCTCAGGGGTTGGTCGATCTAACGGGTCTCCGGGACTCTGTCTGAATCATCTGCTACCCTGCTGATTCAAAAGAAGCAAGGCTTCTCAAGCATTCCAGCCTTCAAGCTGTTTTAGAGGCGTCTCGGTTCGCGACACTTGATAGCTTAACGTCGTTTTTTTCTTTTCTTGGATAAGAAACAACGGTGTCAAGTAGTGTGAAAGTAAACGGCCTTTTTTTCATCTCATGCCAGATCGCAAGCCACTTGAGCTATCAATTGTGTGGGAAGAAGGCTTTTGTTGCCAAGAGTTTGGGACATGAAGGGGTGGTCTCTTTACTTGGGCTCCGCCGCCACGTGTGGCGTTTGGGATGACGGCAAGGGGTAAGAATGGAGCTTGGAGGATGGGAAGAGGATGATGGGAGATGTTGTCGTCTGGGCAAGGATTTTTCTCATCAACTTGGTGCAGATGTCACGACCGAGCTTCGTCTGGACTATACTGCATACATATGAACTCAACGTCTTCTGTCAAGTGACACATCTAAGGAACCTTGTCTGTTAGACCTGGGTTCGGATAATGCCCCTATTCCCAGACGGCATGCATTCAATAGCTCCCGCGCCGATTTGTCTGATAGCTCGCCGCCGCCGCCCTTGTTCTGTAGGGCTAGTCGTGTGTGGGTGGGCGAGACATCTTCGATCGGCGACGTTGGAGAAGAGAGAGGAGCACATACCAACAAGGCACGAGCGTTTAAAGTGTGCACCCGGATAAAAGAAAGAAAAAAAAATCTGCCCCTTGCTTGTTGGTTCGTGTCTTGTGCAGGATGACGTGCCCTCTTCTCGCTTATTGCCTGAGTAGATTGGGGATGTAAGTGTTGAAGGATATTGGGCAAGCATGGGATGGATATGGGAATAATCAGTCTGTTACAGCAATGGGAGTCAGTTTCACCAGCTGATTTCTTATCCTCCTTTATACTATCCAGTGATCCTTTATCGTAACCCATTCAAAGGCAATCATCCCAACGCGGTTCCATCATTCAAGAAAAGAATCGCGCGTCAGTGGTAACGAGCCCCTGGATGCAATCCCATCCCGCGCTATCGAATATGTCAGCACCCGACGCCGTGATTGGACCAAAACAAGTGCGGCGGGTTTTCCCAGCGATCTTCCTTAGTGCACAGATTTTGCCCCCGCCCCCTTTTCCTTCTGACCCCTGGATTTGATTGAAGCAAGACGCGTTCCAATGAATCTCGGGACGGATAGGGTGACCTAGATGCATCTAAGAGACCCAGATCGTTTGCTCTCTTTCAGCTCCATCCAGATGTCGGTCAGGGGAGGGGGGGTTACTGTATGTGAGAGTGGTCTTGTGCAGGTAACCTTTGGTACAGTATGGTGCGTGCCGGAGTCCGACGGAAGAGTGAGTGAGAGAGTGTCTGTCTGATCGACAAACGGTTAATTAAGGTAGTGGATTCATTTGTTCGTGTTCTCTACCCGAATGTCTGTCAGCTTGTATGTACTGTACATTCTGCTGTGTACTGTTGGCTTTTCCCCTCGCAGCTGAGGTGCAACAGCCAGCGAAAAAAGGTAGAAGCCCGTTCGTTCCTCTTATAATTCCTTTGCCCACCATCGATGTAATTTCCCGCTTGCAGTAGAAAATATGCACATGCTAATGGTAGCTCCGGGTGAGAATTTAGGTCTTGCGCTGGCTGGTAGGCCCTCGTAGGTTCCGCCAATGCTGACACTTGTTCACTTAATTTGGCACAGCCCTTGAACCCAGGTGGCCATGTGGGTTGCAGTACTTTGGCACGGGGTACCTTGAAAATGGATGGATGCTGCGACCACAACTTGAAATCCTGCGCGAGCCAGTCAGCGGAGAGAGGCCGGGGGACCCTCCCTTGAAGTCCAGTCCAGGACCCGAGGGGACGCTGGAGAGATCCATGGAAGTGCTGACAAGCGCCGTCCATAAGCAGAGCCCGCTACCGCTACACGCTACGCTACCTTTGCTGCCCGTCATCCGCCCGCCGCCTGCGCTCCCCCATCATCCCCATCCCATATCCCTCCTCCTCCCTTCTCCCTTTAATTTTTTAATTCCCCTCTTCTCTTCTGAGAGTCTCTTCTTTCTTCTTATTATCGCATCGCATCGCATTCCCACGAGTCTGCACTTCCTTTCTGTCTCACCTGTTGGGTCCAATCGCTCGCTACTACTTTTTGACTTCAGTCTCCCGCCCGACCCCCCCCTTCTCCTCCTCCCTCCCTCCCTCCTTGGTCTTGGGTCTTGGCCTTGGCGGCCCCTGTATTTTCTTCGCTTCTCCGTGTTACGTTTCCACTCAACCACCTACAACTTCAAACCTCTTGACGACCTCGGCCGCTCCGTGCCCATCATCATTTGCATCTGTAATCGACTTTGCTGCGCGTCGATTCATCATCATCCTCCATCTTCATCATCAGCGAATCGGTCCCCCGAGATTAGCATGCTAGAAACCCGACGACAATAGAGCGCACACGGTAAACTCTCTAGCACCCGACCTCCTCACCACTACCACCCTCTCTCGACCCCATCTTCATTTGAACTCGGCGCATTCTCCTCTGCGAAAAGCGACTCTCAACATCACCAGCACAATGTCTCGTCCCAACAATGAGGAGCCCGTCCCTCTCCTCTCCTCCGAGGAGAGAGATCTCGAGACCAAGGGCGAACTCGACCTCGAGAGCCATGCCGGCCGCGCCGAGCCCCCCAAGAACCAGAACCTCGAGCACGAGTACTCGATCCCCAGCACAGTCAAGTTTGCTTGGCTCGGCACCTACTTCTTCTTCTCGCTTCTCCTGACTCTGTACAACAAGCTGGTCCTGGGAATGGTAAGTCTACAACGTCGAGTTTGATGGCGTCCACGCCCGCGCCCTCTCGGCCCGCGCCGTCATACGCAACTCTGTTCGACACGATGCTAACGATGCGCCCGCGATACAGTTCCACTTCCCTTGGCTTCTGACCTTCCTCCACGCTTCTTTCGCCAGCGCTGGTACCTATGTCATGATGCAGTTGGGCTACTTCAAGCTGTCGCGACTGGGTCGCCGTGAGAACCTCGCCCTGGTCGCCTTCAGTGCCCTTTTCACCGCCAACATTGCCGTCTCCAACCTGTCTCTGGCCATGGTTTCCGTTCCCTTCTACCAGACCATGCGCATGCTGTGCCCGATCTTCACCATCCTCATCTACCGCGTCTACTACGGCCGCACCTACAGCAGCATGACCTACCTCTCTCTGCTGCCTCTCATCATTGGTGCCGCCATGACCACTCTGGGTGAGATGAGCTTCACTGATGCTGGTTTCCTCCTCACCATCCTCGGTGTTGTTCTTGCTGCTCTCAAAGTAAGCTTGATTTCTAGATCTAAACCAATCTGGCCACTGACTCTTCTCTAGACCGTCGTCACCAACCGATTCATGACTGGCTCCCTCGCCCTGCCTCCCATCGAGTTCCTTCTCCGCATGTCTCCTCTCGCTGCTCTCCAGGCTCTGGCTTGCGCCACCGCGACCGGTGAGGTTAGCGGCTTCCACAAGCTCATCACCTCGGGCGACGTCTCTCTCCCTCCCGCCTTCGCCTCGCTCTTCGGAAACGGTTTCCTCGCTCTGCTGCTCAACATCTCTTCTTTCAACACCAACAAGCTTGCTGGTGCCCTCACCATGACTGTTTGCGGTAACCTCAAGCAGTGCTTGACCGTTGCCCTCGGCATTGTAATCTTCGATGTGACCATCGACCTGCTTAACGGAGCTGGTATGGCTGTCACTATGCTTGGTGCTGCCATCTACAGCAAAGCCGAGCTCGATAACAAGAACCGAAAGAGCCAGCAGGCTGCTGCCGCTGCCGCCGCCGCCTACAAGCCCGTCGACCAGCAGGTCCGGTAGAACAGACTTGTGTTGGAAATCAATACCCCCCGCTTTTTAATACATGACCTTTTTTATAGATGATCGGGTAAGGGGGCCAGCGAAGACAAAGGAAAGGGGAAGCACTTCTTTTGGCGTCTTGCTATGCTTGCTTTCATTTTGGGATTCTCATTGGGTGCGTCGGGCACGGGATGGATCTCTCTCTGGTAAAGCATTCTTCTCCTCGCCTGTTGTAAACTTTTTTGATATACGGTGGTCCTCCACGGGCTGTTTTTTTTCGCTCAGCAGAGCAAAATGGGGTCAAAGAGATTGGGATGTTTTTTCTTTACTGTTGTCATGATCATGGGCTATGGCTTCTTTTTTCCAGAAACACGCAGGGCCAAAGATGTCCTGTGGCTTTCTTGTACAACTTCGGTTGTTGTTTCTTCTTTTTTCTTGGATAGGGTCTGCTTTCCTGAGTAAAAATAGACACTCTACATTAATCTCCTGGTGTCCTGGCGTTTGTAACTACTGTACATGAATACGAACCTTTTGAGTTTGAATGTATGCTTGCATGTGATAGTTGCTGGTGTTTACATGGAGGCTGGTTAATGTGAATATTATTTGTGAATCTAGTAAAGTAAGATACTGATGGGTTATAAACAAGAGGCTGGTGCATTCCAAACCACCAAAAAAGATCCATTCAACGCCATGCTAAACGAGTTACAAAGTAAAAAAGATAGAAACATGTGTCAAGAGGCGTTAGATATCCTCATGACGTTGCGGTGTATCAAGGAGGCTCTCCTCCCGTAGCGCCCAAATACCCTGCCGGACTTCATCAAATGACGCATTCGCCTGTAAACCCAACGTCTGCGCTAGAATCTCTAACTCACTCGGTGGCAGCGGATTGCTTCCTGACACACCCTCGCCGAGGACGGGCATGGCGAGGGCAGGGTTCGCAACGGGGCCCTTGGCCTTGTGGAGCATACCGAAGCGGATCGCGACCTCTGTGACAGTAACCATGATACTGATGACAATGAGGACGATGATGATCCAGGTGATATAGCTCATCTTTGCGGTGGCAATTGAATCGGAGAGGATCTCGGCGAGATCAAGGAACACGCGGCATCGTTCGTTGAGGACCTTGATTCGCGGGTCGATCTCGAGATACTCACGGATAGCTGCGTAAAGAGGGTGAAGTGTTGGCTCAGACTCCCAGAAGAAGTTGGGGACGTCGAGGATATTGGATGCTGCACAGGTTAGCGTTTGTCTAGACTTGTTTGATAGAGAACTCACAAAGGTTGATGTCGACACGGCTCTTGAAGAGACGACCGACCATGCGTATAATCTCAGCGCGTGTCATATTTAACTCTCCCGTGAGAGCTAGCGTCTTGGGTACATGCTGTGCATCCAGCATCGTCTCGCTCATACGCTCCTCAAAGAAGCACAGGCGAGTGCTCTGTGCGATAGCATGGCTGATGGTGAGCTTGATCATATGATCAGAGCGTGGCAGCAGAGTGATCATATCGTTAAAGACGCGCGGGCGCTTGATATCAGCGCTATACTCGAAGTGAAACTCTTCCGTCTCAAAGTCATCCTGATCAAGTGGCCGGGTGAGAAGGCTGCTGGTGCCGTTCTCAACGGCGTCGGCATCGGCAAAGGTGAGGTCGGCGAGGATGTCCTTCTCTTGATGCTCCGTAAAGTTCCAGAAGACGACGACACCATAAGAGTACACAAACATCTCTGCAAAGTTCTTGACGTCAGGTGCAAGACGATTCATAGCCGAATCGTCATCATCGTGACGGAACGGGTTGCTGTGCTCCTCGGGGGTGACTGGGCGATCGCTGAAGTGAGAGGGTATCGAATGGCCCTGATCAGGGCTGGCTCCTGTATAAGCGTCGTCCTCGAAATAGCCCTCGTGGTGATCTCTCCGCTCGCTGCGCTCAATCTCAAGGTCCAGAACAGTCTTGCCCGTTCCAGGGGTCTTGAGGATAGGTCGACTCCGGACGCGATATCCATCGGTTCCATTGAGAAGCGGCAGAGCGTAGATGACATACAGGCAGTCATCGTACAGCTTGGTTTTGGCTTCATGCTTCTTCCGTAGGAACTCGGCTGTCGGCTTAATCTTGTATGCCTGCGCAGTGCAATAGGCCGTCACTCTGCTAACCCTGTCGGTCCTCTGCATCTTTGGCAACCTCTCGGCGTAGCTCTTCCCGCGGATACCACCTCTCTTTCGAAGCACATCAAGTTCTTCATCCTTCAATGGTCGGTTCTCTTGATCCTGTAGGCGCCTCGCGAGAACCGCCTCACTCTCAATCTCTTCATCGACGTCATCGTCCTTTTCGTCCGTTTCGGGTAAGAGTACCAGCTTCTCGCTGATCTTGGTAGTTCTTGAAGGCATCGGCTGACCAGTACGAGACTGCACGTTCGGAAGACCTCCTGATACGACTCGGCGATTGCTGATAGGACTTCCTCCTGGGCCTCGGGGGAGGGGCACCGGCGGACCGCGAGGTTGGCCGGATGGGATCTGGGAATTGTACTGGAGGACATTGTCGACGGTCATGAATCGCATCGGCGCGGGTGGTCCAGGAGGACCTGAACCGGTATCCTGGCGTTGAAGAGCCCTCCTCTGGGGTGGGCGCTCCCTAGCATCTGTCACCTGGAGGTTGGATTAGCAAGCTGCGTATGACGCGCAAACATCATGATCGTACAAGGACAGATGGGCGCTGCTTGGAAGCCATGGGTTAAGCGGCTGAGCCTAATATAATTGGCTTTATTCGTAGGAGATAGTCGCGACAGGCGAAAGATGCAGATACTCGAATAGCCTGAGCGAAGATCGCGAATAATTAATTGATGATTGTGGTTGGTGGGCAGTTCATGGCTCGGTGGTGAAGCCTGAAGCTTGGGTTCTAGATACAGTGCAAAAATTGGGGATCGCTCCTGCCTACAGTGCGCTGCAGCCTCAAGCAGCCTAAAATCGGACCACTGAGCCAATCACTGGGCGGAATCCATCCTTGCTCTTTCCATGACATTTATCGTGGCTTATCGATTGGTCGAGTGTCGAAGAAGATTCCGCATGGATGACCTCATGGAACCCCACTACGACAGCAAACTCCATTTACCACTGATGGATGAACCACCGTTTTGGGCTGCTTGCGGGTTCACGGCTGGGGAATCATTGATGTTGTGCTGGTGAGGTCTGGTTGAGCGTCGTATGTATGTCTCTGATTTCTTTTTGCCATGATGTAGATTGAGTGCTTACTCCATGGATTGTGATCCAAGATGTTGCTCTGCATGTGACTGATGCCTCACTCTTTGCATCTAATGCAAGCTGATGTTAGGTTTACCTGGTTGTTTTGAACCGTTGCCTGTTTCAAACTGCCCAGCCGCATTTGATATGTAACACCGATGCTTTGGCTTTGTTAGACCATGTTCTAACTCAAAACGTTGTTGCGTCTGCTCGCTAGAAACCTTGTGTAAGATGAGTGTGAAGGGGAAAGTAAACATCAAAGAGTCTTCAAACTCGGCTCAATTCATCCCATGTCGCCAGTCATATGCGCGACTCCGAAACAAGTAGAAAAAGAACAGCGCATGAATCAATTTCTGTGTGTTGGCACTTGATTTGCATAATAATCTGGTCATATTAAACACATGAGAGGCTCGCAAGGATGAGGTTGACATAAAAGCGGACCCACAACCAATCGGGGGCAGGGCGGCCGTTGCTAGGCGGTTGGCCCGTTGTTTGTTTACTACGGGATTTGGCTGGCCGAAGCCTCAGGCCCCGCCATACAGACAGAGGTATACTCTTCCTTGGTCTGCCGTCTTCTTGGGCACTATTGACAATTTGTGACATGGGCCAGATCGGAGACGTAGTAACGATCCGGTTTCTTCTGACGCTCCAACACTTTGGTGTTTTTTCCCCCCTCTCACTCATCCGAGTTCCTCAGTATCATCCCCCATCACCAGGCCAAGCGCATGTCTTGAAATCGAAGCTCTGTGCTCAAATCAAATTGAAGCGCTGACCACGACCACGACCGCTCTTCCATCCCTCTGACGACCCGAGCGCCGCACGCTCGAAACAATGTGTTAACGTCACCCGGAAGGTGCTATTATTTCTTAATATTTTCTGAGCTCAACCGTTCCTTGACCGTTCCAAAGCGAGACCGAGACTGCGGCTCGGTCGACGACCACTACAACCACAATGTCGTTCCGCACTCACCATTTCCAAACTCAACATCTGCATCAACCTCAACACCATCTTCACAGTCAACCATCTCCGCAATCTCCTCCGCATCCGCTTCGCCAGTCACAAACCATCGACTTTGGCACCGCTACATCACCCTCCAACCTCAACCGCTTTCCTTCGACAACATCCTCATCCGCGTCGTCTGGCTATTCGCACGCCTCTGAACATAGCCTCAACAGCGGGTACACATCCGTCTCTAGTTCAGCCGGCTACGGTCAAACAGCTCCCGGTCATAAACGTGCCCAGAGCGATGTTAGAGCAAGAGCAAAGACTTTTGAATCCGGGCAAATGACGAGCCCCAAGAAATCCATCGACAATCCCTACGGATCCGTTCGACAATCTCTTCGACCGCTTCCTCAGGCTCCTGCAGCCTCCCCGCCAGCTACACCTCCTCATAAGTCGCCCCGCCATGACCGTGGCAAGAGTATCGATATAGGCAAATTGTCCTTGTATGAAGATGGTCGTGCCTCACCTACTTCGCCTTCTCGACCAACAATGATGCGACCCAACTCGATGCTTCTGACAAGATCCGACTCAGTTCGCCCACCGTTGCCTCATCATGCTACGTCACCACACCATGTGCATGCGCATAGCACAACCCTAGCTCGTGATGAACTGGAAGGGTTGGGCAAGTCTTCGACAAGTCAGCTGAGGACGCTATCTCGCCTAGTATCATCAGACGCGGCCGATGACTTCACAATCACCTCGCCTGCACAAGAAGTTGTTGGTTTGCGTGGTCGGCGCAGGTTACAACGGACAGACAAGACCAATGGAGGTCGCGGCCAGAAGTCGACTGGCTATAGCTGGGAGGGCCGAAATTGGATGGACAAGCAGCGTCAGTTCCTTCAAGCCTACGAATATCTCTGCCATATTGGTGAGGCCAAGGAATGGATTGAAGACGTCATCCAAAAGAACATTCCTCCTATCGTTCAACTCGAGGAAGCCCTTCGCGACGGTGTTACTCTGGCCGAGGTTGTAGAGGCACTCAATCCCGATAGACGGTACCGAATCTTTCAACACCCCAGGCTTCAATACCGACATTCCGACAACATTGCCATCTTCTTCCGATACCTCGATGAAGTGGAACTTCCGGATCTGTTCCGCTTCGAGCTCATTGATCTGTACGAGAAGAAGAACATCCCCAAGGTCATTTACTGCATTCATGCCCTTAGTTGGCTCCTGTTTCGAAAAGGCATAGTCGACTTCCGCATCGGTAACCTCGTGGGTCAACTCGAGTTCGAGCACCATGAGCTGGAGGCGATGCAGAAGGGTCTCGACAAACTTGGAGCGAGCATGCCCAGTTTTGGCAACATGGGCGCTGACTTTGGCGTTCCGGAACCTGAGCCTGAGCCTGAAGAGACTGAAGAGGAGAGAATCGACCGTGAGTTGGCAGAGAATGAGGAGTCTATCGTTGACCTACAAGCCCAGGTCCGAGGTGCCCTTGTTCGCGTGCGACTTGGCGATGTCATGCAAAGGCTCTGGGACGAGGAGGAGTGGTTGATGGACCTCCAGTCCCGAATCCGCGGCGACTTTACCCGGCAGATTATGGGATACCGACTGGAGATGAGAACCTTTGCTGTCAAGCTGCAGAGCGTAGCACGAGGCTTCTTGGTCCGGAGGAGGATGGGTCGACGGGATCAAATCCTGGAAGCACTGGAGCCTGATATCCTCGAGTTGCAGAACATGATTCGGGCTAACAAGGTCCGAAATCAGGTGCAAAACTTGACTTCCCAGCTCGAGGTGTGCGCAGGTCCCACCAGACAGATCCAGGCCATCGCGAGAGCCTTTCTGGTCAGGAAGAACCATACCGCCCAGTACGAGGAGACCAAGGAGACGGCTGCTACTGTCCAGAAACTGCAGGCGGCTGTTCGCGGAGCATTGCTTCGTGGAAAGATGGAGCAAGATCTTCAAGAGCTGGATGCCCAAACACATGCCATCACCGACCTGCAGGCAGCGGCGAGAGCATTGATGACTAGAAATGACATTGGCCGCCAGCAAGAGCAACTCAAGGCTTTCGGTCCTCAGTGGACCTCTCTCCAGGCCTTTGCTCGGGGTCTCCGTGCTCGAAAGGAGACGGACGCAGTCAAGGCCGAGCTCGACAAGCACATCAACGACATTGGCAAGCTTCAGGCTTTTGCCCGTGCAGCAGCAGTTAGGAGAGATGTCACGAGCTTGCTTGACGCCCTGCAAGAGAATGAACCTGCTGTGATTGACCTGCAAGCATTCATTCGAGGTGCTCTCGAACGAAAGCGAGTTGGAGCAGACTTGGATGCGCTTGAAGAGCAAGAGCCTCAGATTGTGGACCTCCAGAGCAATATCCGAGGATTCTTGTACCGAAAACAACACCAAGCCTTCCTCGATGAGCTGGCTTCCCACACACCGCAGATTATCGATCTTCAGAGCATTCTTCGAGCCATGATGGAGCGCGCTAGAGTCGAAGACATCATGGCAGAGCTGGAGCAAGAGGAGGAGTCAATTGTCGAGTTCCAGGCCGCTGCCAAGGCCTTTATCGTCCGGGCTCGATTCGAAGAGAAGAGACGGTTCTTCAACGAGAACATGCAAAAGGTCATCAAGATCCAGAGCTTTGTCCGTGCCAAGGTACAGGGTGAAGCTTACAAGAGCTTGACGACTGGCAAGAACCCTCCTGTCAACGCCGTCAAGAACTTTGTCCATCTTCTCAACGATAGTGACTTTGACTTCAACGAGGAAATCGAGTTTGAGCGGATCCGCAAGACAGTCGTCCAGCAAGTGCGACAAAACGAGCTTCTGGAGAACTATATTGACCAGCTCGATATCAAGATCGCCCTCCTGGTCAAGAACAAGATCACCCTGGACGAGGTTGTTCGACATCAGCACAACTACGGAGGCAACTCGATGGGCTTCCTCGCCAACAGCTCCATGTCCTCTGCCAACCAGTTCGACCTCAAGGCCCTCAACAAGAGCTCAAGAAAGAAGCTTGAATCTTACCAGCAACTCTTCTTCAACCTCCAGACCCAGCCCCAGTATCTTGCTCGACTCTTCAAGCGTATCCGGGAGCAAGGAACGGCTGAGAAGGAATGCAAGCGCATTGAGCTCCTTATGATGAGCCTCTTTGGGTATGCCCAGAAGCGACGAGAGGAGTACTACCTTCTGAAGTTGATTGCCCGTTCTATCCGTGAGGAGATTGCTGGAGCTAGAGCCGTCCAGGACTTTATCCGCGGCAACTATTTCTGGTCCAAGCTCCTCAGCAACTACACTCGCTCACCTCGCGACCGCAAGTATCTTCGAGACCTTCTTGGCCCTCTTATTCGGGACAACATTGTCGAGGACCCGGCTCTCGATCTGGAGAGTGACCCTATGCAAATCTACCGATCAGCCATCAACAACACCGAGTTGGCCACTGGTCGACCCGACCAAAGACCACTGGATGTTCCCCGAGAAGTTGCCATTCGCGATCCTGAGACCCGACGACTCTTTATCGATCATCTTCGAGACCTTCGAGAGATCTGTGACCAGGTGTTTATGGCTCTGGAAGACCTTCTTCACAAGATGCCCTACGGTCTCCGCTTCGTGTGCAGTCAGATCTTTGAGGGCCTGCGACAACAGTTCAAGCGGGAGTCCCCAGAGAGCCTTCTGCAGGTCGTTGCGAACTGGCTTTGGAGATTCTACCTTCAACCGGCCGTGACGGCACCCGAGAACGTGGGTGTGATCGAAAAGACTCTGAGCCCTCTGCAGAAGAGGAACCTCAGCGAGGTCGCCAAGGTCATCAGCCAGGTTGCCTCTGGTCGACCTTTCGGCGGCGAGAATGTCTACCTGCAGCCCCTGAATGCCTTTATCGCCGATTCTATCGAGCGTCTCGTCCAGATCACCGGCGACCTCATTGCTGTTCCCGATGCTGAGAGGACGTTTGATATTGACGAGTTCAACGATCTGTACGCCAAGAACAAGCCAACCCTGTACATCAAGATGACAGATGTCTTTGCCATCCACAACCTGGTGGCATCGGAGCTTCAGACAATATGTCCCGGCCGTGAGGACGTTCTCCGGGAGATCATGCACGACCTCGGCAGTGCTAAGAACAACGAGAGCGAGATGAACGCCGCCGGATCCTCGGATATCCAGATGTTTCTGACACCCAAGCTGCACGACATTGACGACCCTGAGGCTGATGTTAAGTCTCTGTTCATGGAGACCAAGCGATGCGTGCTGTATATTATCCGCGTGCAGACTGGTACCAACCTGCTCGACATCCTCATCAAGCCCATCTCCCCTGAGGACGAACACAAGTGGCACATGCTGCTTCGTGACGACTTTTCTGATGGCAGCAATACCCGAGGAGCCTACTCCGACTCCAACATGATTGATGTCACCCGGATGTCGTACCAGGAGCTCAAGAGAACAGCGCTGGAGAATGTGATGAGGCTGGAGAAGCTGGGCCGCATCTCCAAGCACAACTGCTACCAGGATGTGCTCAACGCCATCGCGCTTGATATCCGCACCAAGAGCCGTCGAAGAGTCCAGCGACAGCGAGAGTTGGAGGGTGTCCGCATGACTCTTAGCAACTTGCACGAGAAGGCTAAGTACCTCGAGCAGCAGCGCAAGAGTTACGACGACTACATTGAACAAGCGATGAAGACCCTCCAGAACAAGAAGGGGTACGTAATACCAGTCATACTGTTGAGATGACACTCACTAACAACCTGAATAGGAAGAAACGCTTCCTGCTCCCCTTCACCAAGCAGTACAACCACCAGCGCGAGCTTGAGCGCAGCGGTCGCGTGCCCAAGTTTGGCAGCTTCAAGTACAGCGTGCGCCAGCTCTCGGAGAAGGGTGTGCTCGTGTCGTGGACCGGTGTGGGCGAGCGCGACATGGGCCAGATCAACCTGACCATCTCGTGCGACGAAGTGGGCGTCTTCAGCCTCGAGGGCTCACGAGGACACATCCAGATCCCCGGTGCCAGCGCCCTGGTGCCCATCGAGGACCTCCTGCAGGCTCAGTTCGAGTCGCACCAGTTCATGACGCTTTTCGAGGGCAACCTCAAGCTCAACGTCAACCTGCTGCTGCATCTGCTGTACAAGAAGTTTTACCGAACGCAGTAAAGCGAGATTCATGTATACTTTTTCTTTTCTTCATTGGCTGCCCCTGGAGGGAAAAGCGACTGTTCAGGCTGGCCAAGTTCAGGGGGGAGGATATACGTACGAGACTGGATGAAGCATTGCAATCGGCGCGATGACAGGGTATTGCGCAAATGCGTGTTGTTTTTTGACTTGTTTTATCTTTTTGTTTTCAGGTTGCTCTGCGTGGGAGGAGATGGTGGAAGCGCTCAAGAGGCATGAACTGCAAACGACGACGACAACCGAAAAAATACTCACGACGGGCATTCATTGGGACAAAGCGGAGTAGGGAAGGCAAGGGAAAGGGAAAGGGATGGAAGGGGAAACAGAGAGAATTGTTGATGCTTTTTTTGTGTTGATGCCTTTGAAAGGGAGAAACAGGGACGGTCGCTTCGGATGGTGTGTGAAGGGATTGATTGATTGAATTACTAGGATATCGTTTCTGATTGGCATAATGTATGAAAATGGCATTAGAGCCTATTATCAAGCGCCTTGAACTCTCCGAAACTGCCGTGACTATTGTGCGATGACTTGTATTGTTTCATGCGCCGTTCGCTTCACGTCCTTGTGAAGATCGAGTTGTCAGCACAAAACAAAGAGTTGTGCCATTCATTGATAAAACACAAGACAGCCACTCAATGAAGAGAGGTTGTCGGTGATCGGGTATCGGAACAGCTAGTCCATGATTGGCTGGCTACCTTAGTTCAGGTTGTTAGTTGTAAGGAAGCCCCGGTGGAGAAGGCGTGAACTAGCAAGGTTCCTACGAGTCGAGGCCAGCAGTAGCGACAGCGACAGCAAATTGATTGATAGGGGATTATGTGTTAGCTTGCAGGTTGTAGGGAAGGGCGACTAGGGGATACGTGAATGGGGCAGAGGCAAAGATGCAAAGTGGGCGCACCGAAGACGAGAAGGGAAAGAAGGCACGTAGCATGGATTACGAAGGGAAATTGCTCACGAGCGGTGGGCGAGTTGCAGCTTGGTGTGTGTCGCGTGAGGGACATTGGTGCCTTGCTAGGGAGTGAATCTTGAGTCGAGAGACCAGAGGAGAGCGGTAAGGCCGTTGAGGCCGTTAGTCACAGAATTGTGGAAGAGACGAGATAAGCCCAACCTCGGTAAAGAAAGCAGACAAAAGGAAGGTGAAGGATGATCAGCTGAGACCCTGATTGTGCACGAGTCGATCAATTGTCCATCCTGGATCCAAGGCCGAGACTCGTTAACTCTTGGTCATGGCGACCTCTTCCACGACAGTTCATCAGTCAATTGTGCTGACTGGCGTCGCAGCAGAAATGCGAAAATACGACCCTCAAACAGCCGAGAGTGACTGATTTCGTCTTTGCATGCGTGGCAGACAATGAGTTGTTCGGGTACTGGCTGGCTGGCTGTGCGACCACAGAAGAAGCGACTGCTGCCTCGTCTGCTTGGGTGCGGGCTTTTGGTGGCGGCCGTGGTGGATTCATGAGCAATGAAAGTCCGGCCGGAAGTCGGTCGGCGTCAAGAGGGTCGATCAGCAACAGCCCCAACAACCAAGCCCGGGCTGATGTGGACATTGGCCGGTCCGGGACCCAAAATTGCGGCGAGCAATTCTCCAGCTCCCAAGAAGAAGAGACGGAGGGAAGCGATACTGGGAGCCCCCGGACCATGAGAGGGAATCGTCCGATATTTCAATGTCGACATCGGTAGTTGAGAAGGGGTGATTGCGTCGTGTCGTGTCGTCCTCGGCCAATTCCAACGCCAATTCGACTCTTACGGTTTCGTGGATGGCCGTAGCTCGCCGGATTGTCGGGAAAGGGTTTGACAACCCCAGATTGCACCATCCAACGCTGACAAGGCGTTATGGCACTACCGAGGAGAGCGCCTGGTGATGGGTCGGGGTGTACCAAGTAAACTGCGAACGCTTGCGCTAATCCGGGCGTGCCGTACGTGTCGTCCTTCGGGTGTCTGTCGTGTCTTGCCAGACCAGAGCCTCGTAGTTTGCGCAAACATCCTTCAACTGCATTGCAATGGATCGGGTCTTCGTCCTCATTCCATGAATGTCGCCTCGTTTTTGTTTTTTCCTCCCTTTAGCGGGATAACCGTGGTCAGACAGACGGTCGATTGCCGAAGGAGGAGAAGAGACAACAGAGGACGCGTCGGGAGGGAGGGCGTTGCAGATGGATGCGCAGCAGAAACAGGCAGGCTGTGGCGGGCGGCCAAAAGACGACGTGATGAATGCAATGGCAGCAGATTATCGCCCTGTGGAGCGCGTGAGGATTCTGAAAATTGTCTATACAGTGAATGGGCACGGTCCGTGGCACCGGCCATCGGGAGGGTCGTACAGTGTCATGTAGGATCCCCATGCACCGTATAGACAATTCTTGGAGGTTGCAAGTTTCTCGAGCCCTTGGCCTCAAGGGAGGTGCAGATAAAGGATGCAGGGACCGGCTAATGGGCGTCCGAGGCCAGTGCGTCGTCAACTCCCAGGGCTCCGTGCTCCGTGGGCCATCGTGACGCCCGCTAAAGCAGGAATGCAGAAGCAGGAGCCAGTGGAGAAGGACCTGGGTGCTTGTGTTGCTGCTCGTTGCTCAGAGATGGTGGGACGAGGTGCAGGTTGCATCGTTTGGTTTGCATGAAACGAGGGACGGGAGGCGGAAGACCTTCGACAGGCGCATGTGGAGAATCAGCAACAGCAACACCAGCGGCGACGCCATCACGGTCGAGCTGAGGCGGGCACTGTATGTATGTGCCAATGCTGAAGCTGGATGCATCACGATGGAGTCGCGGATGCGTAAGAGAAGGAGATCCCCGAAGCCCAGGTCAACAGAGATCGGTGTCCGTGTGATGAATCGAGAGCGAGGTTGTGACCTTGGCGGTTGATGTTGATGCTTGTTCTTGTTCTTGTTCATGGTCCAGATTCTGCACCTTGACCAACCCATGCAACGGCATGCAGTTGAGGATTATGCCCACGCAGGATGCAATCTTTTTTGAACGTGTTGGAACTGCCTGTCGAGGCTGACGAAGCAAGGACTTGACGAGGCTCAACAGGCTCAGCACAGCCAAGCTTTGGATCGACTTGCTCTCTGACGACATCTTTTAGCCAGACTCTCGTTATGGCTTGGTCAGATTTATCTGATCCCCAAACAGCGCCAGTAAACATGATGTATGATGATGATGATGCTGATTCTAGTCAATGACCGGAACGAGTGGGAAGGACGTGGCTTCTCGACTTGGAGCCTGGATGGCTGATGGAGGGTTGGATGGAACATGGCAGATGGACCGTGTAAGATGGAGGGGCTGTCAATCTCTGTGGGCTTGACCGGGGAGGGATTGGCGAGCAAGGCGCTGACCAATCGCGACTTGCCGCTGGCCGAATTGAGTAGTCGCTCAGCCTTGAATCCCTGCATCCTTCAGCACACGAATTCGAGACGCAGCCATCAATTGTTTGGCGCTTAAACAAGACTTTACACTATCGAGGTCCGGGGGTTTGTGAGATATGGACACAGAGGTCAGAGGGAATCCATGGAGGGATGTCTGACTCTGCGGCCGCGCACTACGGTAGCGCAACCGGACATGTGCCACGGATATCTACATACCGCCGTATCAAAAAAAGACAGACAGACTTGAGGAGGAGGAGCAAGGATAACAAAGGATGGCCATGTGATGTGATCTTTTTATCTCCCAGACACGGCATTCACGGACTTGGGAGCCGAACGCCGGGCTCATCAAGGGAATGATGGTGGGTAGAACCGGGCATCCATCCCTTGCGGCTCCGGAGAAGGCGTACGTGCATGATGGTGACCATCGGAGATGAAAATAAACAGCAAGAGTCTTTTCTCAAACAGTGCTCTGGCATTCGTGGTGTGTTGATCATGATCCTCGTGACAGGGTCTGAAAAGCCAGTCAGTCCAAGCTCGTGTTGATTGAGCTGGCCTCAGGATTAAATTATGCACTATTGAGGGCCACCCCGAACTCGGACAGTCACTGACACACGCGTTTAGTGCATATCCAGCTCTCATCTCCCCCAGCTTCCACAGGCTCCAATTTTCCCCATCTCCATCATGTCGCAGACACACACGCCCCTTTGCCATGCCCTAGCGCGCTCGTCTTCTTGCGTGATCGAACTTGCAACATGGCTTATTGGAATAACCCCTGGCTACGCACCCCTGCCACATCATAGACATGGACCCAACAGTGATATCGTCTGCCGAGCAGGGGACGTCTGTCCGTCCTCCACCGCCGTCGTGAGCCGCTTTACACACCACGCCTCACCAGAAGACTGATGGAACAATCGGAGGGACACCCCCAGCTCCCAAAAGATAAAAGGGCGACCATGTTCCCACTCGTGCCCATTGCAAAACTTGTGGCGTCAATCACCTCACCGGTTGCCTTCCCTTTTTTGGCCTACCTAGTCGGGGAATTTGCTGCTTGTCTCGTCGTCTCTTACCAGGATTTCCATCCCATCTCGAGCTCTCACCCACACAATACCCTCACGCAGATCCAGCCTCTACCCCATCTTCCTCCACTCTGCTTACCCCTGCATCTTCCGCTGTCCCCGTGTACATATATCGAGACAGTATCTGTTTGTACGGAGCGCGCTTGCTTGCTTGCTCACCATAGTCTTGTTCTTGTGCAGTGCTTCCGCGTGTGCCGTACAGTCCAACAACAACAAGTCGTGCTGCGCCTTCTCGGCCCCATTGATCCTTGACTTATCCCATCCGGATCCCACTTTGTCTTGTCTGAGCGGCAACAAGACGGACAAGGATACGGAGAGACGACTAAGCTAGTAGATCTCCGCATCGAATCTCACGAGACGTGTAGTAGCTTGACTCGATCTATCTACCCGTCTTCGCCAGCACGCCATACATTTATCAAGCCATCCCCTTCCTCCTGCCGGCTTGACTCACCTCCAACATCATAAACCTTAACCCTCTTCACATACAAACATCCCTCGATACCCCCTTAGCACTGTCATCAACTTTTGTCCCTAGACAACACTAGCAACATCAAGACCGTCAACAGTTCCTTCACCACCACTTCCCAACATCACACAGCCATATATCCAGACTGAGCTTTGAATCTCACAATGGCCCCTGATCTCAACTCTCTCCCCCCCTCCAACGGGGAGACCTCTGCGGCACCTCACCTCTCCCCTGAGGCAGAGAGACCCAACATTCTCTTCATCATGGCCGACCAGCTGGCTGCTCCCCAGCTCAAGATGTACAACCCCAACTCCCAGATCAAGACACCCAACCTCGACCGTCTTGCTTCCACTTCAGTCCAGTTCGACTCTGCGTACTGCCCTTCACCCCTCTGCGCCCCCTCACGCATGAGTTTGATCAGTGGCCAGCTGCCCATGAAGATTGGTGCTTACGACAACGCCGCTCAGATCGGCTCCGATGTTCCCACTTATGCCCACTACCTGCGAGCCAAGGGCTACCACACTTCTCTTGCTGGCAAGATGCACTTTATTGGTGACCAGCTCCACGGTTATGAGCAGCGTCTGACCAGTGACATCTACCCTGGCGACTTTGGCTGGGCCGTCAACTGGGACGAGCCTGACACCAGACTTGAGTGGTACCACAATGCCAGCTCTATCCTCCAGGCCGGTCCTTGCGGCCGAAGCAACCAGCTCGACTATGACGAGGAGGTCATGTTCAAGAGCACCCAGTACCTGTGGGACCACGTTCGTGAGGGTCCCAAGAAGCGACCATTCTGCTTGACTGTCTCTCTCACCCACCCCCACGACCCTTACACCATCACCAAGAAGTACTGGAACTTGTACGAGGACGTCGACATTGCCCTGCCCGAGGTCAAGGTTGCCAAGGAAGACCAGGACCCTCACAGCAAGCGACTTCTCAAGGTCTGTGATCTTTGGGACCAGAACTTTACCGATGACCAGATCAAGCGGGCTAAGCGAGCTTACTATGGCTCCGTAAGCTACGTTGATGACTGCATTGGCAGACTGCTTGAGACTCTCGAGGACGCTGGCCTGGCTGAGAACACCATTGTCATCTTCAGCGGTGACCACGGCGACATGCTCGGTGAGCGTGGCCTCTGGTACAAGATGAGCTACTTTGAGTCATCCGTCCGCGTTCCCATGTTGATCAACTACCCCAAGCGCTTTGCTCCCCACCGTGTTACCCAGAACGTGTCAACTCTTGATCTTCTCCCTACGATCTGCGATCTGGTTGGAACCAAGCCGGCTCCTTACCTCCCCATGGACGGTATCAGCATGCTGCCTCACCTCGAGGGCCGTGAAGGCCACGATACTGTTATTGCAGAGTACACTGGCGAGGGCACCGTTCGTCCTATCATGATGATTCGACGAGGTGACTGGAAGTACATCACTTGCCCAGCTGACGAGCCTCAACTCTACAACTTGGCCCGAGACCCTAAGGAACTTGACAACCTGGCCCGATTCAAGAAGATCCTGCCCAAAACCCCCGAAGAAGAGGAAGCCAAGGATGCCATCCTCAAGTTTGAGGCCGAAGCCCACGCCCGGTGGGACTTTGACGCCATCACAGAAAAGGTGTTTACTTCTCAGCGCACACGGCGAATCGTGTGGGACGCTCTCAAGGAGGGCGAGTTCACCAGCTGGGACTTTGACCCTGTCGATGACGGCAAGAAGAAGTAAGTCCTACTTTACCCCCTACATGCAGTCCAAGCCACATCGATCACATCACCCGCAAAGTTGAAGACGTGCTAACGCCGCTGCCGCAGGTACATCCGCTCCACCATCCCTCTCGACGACCTGGAGCGCCGAGCTCGCTTCCCGTTCGTCGATGCCAACGGGTACGAGAGCAAGGCGGTCTCTTCAGTCCGTAACTCTTAAGGGGGGGTGTATGTGTAGAGAAGGAACTTTTTTTACGAGACATGAATGAGGAAATTTGTTGGTGGAAGTTCGGGTTTAGCGGGTTTTGTCTGTCTGCCATGCACAGCGTCTGGGTTTTTACTTGAAAACCACCAATTCTTTGGCATTTGCGTGCATAGCCAGCTATTTGGATTTTTGTTTTGGAAATTGGTTAAAAGCAAAGCTGTATGTAGTCATGATGCGATTTGCAATTAATGAAAATGAAGATATTTTAAAGGTTAAACAACTCCCCGTGCATACTCATGAACTGGGCTTGAAGTATCAAGAGAGGGCTTGTCGAAGGTGGCTCAAACCTCGAGACTCCCCGAAGCCAACTCTTCTCAATTGCTGGCTTCGGCGTTAATTCGTCATTGATTATCGCGATTATCATCTTGCATCATCTCCCCGGACAATAATGAGCGGTGAGATTCGCGCCATTGATCTTGGGTATCAAAGTCCAATGAAGAGCTCCAAAGACCGAAATCTCCGGAGTGTCGGCCTGACTCGCACGACACGGCCGATCGCGCGATACGCGGGCCGCTCGCTCCGGCGGCTGGAGAGAAGGAAAACGTCTTATGCAGGAGGCAAAAAAACCAAAACCAAGGCTTTGCTTACAAGCGCGATTGTGTGATTTTGGCGTTGATGTCGACAGAGACCCATGACGTGTAGGAGTCTGGGGTGAAGTGGACCGCAGCAGGGTCCAGGCGTTCTAGCGGATGGGTTTAGAAGCTTCAGGGGCGTTGTTGTAGAAGCCCCAGTGTCTGGGACTGTGCTGAAAGGGTGTGCCTGGCGCTTCAGGCACTGAAGGTGAGTTTTGCCTGAGGGTGAGGCTGCCAGCTGGGAGAGCTCCACTTTCGGAGGTGAGTGTGCGCGTGGTGACGCGCTTCTAATTGAAGCTTCTATTGGAGAGCCCCGCGCATCGTGAACCTCCATTTTCAATTGTTTAGATCCATACGGGGTCAACAGATACACTTAGCGCATTGTTATTTCAGTGCTTATTTGCGTCGCGAGTTTTTTTTCTAACAATCAGGAGGTGTCTAACCGCAATCGCCAACTCCCTAGAGGCGCCTTCTTTGTGCCGACATCATGGACGAATCAAGAACGCACACCTTGGACGACGATGAGCTCAAGGTCCTGGAGCAGACCCTTAGCAAGCTAGCGCAGCTTTCTAGTAGCATTCAGAGCTTGAAGGCGGACCTCATGAGGAGCAATCCACTACCACCGGCGTGCGCTTCTTACCCTTCATCTTTATCTGAGTCGCAATGGCTAACTTGCAACCAAGATCCTCCCTTCAGGCCTCGACCCAGATTCTCCAGCGAAATCTTCAAACCGTCCTTGACAGTCTTAACGAAAACTCGGAACTCTTTAACCGCATGGCCATACACCCTTCACCAAACTACCCCGGCCGAACTCAAGAAAATGTCCTCACTCAGTTACTCCGCAAGAAACTCGAACCCGACGTGGAAGAACTTGTTATTGAGGGTCGAGAAGTTGCACGCCTCGCCACACCAGAGGGAATCAATGATCTTCAGGATATCTGGCACGAACTACGACAGTGGACGATCGACCGGGTAACGGCTTACGTCCGCGACGAGGCTAGCGACGTATACACTGTAGAAGAGCGGGCAGCAGGTGTAGAAAACGTGCGAACGGGTCTACGCAGGGATCTCGAAGATGAAGACGAAGATGAGGATGAGGAGGAAGATGAAGACGACGGGGCTGCGCAACATAAGATAAGGGGCGCTGAGCCAGAGACGCTGCTGTGGTTTGCGGCGAGGGGAGACTTTGAGGTGCCGCGCAACGTTGAGTATGAGCGGAAGAGGGATGTGTACAAGGGGCTTCAGGGTATCAACACCTCGCCTTTTGATATGCCGGCACAAGGGATGTAGAGATCCATGGTTGGACAGGTTGCGACGATATATTCGTGATATTACGGACTACAGCATGGTTTGGTCAAGGCGGCTATGTAAATCGCCAACGTTGAAAACGAGTTGGTCAAGGTATTTGCTTTCAGGTCATATCTTGGAAGCTGAGCTGACAGCTGTCTAGCGTTTGATAAGAGAGGGCCGCTTTGACGTGCAAAGCTGATGGGAGTTTTAGGGGTTAGAACTTTGGGTGGGTTAGATTCCTTATTGATTTTACAGTAATATGCAGGTCGCCAAAAGCAGGAAACCGAGAATTAGCATTGGTTGTTTATTCTTGTCATGTGGCGTCTATCGTGTATCAATCCAGATACATGCCATCCATCCCACTCATGCCCACGAGCAATGGCTTCATTGCTAAAGATTCCATCAAGACGCCATCTGAGATCCTTCGCTGAAAGTTTCCAACGGCGGGTCATTCCATCAAGGACAATGCCATCGGTCAAAGTTTCCAACACTGGGTACTTCCATCTCCAAGTTGACTCCCAATTGGACGTACCGGATAACCCCTCCAAGCTACATCCAGCACAGTACGGTATCCCCTTCGTCATAAGCTGACCTTGACTGTGGCTGACTGGCCACAGCCAGTGTCGTCACTCCAACGTCCATGGCGCGAAGCTAGGCCATTTGACTTGCTCGCGTTTCCCCGCGTTTCGTTGACAGCGCATGGCTTGGATGCTAGTGCTCACGAGGACGGGCGGGTGCAAAATAAATGCGACGGTTCTCCCTCGGTGTGTGGTTGATGTGTGTGTTGATGTTTTTTGACCGAGGAACATGAGTCGGTTACATATACCTGGAGCTGGCGTTGGAGCTTGCATTGCTTGCTCATTGCTGTTTTGCCATCATCATCTTTGCCATGATGGAATATCAATTGTGTCGCAGTGAGCGACCGCATACTCAAGACTTCTTGTACGAATCATTGGACATGGATATCACGAGCGACGATGCGACGCCCCGTTCAGTACCTGATCTCCCAGAGAAGGCTCACGAGAGGAAGCTCACCCTCCTCTCTCTACCACTCGAGATCCGTCTTCACATTTACCACTGGCTTCACCTCATGAGCCCCGTCCGACATGCCCAGCTCGCGCCGTGGTATCCCACCCCCGTGCACTGCCAGTACATCCTCCGGCCCCTCGACCACATCCTTCGGCCCCTCAACCACGAGGCAGAGCCCGACGGTGGCGAGGCTAAGGGCCTGCTCTCCCCGTACCGCCCGCTTTCCGGTCTCCCGACGAGCCTCCTCAGGGCAAACTCGCAGATCTACCACGAGGCAAGACTCATTCCCTTTTCGCAGAATGAGTTTGTCTTTGTCAATTGGTTCGCTTCAGGGCTCTGGGCTGCCCGCGCCTTCACGCGGGCTCTCGCTCCCTGGCAGCGCGGTGCCTTGCGGTACGTGCGTCTCGAGGTGCTCGCCCGGGATGTGGTAGTCGGCGGCGCGGGCCGGGAGGAATGGCGGGCCCTATGCGGAGAGTGGGCCTCGGGGGTGCGCGGCCTGCGGATGAAGATGGTGCTCGGTTCGAGTACGGCGACCGTCTCCGGACCCTCGGCAGGTGGAGGGATGGGGCCCCGATCGGAGGCGGCACGACAGTGGGTCGGCGAGGGACTTGGCTTGATGAGAAAGCTCGAGAGAGTTGAGATGGAGGTTGTGTCGCGGGGGATGAGCGACGAGGCCAAGATGCTGTGGTGTGAGAAGCTGGAGAGAGAGTTGAGGGAGGGAGGGCTCAAGTGGGCAGTGGTTGTGTGCGCCGAGAAGGTGCATGAGAGGATGGAATGGATCAAGAGTGATGTTGCGTGGAAGAATCAGTCTGGTTAGATGTTGGTGTTTTGGAGCTTCTGGAGTTGAGGGTCGAGATTGGCATTGTGAATACGATGTATGACTGTATGATTAACGTCTATATGTAATGGGATATGGATCAGTGGAGTTGTTGATAGTTATTGAAGCAATTATCGAGACAATTCTCTCCGACGTACGGACCACATCTCACCGCGTCACTGATAGATTGAATATCCTCTCCCATTGACCTATTAACTTGGATTAATTACACAGACTCACTCTGAATCCGTCATCCGCATCCGGTCATCGGCCACCGAGGGTCCGGAGATAAAGACAAGAACGGGAAAAGAGTCGATGCTAAGAATGCAGCTAAACTGGAAGACACGGGTAAGCAGGCATTGGGGCATGTGACTTCGCGCAACTCTCGCCCGCCAAATGGTCGGCGTGAGTCACGTCACACGTCGTCAGTCACGGATCCTCTCAACTCCACGAAGCGATAACGGCTGGAGAATTGACCGACTCCTTTCTTTGAGTGACTGTGTGTTTGTTCTTTTGTATTAAAACTCTTGTATATTTGCTGCCTGGACCTTTCATCCATTGGCGACTTGAAACGTCATCTCACCCCCGCCTCCATCTCCACCTTTGGTCGACTGAGCTTCTGGAACGAGGAGACGACAACGCAGTGAGACTTGGCAGCACTTCTTGTTCTCAGCATACACATATACGCGATGGAGGCTCGGTGTCAATGCGGCTCGGTGTCTTTCAAGACGCCCCTCCCTCAGCCTCTGGCTCTCTACATCTGCCACTGTAATGCGTGTCGGCGGCAGACGGGCTCTGCGTTCGGGACGTCGGCCATCTTTCCTCGATTCAATCTGCCAGAAACTGATCAGTTGAGCTGCTATAGGTAGGTAGGCAGAGGTTAGAGTCATTGAGATAAAGGCTAATATGTTTGACTCAGTCGACCAACTGAATCGGGACATCAACTCTACTGGTGAGTAGTCGAGATGACCTCTCCTAATTCATTATCAGTTGACGTTGTATAGTTACTTTTGCCGTAACTGCGGTACTCGTCTCATTCACTCGACGCCAGTATGTACACCTCCCACCCTCACCACATCATATTCACCAACCCACAGACCAAAAACGTCGTCTCAGTCAAAGGAGGCTGTCTCGAAGGTCTCGACTGGAAGCGTGCCATTCACATCTGGACCAAGAGCGCCATGGTCCCCATCCCAGAGGGTTCTGAAACACACTCTGAAGAGTCCGGCTTTACCGACTACGGAACGACGCAGGAGGACCTAGATCAGCCTGGAGACCTCGTGGGGAGTGGAGGATGCAACGACCCCCCTAAGAAGAGTGAGGATGTCGTTGTGGGTGGCTGTGATTTGAGCGGTTAAAATTGGTGCAAGGTGTTTGTGGTGCATTAGAGATACCTGGTGGGTTGTGAGATGAGTTGCCGGAGTTGTTGCCTTGAAGATGGGGAAAACATCATCTCAACATGAATCTGATGGAGTAAAGTCTTGGGAGAATTATAGGCGCAACACATGCGTGGTGGGTATAAAAATAAATCTACACTCTTGATAATACATGAAATCTCATAAATGCCAGTCTTGCTTAAACCAACCCATCAACGCTTTCCCCGTTGCGTCCTTGTCTGTTTCCTTCACGGCTTTCTTCATTCGCACCACCTGGCTTGCTCACATCCGAGTGCTTGGCGGGATCAAATACATAAATGGGGAATTCCAAGAACAGCGTTCTCTTGAGAAAGACGGGCATCTTCTCGTACAATTGTGGTGGGAAGGGGATGAGGATGCTGGTACGGTCTAGCCATCGCTTGTAGCCGTCCCAGTTGTTTCCCTTTTCATATCGTGACTTTGCCTTGGGACGTTCTGAGAGGGGCAGGCCGGAGACGAACATGAGGAGGATGGTGAGAAAGAAGGGGCCGAGTATGGAGGCGTAAAGGGCCTTGTATGCTTGGCCTCCAACGTATCCATCCGCGGTAGATGATACAGCAATCATGTAAATAGCTGTTCAGTTAGTGAGAGTCCATCTGATGAAGCATTTGGACTTACAAAACTGCATGATGATTTCTCCAAAGTAGTTCGGATGTCGTGAATAAGCAAAAAAGCCCTTATCACAAACATCCGACCCATTATGCGTCTTCCTAAACCGATACTTTTGCACATCACTCACACTCTCCATAACAAACCCAACAGTCCACAAAACAACACCAGCAATATCCCTCCCGGTACCAAAATCATGCTGACGATACTGCGTGACATTGGGGCAGTTGATCAACGTGACAGGCAGAGAAACAGTCCAGACCCAAAACATCTGAAAGACCCAAAAGCCGAGAAATGGGAAAAACTTGTCGCGTTTGTCGTCGAAGCGGTCATCTTTGCCTGTTTTTAGGATCCGGAAGAGGAGGAAGCCAGAAAGGCGGAGGGCCCAGATTATTAGGAAGAGGGAGGATACTATTTGGCGGGCGTGGTGGTGCCCGCTGAAGGAGAGGGTTAGGATGGCTAGGAGGGCAAAGTTGGTTCCTCCAGCAAAGTCTGGTGATGTTAGTAGCTATTGCTTGTGTCGGAAGAGTGGTGGATGTACCTGTGAGTTTGTCGAATTTCAAGGTGAAAGCTATGGCGAAGAAGAACAGTTGGTAGGCGACCGTTATGATAGCAGTGATGCCCATATAGTAGTTGTCAAGGACGTGTACGACCGTCATGTTGACTGATGGAGATGCTTGAATAGTGCACCTACCTTCTCATCAAAGAGTGAAATCGTTTGAGAATAAATAACCTCAAGAGTCGCATTCGCATTCGCATTAAGCAAAGTCAAGCATGTCATGTTTATCATTGACTTCGTGTCGCATTCTGTTAGTGAATGTCTTGGACCCTGAGTGATGACGTCGATGAAGTTATCCCGTCATCGGGCGCAGCAGAGCGGAAGTACCCCACCACGTGTTTCCAAGCGGAAAGGTACACTTTTCGGAATTAAACGATCTTGAAAAGGCAACCGATCGTTTGGCGATCCACGGCTTGCTCGGATCTACAGTAACCTCAACGGTCGAAAGGCACTTTACGCGCTCTCTCTCGCTTTATTTCTCCTCCTTTATCAATTCTCCATTTCATCTTCTGCCCGCCAAGGCTTAGCTCCAATAAGTCAAAGCGCCCAATGAACCAGGGAGGTTTCACCCTCGTCTCGCCATTGACGGAGAATTTCTAAGCCGCGTCTTCTTAAGCATAGACAGGGGGTTTTCTCTTGGTCAGCCACAAGCGGAAGACTTGCCGAACACGTTCTTTTTGACAGCAGCAACTGCACGCACAATCTCGGTAGGATGCGCGTTCCTGCAGTGCCCAGACTCTTGGGTCTGATGAAAGGCGCTTGTCAAAACTCTTGGTGAGACTGTTATTGTCTTCATCTGATGTTTGACACTTGTTAAAGGATAGTTGTATCAGATTGGCGCCTACAACTGTCATCATCTCATCTTGTTCCAATAGATGCTATCAAGTTGATATCGAAATCAATTCACACAACTTCATGTCCCGAGTCAAGTCTTGTATTTCAAGAAAAGTCCAGACCCCCGCCCGGCTATAAACTAAATGGCACCATCACCGAGTCCACCGCTTCACCCGTTCGCCGCGCCGTCTCAGGAACCCAAGCCCCCCCTTTGAAAACCCCTGAACCCCAACCCACACCCCTAGCTTTCAACCCATACCTCGGGACGGTTTGAGCCTCAGTCGCCGATTCCAGAATCAGAAAAAAATGCGACCCTGGCCTTGGCGATTAAGCCATGCAAATCGTCCCATTCTCCCTCTCTCTCTCCTCTCTCAGGAAACCCTCTTCTTCTTCTCTTCCCCCTCATGCCCGTCTCTCCTTCGGCTGTTGAGAAAACCCCCTCGTTGATCTATCACGTCGCGTGTCTTTCGGGCTAGGACCCCCCTCCCCCCTTCTTCGCCAATCTTTTTTGTGCCGTATTCTCTTCTCATCTGCCGCGGGCAACTGTTTCAAACTTTGGCCCAGTGCCTTGTTGTCTTTTGTTTAATGCTTGTTGCCTCGGGATAGTTTCCCCTCTTCCCTCAGTCACTCGTTCAAATATTCACCCTCGTCAACAAAAAAAAACATCCCAACGGCTGGACTGTTGTGTCATTCTTTTACCCCGAGTGTTGCGTTGCGTCTGAGATACCCTCTAAAGAATAATCGATATGAGGCTGGTGGCTTGGGGCCTCTGGCTCGCCTCTGTCCAGGTTGCGCAGGTGGGTTCTCCAACTTGCATCTTTCGTAAAGATCGACAACTGACACTCTCTTAGGCCGCCACTAGTGGAAGGTTTGGACATAGGTCTTTCAGGAAGAGACAGGCTGTTGAAGAGCCCGCCGCTCCCAAGTTTGAAGGGTATGGCAAGTTGCGACAATGTCGTCGATAAGACTAACACTCGTGTAGACTCCGGCTCTCCTACGTCACCGAGACCACCACTGAGAAAGTAACCGAGACTCAGGTCGTCGTTCAGACTGCCCAGAACGATGCTGTCGCCGCCGCCGAGACCGTCACCGTGACCATCAACCCGCCTGCCGTTACCGTCACCATCAATGCGCCAGTTGAAACTGTTACGATCAACGCGCCTCCCATCACCGTTACCGAAGTCGCCGCGGCACCTGTGAGTTGCTTTGCTAGAAACTCATGTTGAAGCTTGCTGACGAGGGAATCCAGCCTCCTATCACGGTCACCGAGACTATCACTTCAGCTGTAAGTTGTGTCATCCAACTATTCGAACTCTACTAATAGGCAAAAGGTTGCCCAGCCATTTACTGTTGTCGAAGTTTCGCCCATCACCATTGTCGAGGTCTCCCCTATCACTGTTGTCGATGTCGTCACCCAGCCCGTCCCACAACCGCCTGTGACCGAGACGATCACTGTCGCTGGCGAGGCTCCCGTAAGTCCTCTCCCGAATGCTTAAACGTTACATGCTGACCAGACGAAGCCTCCCGTTACCCTCATCGAGACTGTGCAGGCTCCAGCAGACAGCGTTGAGGATAACAAGACAGCGGGACCAGGCGTCACCACTGTCCCCATCGCTGAAAGTGCTCTCCCGACGACGACATTCTCTGAGGATCCTCTGGCCCAGTCCCGCATTGAAGAATCATCCTCCGCTGAGGAAACAACATCTGTCCAGGAGCCAGCAACATCTGCCCAGGAGCCAGCAGCATCTACTCAGGAGTCAACTTCGCTAGCCCAGGAATCAACTACATCAACCAAGGAATCGACCGCCAGCTCCAAGGCTTCGACAACCGCCGCGAAAGAATCAACCTCTGAGGTCGCCAGCGTCCCCGACACTAGTGAAGCAGTCTCGACGACCGAAGCTGCTCCAGTTGCCACGTCTGTCCCCGCCGTCCCCGTCATGGAGAGCAACATCGTTCTGGGACCATCGTCATCCAACGACGCATCAGCACCCGCACCCGCTCAGCCTACTGGGGGCTCCAACTCGCTCAACCTTGGTGACCTGGCACCCGACGCAACTGCAGACGCTGGTACGGCCTTGCCTGCCGTCACGGCTGAACCCGAAGCCGAAGAGCCCCGGACTCGTGCTCCCATCAATATCTCAACCTTGTCCCTCAGCAGCGCGATCAACCTGGGAAATCTCGGCGGAGGAGGAGGAGCAGGTCTGCTCAAAGCTCGTGCGACGAATGCTCCGTGAGAATATGTCGGTAATGTGGTGGTAGAGTAGGAGAGGGGGAATCGCTAGTCGATGGAATGCGAGCGTGTGGTTGTTATCAAGATACCTCTTCCCAAGGGCCCTATGCTAATACTTCTGCCCTGATAATAATGCGAGCGAGTCTCTGAGATTTGTGTCAATTGTGCCTTCTTCTATGGGTATCATGCCATCTTGTGTCCATTTTCCGGTCCTAAACGCAAGTATCGATTCACTTTTTCATTTCTTGTCTGGTCCTGCTCCTCTTGACGCCAGCTTCATCTTCTTGGCCTGTCGCTTGCTCATCGGTTGAGCGTCCTCCCCGTCACTTTTGCGCTTCTGATTCTGTCCCTTGTTCTTCTTCTTTCCAGTCTCCGAGGCCTTCTTTCCATCCTCATCAGCATCGCCTTGCTCCTCGTCTCGCTTGGCAACCTCGACAACATCAATGACCCCTCTGAATCCACTCCTCTTCATGCCCTCGTTCACCACGATGGAACGGGGTATCGCGCCGAGGCCCTGCATTCCCTTTTCGCTATTCAGACCCCACACGTTCAGCAAGTTGACCACATCCGCAGGCGCACGGAGTGATAGCGCATCCTTTGCTTCACTGCTGATCATGATGCCCCGACCGCGAGTCGCCCGCACCAAACTCGTGACATTGCTAATGAAGTTTGCGCGACCTCGAGCGTCAGCGGCTAGGGCTTGGCTGTAGCACACCTCGAATCGCACACCGCGTGTTACGGCAGCCATACAAGGCTTCGGACGAAAGTGGAACTGAAAGTGCTGGGTAAAATCCATGGATATTATCGGTACGTCGAGGGTGAGGCAGGCATTCTGAAAGGCTTTATCGGTCAGAGGCCGGATGGCGAGGATATCGTACGCAGCAACAAGGGAGGCCAAGCGGTAATTTGAGGCCGCCGGATCTGTGAGCGGGAGTGTTGCGCGGTGGAGGATGTTTGGGAGCTTTGCGGACGATGTTGGTAGCTTGGGGAAAGGCGCGACGGGGGTGGCGGGAAAGGGAAGGGTGAGCTCGTGGCTCAGGGCGACAGTCGAGTAGCCGAGCGAGGACGATAGAGTGAGGGTCTGCAGGAGTTGGTCGGGGGTGGTCGAGGGCGACCAAGCGATGTTGAGGTCGTAGAGCATAGTGGGTGGTGGTGGGTTTGCGCTATGGTGTGCAGGAGGAGCGCTCGGGCATGGTAGAGCTAAAGCAGTAGTTGAAGTAAGAGTCCGTCGTCTTGTCTATACTTCAGAGCTTTATATCGAGGTGAAGCTATCCCGACGCTGGTTCAATGGCATATGAGTCGAAGCAAAGAGTCGCACGCGATGGATGTCTGGTTTGGCTTTTTTTTGCGGGACGTTGTACCTTGCCCCGTCCTAATGGTTGGTGGCGCCGGGTGTCAGGAGAAGCTGTGGTCCGTGCGTCCACGAACCTGCCGCTAAGCAAGCGCGACTCGTCCTGCCTTCGTCATCACCTTCTTTCCCCAACAACCAACCAGGAACAGCAGCATCTCGGGTCTGTAAAGCTGCAGCCAGTTTATTACTCATAACCTTGAATCTTTTATAACCTCACCTCTATAAACTTTCTACTCTTTCCCTTCTCTTGCAGCGCCTCCCCGTATATCGACCGACTACTGTGTTCCAATCCTCCGACCGTTACTCATTCCTGATCACGTCTACCGGCGTCTGTCGCAGTCATAGAAATCACCGAGAACCCACGCCAAGACCTGCGCCCCCTTGTGACGACGCCCAACCTTTAACTTGGGTCCGACACACAACTCCGACATAACCGTCCTTCTACATCATCTCATACTCAACCGTCGACTCGACCTGATCGTACTTCATCGTCGTCCGCTTACAAACTCCATCATGTTCTTCTTCTTTGTGTGTGGAGAGCACACCTTCCGAAAGGAAGTCAAGGGCTATGAGGGCATGGTGTGCCAATGCCACCACTGCGGTAACATGGCTGCCCACGTCACCAAGAGCAATCCTTGGTTCACTTTCTGCTGGGTTGTACGTTCTTCTGTTTTCCGTCACTTTGAGCATCTGCTAATGCTGTCATCTTATAGCCCGTCATCCCTCTGTCCATCTCTGGCTACACCGACGTCGCATGCCGCATCTGCAACTTCCACCAGCCGCTCGAGAACCGACCAGACGTAAAGGCCATGGCCAACGGCGGAGGTCAACCTCAAGGCCAGTACTACCCTCCACAGGGGCAACCTCACGGACAACAACCCATGCGATACGGTTAAGACGAACGAATGCTTGGTTGTGTGCAGTTATGCAGGAAACAAGCCACCATGAGGGTAGGCTATGCGGATGTATATTGCTGGTAGGGATAATTTGGGCGCTTGTCGTTTTGGTTTGTGATTTGGGATTTAGAGGCAACAAACAAGCCTGGTGTTGTGGCGAAATGGTTCACAAGAGACGCAGGAGATCATCTTGCAATTTTGCCATGTGTCGGAAGCGTGGTCGGGCCGTGTCTTTGTATGTCTTGCCTACCAGGCATGTCCCTTGGTTCTTTGTCATGGAAGAGTCTGCATATACGATGCCAGAATCGGTTCCAGCCCGACAAAACATGGTTCAAGACGCTCTCTGTCCTGGGTATGTTACTATTGGCCGGGAGTCGGCTCGACTTGATCTGGAACGGGTACGGACTGCCGACCTACGCATGAGACAATCGAGCTACCAGTTCAGTAAGATGGCCAGGTCGTATCTTCAGCATGTCTGAAAACAGCTGATAACCTGCCCGATCGAATCAGATTTCCAGACCTCAGAGAGACAACTTGGTTCTACTTGACCGACCGTCAAGGGTGAAGACAATATTCATACACATTCAAGCATCACAATAATCAGGTGTCCCTCGGGTTTTCTTTTTCTCATCTCTTATTATGGCTCTAATTCTGCCTTCTATAGCACTTGCTACCTTTATCTCCTATCTATCCATCCATCACTTCTTTGACCCAACGCTCGAGTGGGCCCCTGAACCACATGTTCAGCACATGCAATTATAGTGAGGGATAGTAAAATGATCTCATAATCATTTGGGGCACAGAGAGGGTGAGGTCTGGATAAATCTCTGGCTGCGTATCATCCCAAGAGGGAGGCACGCCAGGATTCTCGCTTGGCTTGGTGACATCGAGAATATGTTCCTCGGCCTTCAATCTCCTCTCCCTCCCCACCGTCGCCCAGTATTGACTCTGCAAGATGCTACGCTCGGGCTGCATCTTCTCATTCCAATCCTTGAACGGTTTGCCTTCAGGGAAAGAGAAGCCCTCGGCGCTCAGTGCCATTTGCATCAAGCGCTTCCAGTCTTCCCTTAGGTTGTCATCATACAGGCCAACGCATCCTCTGATCTTTTCTTCGGGGATGAAACCGGCACAAGTCCAGTTCTGGATGCCAACAACGCATTTCTCGGGGTGGAAAACTACATTGCTGGCAGACAGAAGATTGTGGGCAAACACCAGCCTGGAGCAGTCCATGCCCATGGCCACACAGTTCTCGAGGACCACCTGAGGCGTGTTGCTCGTTGTCCAGTAATGGACGAGAGTACAAGCGTCACGCATGTGGCCACCGTTGACACCCCCGACACCCTCGAGGCTATGGCGCTCCCACGTCGCAAGCTCCTTGCAGAATCTCGCGATCTGGAGCACGCAGCGGTTCTTGTGGTCTGCATCCAGGCTCCCCCAGACTTTGTTGAGGGGCACGCCATCAAGCTTGCTATAGATGACGTATTCATACCCGTCAAACTCAAAGTCGGCGTGGACGACAGGCACCTGGAGGCTCAGGGGCCACCCCTCGAGGGCTCTCAAAGTGTCTGCCTCCTTGGTGTCGCGGCTCCCTATCCTGAGCTGCGCCCTGAGCACACACTGGCCAATCTCCCACATGGCGCCCTCCTCCTGCCAGGAACGCACCAGCTTGAACCTGCTGGAATCTTGGATGGGGGTTGATTTCGGGCGCGGGTTTGGCGCCTCGGAAGCGTGATACCAGCCCACTCCGTCCCCGACGGGCCAGCTGGTCTTGTCCTTGGGCGCTGCAAGAAGCGTGATGAGGACTCTCCCTCCAATGATCCACGTATAATCGTCGACTTGACGGAATGTCCGGTGGAAATGGACGTACTGCGGCAGTCGCTCGGGGTCTATTTGGGAGGCCATGATTGTTGGCTTGGTTAGGTAATGTGGATGGGTTTCTGTGATATAATGGGTTGTATGTGAAGTAATATTGTGAGTTGATGTGCGAGATGATTGTTGCTGTCTGGAGAGCTCATCAGATGATATTTATAAGAAGCAGATTCTATTCCATCAACATCTGTCCGTAAGTCTGAAGAGTCTTGTCCACGCAGAATAAACTCGACACAGGCAAACACAAGTAAGTGTATAAGCCTTCTCTCTCGCCATATAGGCAGGAACATGATTTTGATGCTGTACGCAACGTCTGAGCAAGCATGCACGTTTTGCATACTCGACTGAGCAGCGTGGCCCCATCATAATCCTCGAGTGAACAACACCTGAACCTTCTTACTTGGATTCTTCAAGCCACTGCGTCTCTTTGTGTTCTGCCGTCATGTTGGAGAAGGCTCGAGCTCCTTTTCCTTACCCAATCCTCACTTGGCTGAGAGGTACACAAAGGAGAATACCCCTGAACAGCCACCAACACGCCAACAACAACTCAAGCACACAAAAGTACCATTCACGTGGCTATTTCTCATTAGCCTTCTAGTCGATTCCAAGTAGCAACTTCCGCTACGGTACAATCACTAGTATTCTCAAACATGGTTCACCAACAGCACGGTTTATAGATCAAGAATGAGCAATAATTTGAAATCCCTTCTTCCATACATGTTGCAACGTGGGTATCCTAGCCTCCTACGGCAATAAAAAACTAAACAGAACTATCACATCATTCAATCGTTCAGTATAGCATCAAGCCCCTGACGGGCCTGAATAGTCCCCCTTGCTTATCTTCAAGCTCTCCTCCATCGCCCGTCTCAGCTCCTCGTCTTCATTCTCCTCATCTACGTTGCCTTTCCCTTTCATCATCTTCTGCCTGTACTCTTCCTCTGCCAAGCTCTGCTTCTTAACATATTCCATAACAATCTCCTCCTCGGTCCTCTGACTCGCCTCCTTTGCCATCGCTTCTTTGGAGGCGGCGATGGCGCGTTCGAGGTCTTCTTCGTCGTTATCTCTCGGAGGAAGAGGTGGCGGGTTCTTAGATGCTTCAATAGCACGCTGCAGCTCGGCGTCTTCATCGTTTGGTGGCTGTGGCTGTGGTTGTGGTTTTGCGAGGGGAGCCGGTGGGGGAACAGCTGTGTCCACATCCAGTTCTACGAAACCAGATTCCTGGGGTAGCTGTGAATCGGCAACGAGACTCTGCTGAATAGCCTGCTCGATGAGAGTCTGGTACTCCTCATCCGTAATCTGGTAGTCTTCGTCTGCGAATATAGACGGGTCCTTCAATGGAAGTGGTGGGGCCTGCTCTGACTCGACCTTTTGTCGTACGGCCTTGACGCTCTCTCGGATGGCCGCCTCGATCATAGCATCCTCCTCGGCATTTCCCCGTGAAGTCTCCAGAACGGATGCCCGGATAGCTCTCTCGAGCTCGGTATCTTCAGACATGCTTGTCTGTATACTCGAGGAGTCGCTAGCTGTCGGTGGTGGGATCTTGACGTCCACATAACCCTTCTTCCATGTCTCCTTCTCAGCATGAAGCTTCTTCCTCTCATCAAAAGATAGCTTTCTTGTGTGTAGCCACCCAGTACGTGGGCGATCAAACGTGGAATCAGTTCCTCCGCTGGTGGGCCGCGGGTCTGCTGGGAGCTTGCCTGCCACCTTCTCCTTTCTCTTCATGGCGTAAAAGTTCTTGAGGTCGAACTTGACATTGTTCCAGCGTTTGACAACATCATCTCTCTCCTCAGGGTTCGATTCCATCATCTCATGCTGACCTTGAACAGCTCGTGATGAGACGATGTAGTTGTGAACGCTTTTGGTGAAGAATTTGTTGATCTCGGCGTGAACTCCCTGCATCGTGTAGGCTGGAATTCCCCAGATACCTTGAACAAGTCAGCATAAGCTCAAATATTTCCACCTCATTCGACTCACCTGCTGCGGGCTTCGCGACCAATCCACCAATGCCTTTACCAAAACCTTTGACCAAGCCTTGCACTCCCTCCTTCTCAGCACCTTTCAGAGGTTGTGTGACAAGACCAGCGACGCCGTCAAAAAATCCATAGCCGAGTTCCTTGCCAGCCACCATGATTCCAGAACCAAAGCCAGTAACTTTCTCAACTGGCCGTATAGTGTCGTCATTGTAAAGTCGTGGCATGTTTCTGAAGCCTCTGGCAAGGCCCAGACAAAAGTTCATAGGCGTCTTCGCGCCTGTAGACACAATCCTACCAACTCCCTTGCCAGTACCTACCGCCGCGTTAAGGGTCATGTAGTTTGTTGGCGAGGAGCTCCGTTCTCGATTGCCTCCACCAAATGCTTGCTTCAGCTGGTCTCTTGAAGGTCTCTGAAAGGGTGAGCCTTGGAAACCTGAGGATCCTGGGGACATAGGAGGAGCCGAGAAGGTGGATGAAGCATCGCTCAAAGTGGGCTGAGATGCATTAGAATGGCTAGTAATGGCGAGCGTCGAGTTCGCGGTTCCAGCTTCCGAAACACTAGGCGCAGGCGTCAATTTCGAATCGGTTTCGGTTGTCGGAGGTGTGAGCAACGAGGTTTCGCTCTGCGATGCTGCAGGTTTCCCAGGGGTTTGCGGCCGATCCTGTGAAGCTTCAGGTTCTTTAGTCCGTTGCATACTTCGGAAGATCTCCCTAGGCATGTCGGCAATGGCCATTCCGATGCCTCCAAGATCAGAGACAAGGGACATGGTGCAGGCCGAGATGGGGTCTGGCGGCTGGTCCTCGGTGTTGTACTCGTTCGGGCGATATCTGCTCTTGATTAGCTTGGCACTTTCAGATATTGATGGGAGACTTACAGCTTAAGGTCAGACCACTGAAGTGAGCCGTCATCGACCAGAACTGCAGCAGCAAAGGGGCTCAGTCGCACTTGAGTCCTCCTTACACGCCAGGCCGCGGCACGGCTCGGTGACACGGAGCATCGCAAGTTGTCCACGTTCAGATGATCGTGGAAGCTCTTTCCACCCACATCAGTGCCCTTCTCTTCTCGAATCCTTGCGCCCAATGCTTTCGCTTGCTCCAAAGTCTCAGGGCGAAGACAGAATTGAATAGACTCGGCCAGCTTCTCTGCCGTCAACGCCTTGTAAGGAACCGGCTCGGGACCTGCGTTAGCTCTTGCTATCATGGCACCCCAGAACTGCTGATCACCAAAGAATGGAACCACAATCGTGGGCTTCCCGGCTTTGATACCAGCAGCAGTAGTTCCTGCGCCGCCGTGGTGGACAACACAGGAGACGTGCTCGAAAAGCCAGTCATGAGGCACATTTCCCAGCATGTACACACCATCAGGTATGCCAAGTTCTTCAGCGCCGAGTCCTCCCCAGCCCTTAGATACCAGGGCTCGTACACCCGCAAGCCTGACTGCTTCGAATATCATTTCAGTCATGGCGTTGGGGTCGTCGACGACGATGGAGCCAAATCCGATATAAACGGGAGGTGGACCGTCTCGCAGGAATGCCTCAAGTTCTGGATCTGGTGTGTAGGAGGATGCTAAGTTAAGAAAGTAAAAGCCAGCAATATCGATATGTCGACCCCAATCATTGGGCTTTGGGATCAGAGCTGGTGACCTGAGTTAAAGTCAGAGGTGTTCTTAGTAAATTCGGTATATATACTCACCAACAATATGTCCAAGAGATCTGGAGCCTAGCCAGTAGCCCAGGAGCCCAAATCAGTGAAAGCGGAGGAAGATCGAGGGCTTTTTCTCGAAATCGGTTGATAACATCTCCCAGGCCTTGCCAAGTCATCATCTCGACAAGTGTGTAAGACATATAGTTGGTCATAATATCATCCGTGTTAGAGGATTGAATGTTGGCCAAGGGGTGAGGGAATGCCCTTGTCGGCGACCAAGGCATACTAGACCACCATCAGTAGGTGCTCTTTCATAAATGATAGACTAACTCACGTAAACATCATGTGTACTGGGATTCCCATCTTTTCAGCAATGTGAACATGGGCAAAGCTAGGGGGGTTCGCAATGATGGCATCAGCGACAAAAGGCTCTTGACCTGCGCCAGATACCTCCAATGAAGCATCCAGAGGAGCATTCTTGGCATGAGGAGTCGGGGGTGGTCCAAGGCCGTCGCCTCCTTCTATGCAAGATCGCCAACAGCCGAGGAGAATATCCTGGATACCCTTTCGGCGCTTGCTCACTTCGCCACTCGTAATAGCATCAAAGCCAGGCATCAAACCAGGATGCTTGACCATGAAAGCCATCAGTTCAGCGGGGTCACCGCCGATATTAAAGAATTCGAGGCCATTTTCTTCGACGAATGTTTGAAATGTAGTATGTGTAGCAATTCGAACTCGATGTCCGTACGTATCTTTGAGTACTTTGCCTAAGGCGACAAAGGGTTGGACATCGCCTCGGGAACCGACAATCTGTACGACGACGTTGAGCTTGGGTGGCGGTGTCTGGCCTGGGAGGCCGCCGAGGCTTGGAGGGATGTATGCAGGAGGAAGGACAGAAGGCTCAGGTTCGGCGGCGGTGACTTGTCTTTGCAGAGTCGGGGCAAGGAGATCAGCGAGTCTCCTGTTCTTGGTGTTGATGTTGATATTGACTCGGCCATCGTCTAATGACATCAGTTAGGTGGGATGTTTCCATGATAGCTGCACACATGCTAGGACATACTCGTCACCTCGGCGCCAGCATCAAAACCAGGCTGGGAGAAATGAACTTGATCATGGCTCTCTCCATATGGCGGTGGAGCGCCATCACCAGGGTCGATATCGGGCAACTGAAAGCCATCCGAGACAAGGGCATCTGCCATGTCATTGCGGGGGAGAGCCTGTTGTTGTTGCTGGTTCGCAGCAGCAGCGGCAGCCTTCTTCTCGTCCATGACTGCCATGGCGACGAGCTTGCAGTGTTTGGCGGAAGAAAGAGTAGTAGAAGCCTGGCATCCAAGGAAGCTGGGCGGTTACAAAGTGGGAGGTGGAGGGGTCTTGTATGAAGCTCTCATGGTGGAGCAGGGAGGAAGGTCTCATAGCGGGGGAACTTGAAACTGAGTAGCATCAACCTCCTACGTCAGCCCTACAAATTCGAGCTCCAGCTCTAAGCCGCCCCCTGGAGCTTGGTCCTCGATCCACTATCCCAGAAGGGCTTAGACGCTATTAATAGCGGGCATATCTCAGACTCGCTCTCGCACTGGTGTGCGAATTCAAGACACACAAAGATGGTCATTGTTGCGGTAATTACGTGGCCAATCATACAAAATCACGCTCTTACAAGCGATTCAGTGTTGCCTGATATCGTGTCCCAGGCACGCATCGAAGCTATCGTATTCAGCGAATCATTACACATATTCCGCTCGGAGTACGGCATACGGATACGGACCACCGACACGGAGTATTACAAAAGAGACCTCCACCACGCAAACGACGACGCGTCTTCTCCTCAACCTTCCATCTTCGCTTAAGTCATTCATTTCATATCTGATCGCTCATACGGAGCCAAGACGGACTGTGAATAACGGCAACCTACTAGACAGGGACCTCGAGACTCGGATCGCCATCGGTTCGCCTTGTGATCAGGGTGTTGCCAACCGGTCAACCGAGGTCTTTCTGTTCATGAATCACTTGACTAATATCTCCACAATGCCTTTTCTCGCTCTTGTCCCATTCATGGCAATGCCGCCGGTCAATGGCAGGCAGTTTCTCTTGCTGAACACCTCTTACTGTCACAGTGTACTTCGCTCTCAGAAGATCCTTGATAAATGTTGGTGGAAGTGATTCAACCGTCGTCGGGCTATAGGTGCTTATCAGCCCAAACCCAACCACAGGTGGCTCAGAGTTCTACCCACACCAGACCTCAGGTTCACTTTGAGAGACTAAACTTCACAGTGAGCAGGTCTGTCGTGCAGCAATAAGGCCCGGTTTGCTTTGGTACCTGTTGAACGGTATCTTCCACCTTAGCCGTTGGCATAGTGAATTATTATGTTCAAGATCTCATGGCGAAAATGGAAGCGATCACCACACGGATCACTCAAAAACAAGCAAGTATTGTGCTATGTCGATGGTGTTTTTAGGAAATATCCAAGCAGGTCGGATCACTTGGCTGTGACCACATCGGCCACCTGGTGGATCACTCTACATCTCCATAGAGCATGATTCACTTACTAAACAGCACAGCATCGAGCTCAGATGCTTGTCTACCTCCAAGAAGCCATCGAGTGCTTCGATGGATAATGTGCACCCTGCCACTGGTCCTGTTTCCATGTGTTCAAAATTATGTTTGAGTGTTCCCTATTCTGAGACAAACTCACAAACCTACTCGGAGGTCATTATTCAGGATGACGATAGCCAATATGTAGCTTATGGGTGTTGGACTTTATTCAAGAGCTACGTACCCTTGCTCTCTCAATCCGAAAGGTTTCTGCTGAGACTGTTGGCCACTGTTGAATATTACTGTTTTGGTCTGTGCCTGTGATTGTTTGACTGATCACTGATTGTATAGCAACGCGTCGCAACTTGCTCCGAATCACTGTCACCAAACAGAAACGACAGTGATTCACAAACATGAGGGTCACCGAGGGGCTGCCTACCAGCACAAACTATTTAAAGCCTGAAGCATCTTGACTTTCAGCATCTTTCCTCCTCCAACATTCCTCATCTCAACACTCTCGAGGAAAACACCTTCAACACTCCTCATTACTCTCTTCTCACCAGCAACACTGGGCAATCCGACAACATCTGCTTACTGAGCGGGTGTCCGAAAGGTCTTTGATACATTTCACAAGACTCTCTTCGAAGAAACCCATCATCATGGTACAGTTTCCCATTACCCAAGTTCCTCGTCGCCCTCTAATGTCTATCTGACAGGCTCCCTGGGGCTCGTGGGACCCAGAGCCCCCTTCCGAGGCGAACAACGTCGTGACTGGTAGGGATTTCACCGTTGTAAGTCTTCCAACACGTTCTCCAACAGTGTCAGTCTCTCTTTAACCACTTCCTCCCTAACAGGTCGACCTCCCAACCGATAAGATCAATGAGCGCGAGTACGGTACAGTATCGCCTGCGTTCGCCGAACGCAATGCCCGCAAGGACTTCAGGGACCTGTACTCCCCAGAGTACCCGTACGCCCCAGGGTACTCTCCCTTCCAGCCCCCCGGTCCCCCTCGCGAAGTGCCTTGTCTTGGGTGTACGATCCACATGATGGTTGGCGGGTTCCGTGGCCTCTGCCGCGATCGCCTGGGTACGATACTCCTCTCCCACAACATCAACTACACTTGAAAGCCACTGACTTAGTTTTCCTTCAGCTAACGCAAACGGAGAATGCTTTTGCTGTGTTGTCAGAGGAATTGAATGTGAAGAGGTGCGCTTTCCGTTTGGTTCTCCTTTTCCGCGATGACTGACTCTGTAGGTTCCTGAGGCTGCCTTCAAAGCAGTCTACGAGCTCCAGACTTGTGCGCGCAAGATGGATGAGGGCCACGAGGTAAACTCTTTATCCACCTTTTTCATGCTTATATCTGACACGATCATAGAACACGGACTGGAAGAATCTCTGCAACAGAGTCGACCTCGCCCTTCTGAAAGCAAGACTTCCCTCGTTCCCCCGCCAGGATACGAACAACTACTGGGACGGAAACAACCATGTTGAGGAGGTCGCCAATGGCAAAGTCAACCAGGTCCACAATGGCAAAACCGGATGGGGCGGCAGCGACAACATCGATGTCAACGCCAACGCCAACCAGGTCAACATTGCTAAGACCTACTGGAATGACGACAGCAGCACCAACTGGAACGTCAATGAGAACGTCAATGTCAATGCCGACACCAGCCAGGCCGGCAACAACAGGCCCGACTGGGACGACACCGGCGTCGCCCGCTGGAACACCACTTGGGATAGCAAACGCAACACCAACTGGGGCGATGACAGCGACAGCGACAGCGACAAGGTCCTAGGCATCGAGACCACCCCTACTTCCGAAATCGACAACGACTGTGATGACGAAAGCGACGACGTTCAGGATCCGATCCAGCTCACTCCCGAGTTTTCTTCCGCTGATAAGATCATCTCCGCCATCGACCGCAACACCGACGTTGTGGCCGATCTCTGCGAGATCATGGAAGGCCTCAAGAGCAGCCTGGAGGTTCTTCACGAAGACAATGTCCAGAGCAAGAAGTTGCTGCAGAAGCTGTTGAACGAGCAGCGGACTCTGTGTGATAAGCAGACGTAAGGTTCCTCCCAAGTTGATAGTTTGGTGACATGAAGCTGACCGATTTGTTGAAAAGCATCGTTTGGTGATCTTGGTCACTTTTGAGGTGGAACTGGAGGGTTACGTGGAAGTGAGAGGGTAGTTGGACTACAACACCAGGGCATATTGAGGATGTGTCATCATGTTAGGATAGTTCCCGTAGTGAACTCAGTCCTCGTCCATGGGCACTTGGCTCTATTGGACGGTCAGTCATAAACGGCCTTGCTGGTTGCTTGAGAGTGTTCAGCCAGGGGTGAAGTTACGATATGACCATCCGTCATACGGCCCATGTTGTAAAACCAAGTGGTATCATCATAATGAGCTATAGCAGAAGCGCGGTGTCAATATATCTAGCTAAGTCTCATAGCCGCAACTTAACACATCAGTTGAGTAGGGATTGTCTCTTTGCATTCAAAGAGTCTCCATAGGGTGTTTTCTGCATCCCCAAGTTCCCAATATCCACACAGATATCATAGTAATTCACTGACCAGCTGCAGAGAGCAATCAGGGGAATCAAACATATCCCCACTAGCTGAGTAGTCGATTAACGGGACGGCACCGCAAGGCCCGTCCCAAGATTATCTCAGTATCGGGGACCATTAAACACTACGTTTTTGGCACCTTGTTCCCCCCTCTCTCTCCTCTCTCCCTTCTCCTTACCACTCCTCACTCGCGTCTCAACACGGCGCGCCTACAACCTCACATCATCACCCCGTACAACTACTTTCATCTATCCAACTTCGTCATCTAACAAGATCTCATCATCGATTCAACCATGAGTGGAAATGGGAGACTTGCTAGCCAGCTCGCTGCTCGGCGCATCAGTCACACTGCCATGAGATTCGTGAGTACCATCAACTCATCCCGTGTCCTCCTAACTCCGACTTGACGTATTCCATCCTTATAGGCGCCTCCTTTTGATGGCTTTGACGACAGCGGGAGCGAGTTTGATGAACACGCGCCAAGCGTCGCGAATAGCGGCATCACTCAAAGCACGGTGCCTCGTCGCACCAGACAGAGACGCAACATGAGGCCCCAAGACGAACCTCGCGAAGTCACATGCGCTTCCTGTATCAACAGAATGGATCAGAACGGCCCTGTTGCTGTCTGCCGCTCTCAAGAGTGTTTGTGCCTCCCTCCTTGTCTGTGAACTCAAGTTGATTGTTCTTTCATCCAGCACCCAACGCCGTCGCATGCTTCGCCTGTGCCAAAGTCGGACGCAAGTGCCTCCCAGTAAGTACTCTTTCTCGGCGTCATTTCTTTGTCCATGTGCTAAGTTTTCTGGAGGTTCCTGAGGCGGCGTTGCCTCATGCGCATGTCATTCAGGAGGCAGCAAGTCGCCTGATCAACGGCGAGCCAGTAAGCCATCCCCGACAAGTATCTATAAACCACAAAACTAATCAACCAAGGTTCTCAACTGGAACGTACTTGTCTCCGAGGCCAAGGAGGCTGTCCATGGGGTCCGGCAGAATCCTGTTTTTGTGCCCAACCCTCCCTCGGCCATTGACCAAGGCGCGGCTCCCTCTCCAGAGCCATCCCAGTCTCCTCAGCCGCTCCAGCAAGCTCCAGCAGATGACATTTGTGCCGCAGTATCTCGCAACAATGAGCTAGTCGCTAAGAACAACCAGCTCCTGCAGCGTGTCCTGAATGGGATGGAGGCGTTCGCCCGGGCCACTCGATGAGGCGACAGTGTCCATCAGCCAGTTGAGATGATGCTTGGTCTCGAGATGGACTGAACCGTTTCTACCACACATGACACTTCCTTTCATGGGCGGCGTTCTATGCTCATATTTTTACCTAGTCATGTAAGTCGAGCTCAAGATGCGAAAAGGCCCTTGCACTGACCCATATCCAGATCGACCCATCACTTTGAACCCTTTTGGCCAGGGAATGCCCTCAGGGGCTACACAGCTAGGGAACTCATGAGGGTCTCTTGGAGCTGACCATGAAGACTTACATGGCCGAGCTGCTTAATGGGGTTTCTGTTTAGGGTGCAGTAGATGAAGCACTGGGTTGGATGTGGTTTGGCTGAGTTTGTGTGGTTCTTATACATGTACCGTCGTAATACCTGGCTAGCAAATCGATGATGAGCGTATGTGGGATCCTTTCAGACCTCTTTCGCCTGTCAAATGCGGTATTAGGTACCACCAGTCTCCTCATCCAGTTGTGAACATGACGTATCATGTAACCCAGTCCGAACTGCTTTGGTATTTTCAGTCACAAACAAGCACCCAGCTGTCAGGAAGGCCAAGTAGACATCACCATCTCAGCACGAACCAAGACACCATCAAAGCGCGCGAAAACAGAAAAAGTCCAGATTGCCGTCTGGGTTCCCTTTTGCTGATATAATACAAAGGCTTTATCTCATAACCCGCAGCAATTCAACAAACGACAAAAAAAGTTTCCGGTATGGCCGTATTATCCTCCCCCTCACTCCATTTGTTAGATTTGCGCATCCTCAAACATCCCAGATGTAAAAAGCCTACGCCCACTAAAGCGCCTCCCTTCTTCGTTGATTCCTCCTCATCGGTTATGGGTGGTGCAATTAGCTAGAGAATTTTCGAGTAATCTTGGCAATAACTGTTGAAAGGGTTAGGTGTCGTTCTTGGCTCATGTGAGGACAGATATGGACGTACTGTGAAGGGCGACAACACTGAAGATGAAGACCAGAGAGAGAATCAGAACAACAACGGGGTCAACCTTCAGACCGGGCGACTCATCAGTGTAGAGTCCTATATCGAATGTTAACAACCTGTCCCAAATGCTCTAACCTCCTTTACACGAAAAGGGGCAACATACGCAGCATGGTGCTGGAGGAGCCACCGGCGCCGGCAGCACGGGTGCTGCTTGGTCGCGCATTGGCAATCTTCTCCTTCTGATCGGCGGCAGCACGTCGTCGGATAGCAGTTCGGGGACCGCCAGGGATGGCAGGGGACGAGGGGCGGCCGACGCTGGCACCGCTGGCAGCAGCGCCGCTGTCGGGGGAAGAGGGACGAGGAGAAGACTATAGCTCAGGAGTCAGCATTGAAGCTCTTGATTGACAAGATAGCGATAGAGCCCCCAGTGTGGAGGAACTCAAGTCGCAGCGCATCACCAGCAGCTCGCGACACTAGCAATGGTAGCATCGCGACCACGTGCGATTGACTGGCCAAAGAGAAAAGACAGATTCCGTACCATTGTGAAGAAGAAAACCGAAGAGACCTAGGAAGGACAGTTGACACGGAACCGCTGCAGGATTCCAAAGTCGATAAAGCTAGAGACGCGAAAAGGAGAGAATGTCAAGGTTGGAATTAAAGGTCGAGACGGGCTGGGCTGCGTCGAAATTATGGGCGTCTTCCCCAGTAAATGGGTCGGTAGGGAGTTGAGGCCACCTTCGCCAGAAAACAGGGAGGTCGGGTCCTCTTTTTTCCGGACTCCGTCCAAGCTTCAAAGTGGCAGCTCGACCGGCGCATGCTCCACCAAAGGGACATGCGACTGGCTACCGGATAAGGCCGAGATGCGCTCCTGAGTTCAAGCATGATTCACCACTGGGATACAAAGGCGTCGGGGGGGTTTTACAATTTAGTGACAATAGCTATGTATGGTAGAGATGACTATGGACTCTACTCCCGCTGATCCTACTGATCAGCACAAACGCTGTCTTGCTCGCTTCCGAGTCCGCTCGCAGACTCGCATGTATGAGGTGATGTATAATTCAAGAAAAAAAAACAGAAGCAGAATCAAAGACGCAAACCATGAGACAAATGGAATCGCAAAAAACCCGCCCCTCGCCGCTGGCAGGTTATCCCATCCACACACGGGACTCCCTCTCACACATGCTTATCCGTTCCTCTAACCCCCGTGCATGGTCCAGAGGCCTCTTCTCCCATCGCAGCAGAATTCGCCCTCCTTTTTCTTCCTCCGCCAGCGTATTTGCACAAAAATAGGTAGATAGTCCTTTTCAAACACCACGTGTCCATCTCCGGGAGAAGAAGATCCTGTTCTTCCACCAATGATCGTCCCGTGCTTGCTTGCTTTTACTTCTGGTTGCTGATCCATCTTTTGCCCCGAATCCGTGAGATGTAATGGCAATGCAATGCCCGCTCCAGAGGACCTCCGCGCTGATGCCAACCGAGTTTCGCCGGGTAACCTCGCGTCGAGGGGAAGTTTGAGTTCGTTGGTGAGGTCCGTTTCCTTCCAACCGCTCAATTATGTAACATTAGACAATAGTACATCTACACCAGGAAACGAAAGCTCTCAACCAAACGCCTTCCGCTATGATGGCAATTGTGCAGATCAAGGGTTGTTGTGTGTTTCGAATCGTTGGAAAAAGTTCGACATAGAAAATAGAAGTGAAGGTGGGTATTTTAGAGAGTGACGTCGAGGACAAGGCTGACATCGGCCACGTTGGGGCCAGCCAGGTCTTCAAGAACGGGTATCAAGTCTAATAGCTCGTTATCGTGAGCATCGGAGAACCAACTGCTGATAGGAACTGCGTGTTGGGGGTGGAAGATGTATGACGTTGGTGAGTTGTCAATGATGATGGTATCCTTGAGATCTCGTCCGACTTGAGAGAGATCCTTGACATAGTTGCCTTGGTGGTTATAGCAGCTCTCTCGGAAGAGTCTGTGGTGGACGACTTTGTGGATGTCGAGCTGGTCCAGCAAAGGGTCTCCATACTGCAGATCATTACATTAGTACTAGTCGAACCATTGCGGAGATCTGATAAGACTCACCTTAGAGACAGACGCTGTGAACACTACAACCTCGTACAGCTCGCCAACTCGCTTCATGAACTCATCGACGCCTGGTCGCTTTATCACATAGACGTTGTGGTAGTTACCCTCAATCTCGACAGGGATGGTGAAGTCGGCCTGATGCAGAATCTGTCAAATAATTAGCGCATGCCATACGATAGACCGTCACAAGACATACCTTAAAGGAGCTATGGACCAGAGTTTCGTCTAGGTCAAGAACCAGACATTTCCGGCCCTTGTGCTCGGGCGCAATCGGGGGAAGCAACCACTTCTGCGGCTCGGGCGCCGATGGGCCTTCGGGGAATGGAACGGGTGCCACGGCAGAGGGACCCGGACCTGGGGGTGGAGGTGGAGGAGGTATCGTGCTTTGGGGTGGTTCTTCGGCTGCAGGGGCTACCTGCACTTCTTCGGCCTCATCGACGGGAGCATCTCGCATATCAACGTCACCGGTGTCGGTCGTCTTGTTGCCTTGCTCCTTGGGCTCCTCGTCTGCTGGAGATGGCTTGGGTGGCTCCACCGTGACGGCGGGGGGAATCGATTGCTTCGACTCCCTGTTTTCTCGCTCTGCCACTGTAATCTCGTCGTTGGTGCTGCCAGATGAAGTAGGCTCGTCCTTGGGCTCTAGTGTGGGGGCGGCTGGTTGGGCTTCTTTCTCAGGAGCTGGCTTGGGCTGCTCCTGGGGAGTGTTGGTTCGCGACCTAGCAGATGTTGGCCGCTGAGGCAGTTTGTCCAGCTTGTGCACGTTTTCGTTGTTTTCCTCGCCGCCGTTGGGGCCCTCGGGTGTGACGCAACATCCAAGGAACGAGAGCAGACCACCTCTCTTCTTCTTCTGGGGGGGAGCAACGGGAGAGCTTGGCTGGGTGTTTACAGGGGTGTTTGTGGGTTCGGTTTCGCCGCCAGTCCGGTTGCTAGACGTGCTTCCATTCCGTCGTCGCCCCCGGAGGCTACCTTTGGAGTCTTTCGATCGGCTTCCGATGCTGTTCCGGGGGTCGCTGACGGTCGCCCCACTCAAACCCGTAGATGTTGGTGACGATTGGTTCCGCTGTGACGATGATCTCGAGGGAACTTGGAGGAGCCCACGGCCTTTCTTGGAGCTTGACCCATCTTCTGGTGACAGTAGATCCTTGTCCTTGCCCATCTCAGTGTCGGCGGAGTTTGACTGAAGTTGGATTTCGTCGTTGGGAGTCTGCGGCTTGTCGGACATGTTTGCTGTTTGCTTGAAGCCCGTCAGTGAATGTCTAGCAGAAGTTGATTTCCAAGCAGCGATTGGGAGCCGTCAGCAGCCGGATGGAGTACCACATCCAAGAGCGCGCAGACGTCGTAGTCACCAGCTCACACCAATATCATCCCAGCACAGTCTTCAAACTGGTCGCGACAATGTCGCCAAGGAGACAATACTGTTCCCGTGTTGTCACGAGCATATAGCAACCAGAAACCGCGCAGGGGGCTACCAGGATCGCGCAAGGGATGATGGCAACTCACGTCGTCGACCACGTCCACACACAAAACCAGTCCTAAATCAACAGCCCCTAATTCTTTGTAGATGGCCTACAGAGGCCCGGAACGCGGGAGGAGGCGAGACAGTTCGATCTGGCGTCGATGAAGGAAGCGAAGGGCTTCAGAACGCAGAGGGGGCAAAGTTGGTGGGAAATTGCAGCGCGTTTGGGCCGAGGCAAGCGGTGGCTGAAGGTTGTATCAAGGCAAAAGGTGCGAGTGAATGAAGCGAAAGGTAACCAAAGGGAGAACCGGAGCGAATGAGTGACTCGTCAAGAGACTGCCGCAAACGGGAAACCTGTTCGGGGGTTGCGTCGGTCGGGGATGGAGCTCGGTGAGGAGGAGGAAGAACGGAGGGCGGGCGGAGGACGGAGACGAGAAGCAGGGCGGATCGGAGGCTGAGAGGGAGGACCTGGCGCGCAAGCGAGATGATTGCCTTTAAAACGTAGATTGGGTCTTGGGCTGGGCACTTGGGGGAGGAAGAGGAAATTGGAAGATCAAGGCTGGGAGCGCGCGCAGGGGGGTAAGTGGTAAAACTGCCCGGTCTCTGGAGACTCCCTACCTGAAGGCTGAAGGTTGGATTTGGAAGGCTGGACGGGCGCGGTGGGAGCAGCGGGAGACGTGCTGGAAGCCGGGGGGAACATCCGCTGGAAACGCTGAGCGGCAGGGACACTGGGACGTCGAGAGACTGTGTGAACTGTGAGAGGATGGCCGAACGGGACGGGGCTCGACTGGGCTTGACTGGGGTGGGTGGGAGAGGAGGTGTGAGTGGAGTTTTGGTTGAGATTAGCCCTCGGCGAAGGATAGTATAGTATTGGGGTTGTTCTGAGACTGCGTTATACGCACTGTACCATTTGTGTTGCTAGTCACGTAAAGCACAGTGTGCATTCTTCACAAACACCCCCCTCACAATACCACTCTATCTCTCCCCTTGTCTCTCATCTCCGCTAATAATGGTGCCCGCCAAACTCATCTTAACCACCCTGTCCTATGGTCGCCCGTGGCCCGCCCATGCTCGGTGCGGCGCCTAGGACCCCTGCCCCAGGCTTAAGTAGCAATAACTGACTGCGGGAGGATGTTGACTTGGTCGCGGGAGAGGGCAAAGGGGACAGCAGCTTGACTTTTGCGACGTCTGTGCTCCACGATGTCCCCTTGCCGGGTCTACAGTGTCTGCGTCCCAGCTCTCTGATGCGCCGCTCATGAGTCGAGCTCGCATGTTAAGGGGACTCATGATGTGGGTTCAATCCGGAGACCTGGCGCCCGCTAGGTTGAGATAGACTCTCAGCCACGGCTTTCACGGGCTTTCGTTAGCAGGGCCGAGAAGAAATGGGAGAGCTTGCCCATACCAGCTGCTCCATGCTCCAAGCTCTCCCCGGCTTTTCAGCCGTGCTCCCTGCTGTCCGCTGTCTGCTGTCCGAGAATGCCTGGGCGCACTCACACTCTGTTCCCAGTTTCCTTGTGGCAACATCATGGGTGCCAGGTGCCAGGGCACAAGGGTCAAGAAAAAATGAGACACCGGTACATAGACATCAGCTTTTCATCCCATAGGAATGTGTATGAAGCTGCAGTGAGATGCTAGAATAATACGTCAAGCACCTAGGGCTTGATCTTTGAACACTATCTTTTCCCTATTTTTTGCTATTTTTATGTGAATTATGTTGTCAGAAAACAGCAGCCTTTGAGAGAGTTCGAGGTACTTTGCCCTGGGCTGTCTCATTTGTTTCTTGACCCGCCTACACGGGTAGATGCAGTCCCGACGAGGTCTGGTGGTGTGCTGATAGTGTGTCCTGCGAAGGTCCTCTTGTGCATGTTTCATTGAAGCGCCCTCTTCCGATTTGTACTGAGGCCCGAAGCTCTCGTCGATGCATTACTGTTGCTCCGTTAGCAACGCCGAATCTCCATAGCATGGAGATGAAGACTCCCAGCAAAAAGCACATTTTCAGCCATCCCGAATGCTCAAGTCCGTGGTCAAAGAGACTGAGACACGTAGAAAGGGCCATCAACCTTGTCAGTCCAGGAAGATACGTCCTGTCCAAACGGCATGATTGGCCGTGTTGGCGCCTGGATCAGTGATGTCTCCATGCATCGTGGGCCCCTCAGAATTGACCAGTCGAGAGACCTACATACCCGCTGTGGCCGGTTGGAAGACCTCTTGCCACCATCCCAAATCCGTCAGAACCCTTGCGCCTTTCTCTGGTGATGATGAGGTTCTTGATGGTTCTCGGTCGGCATTACCTACGTTTCTCAGAACACGACAGGGATCAGCAGGGAAACTCGTGAGCCTCAGCAAGCCTCCCGGGCACCCTCCATCTCGTGTCACAAGACAGGCGTCTGGTCAACCCCATGAGGCTACGTAATTAGCTTGTGGTCACCCAATGGATCTGTGGCGACCCATCCTTGGACCCTGGAGATAGAGAGAAAAAAATCGTGGGAGCTTCCTGTGCATCCGAAATGTACGTGTGAACTGGCAATGAATTGGCCATGAACTAGCCCAGCTTGCGACCTGTCGGATGTCGATGTTCAGTCGCATTGCCCGGGTCCCATGCCCCTGGCTACCTTAGTTAATTGCATGGTGGATCGGCGCTCGATGTCCATTCGCCCTTGGCTTTGTGGAGGAGACCTTCATACTGGACCCCGTTGATGAAGACATGTGCGTAGAGTTGACTGGGACTTGGATACCAGAGCCGCATGCTTAAGCACCCGCAAAGTCTGTCTTTATCTCGAAAGCGACCAACTGGAGATCTGGGCAATGACATGTGGCTCTACGTGCCTGCTTTTGTTCCAGCCATGGAAGTTCTAGACCAGTTTCTTCTGTTACATTCATCCAGATGAGATGCGGGCCACGACAATCCACGACAGGCACAATCCAGTCAAAAGCCCCTGACGCCCTCAATGTGCCATTATGTACGCCCAAGACACGTCACAGAATTTGATACATGCCAAGCACACGATAAGGATTGCATGAGGGATCAAACGTGCCTGTGAATAAACTTTTTGAGATTCTCGAAATTCTCTAGGGTAGACGTTCAGTAACGGGTTGGACGAGCTGAACAGGAGAGCGGAGATGCTTGTCTGGTTAAGGATTAGTTTCTCCCCCATGCTTCGTCTAGCCAATTAGGAGCCGAATGTTTTGGCCCATGCTTTTCCCCAGCTTTTCCCACATCATGTGACTGCACGCTGTGGCGTCATTCCCGTCCCGAGCTGGCCGCTTCCGTCGGCTGCAGCAGGCGCAGCCAGGCGAGTTGCAGTCGCATGTGGCACTTGCCTCGGAATCCGTATTCACATGCTCACACGGCGGCTTGATGACACCTGCCTACCTAACCTAATCAAAGCAGAATTGTTAAACCTGGATCGATTCGGCTATCTGATTTCTCGCATCATCGAATCTTGCACCGTTTCATTCTTCATTGAACTTTTTGTTTTCATCCCGAATCGTAAAAGAGACCCTCTCGCCGGATGGGGAAGTGAGGGAACCTTTCTGAGGCTCTCGAGAGTCGCTCGTGCTGCTGTGGGGAAGCTCCTCCAGCGCATTCAACGTCATCCCTATACCATCACCAATGGCTGCGCAATCAACATTGCGGCATACTGCCGCTGAGGAGATGCTGGCGGCATTCCTCGACAAATGGACTGGCAGGATACAGACAAAACTCCGCCGAACTTCGCGCACGACGCGTATCCTCGCGACTCTGGCACTCGCGGCCTCAATTATCCTCGGCGCAGAGGGAGGGCGACGATGGTGGAAGAACCGACGACATGAGCGAGAACAAGGTCGCAAACTTGTGCGCACAAACTCATGGCTACACAACAAGGATGGATCGCGAACAATATATGTTCCCTACAAAGATGGGACAACCAAGGTTGTCATCAACACGACCAAGCCGCTCACATTCGACGCTCATCGGCGCCTCTTCCTCAACCCACCGCGCGTTTCTGGACTGCGCGAAGGCACTGTGCCCTCAGCGCAAACGAAGCCTGGCCTGAATCTTGCCTTCCTGCACCAATTTCTGAGCTTGATGAGCATTATGATTCCGAGGTGGTCGAGTAAAGAAGCTGGATTGCTACTCAGCCACGGCGTATTTCTGATGCTGCGGACATATCTTTCGCTGGTCGTGGCCCGTCTCGACGGTGAGATTGTGCGCGATCTTGTCGCTGGCAATGGCAAGGCTTTCCTCTGGGGAATCCTCAAGGTAAGGGCGAAACCCGTATGTGTGAGGAATCGGTCACTGACAATCAATAGTGGTGCGGACTTGGAGGCTTCGCTTCATACACCAACGCCATGATCAAGTTCCTTGAGTCCAAGGTCTCGATCGCATTTCGAACGCGACTTACACGGTACATCCATGATCTCTACCTGAACGATAATCTTAATTACTATAAGCTCTCGAACTTGGATGGAGGCGTTGGCCAAAGCGCAGACCAGTTTATCACACAGGATCTGACTCTATTCTGTGCAGCAGCCGCCAACATTTACTCATCACTTGGAAAACCGTTTGTCGATCTTTGCGTCTTTAACTACCAGCTCTACCGGTCGCTTGGTCCTCTTGCCCTGACAGGTCTTATGAGTAATTACTTCTTGACTGCGAGCATCCTTCGACGGCTTTCCCCGCCATTCGGCAAGCTAAAAGCCGTGGAGGGACGCAAAGAGGGTGACTTCCGAAGCTTGCATGCCAGGTTAATTGCCAATGCTGAGGAGGTTGCCTTCTATGGCGGTGCGGAGACGGAAAAGACGTTCCTGAACCGCGAATTCAAGTCACTGAAGTCGTGGATGGAAGGCATCTACATGCTCAAGATCCGATACAACATCCTTGAAGACTTTATTCTCAAATACAGCTGGAGCGCCTACGGATATCTCCTGGCATCACTGCCCGTCTTTTTGCCAGCATGGGGCGGCGTTGGTGGCCGAGCTGAGATGGCCGAGAATGGACATCGGGGAGGCCGAGAACGTAATCGCATGAAGGAGTTTATTACCAACAAGAGGCTCATGCTCTCACTTGCAGATGCTGGAGGTCGCATGATGTATTCGATCAAGGACCTTTCGGAGCTGGCCGGGTACACGAGCCGTGTATACACGCTCATCTCGACTCTACATCGGGTACACGCAAATGCATACCATATCCGAGGCGGCCAGAGCGAACTGTATTCGCTATCCGATGTTCAAGGGACAATCCAGAAGGGATTTGACGGTGTTCGGTTTGAGCATGTTCCGGTTGTGGCCCCTGGTCTGTGGCCGCAGGGAGGCGAGGAGTTGCTTGACTCCCTGTCTATCATAATTCGAAGGGGGGAGCATCTACTTGTAAGTTTTCCTAGACATGACATGTGCCGCTGCTAACACCAAATAGATTTCCGGATCAAACGGGGTAGGTAAAAGTGCCATTTCCCGAATTCTCGCTGGCCTCTGGCCAGTATACAGAGGATTGGTGAGTCGGCCCAAGAACATCGGTCAAGATGGCATCATGTTCTTGCCTCAGCGACCGTACCTCAGCCCAGGTACACTTCGTGATCAAGTTATTTATCCCGACGGCCACGTGGACATGCGAGAGAAGCGCAAATCAGAAGATGACCTTAAGAGCGTACTCGAGGCGGCGAGGTTAGGTTACCTTCCCGATCGAGAAGGAGGGTGGGATACACGAAAGGAGTGGAAGGATGTGCTTAGCGGAGGTGAGAAGCAGAGGATGGGATTTGCTCGTCTGCTATATCATGAACCTCAGTATGCCATCGTGGATGAAGGCACCAGCGCCGTGTCGAGCGACGTGGAAGGCTTGCTCTACGAGACATGCAAAGAGAGAGGCATTAGTAAGTTGATTCTATGGCGACATTCTCCATGTGATGCTGACATGCCGCAGCTCTCATTACCATCTCAACCCGGGCTTCCCTTAAGAAGTACCACACATACAACCTCGTCTTAGGAATGGGAGAGCGAGGCGATGAGTGGGAGTTTGAGCGAATTGGAACAGAGCGAGAGAAGATGCAAGTTGAGAAGGAGTTACAAGACCTGCACGAGCGACTTGCACAGGTGGATGAGTGGAAGAGGCGACGGGATGAGATCGAGGCTGAGCTGGCAGCGGTGTGGACAGATCAGGGAGAGAAGTTGGAGGCCCCGGCGTACGCGGAAGAGGTTGTTGAGGCCCAAGAGTAGGCCCAAGAGTAGGCCCGTCCCATAGTAGGCGATTGGAGTCATGGTGCATGGAGCAGGCTGGCGGATATGTCTTGTACAAGCAAGTAAGCAGAAAGAGGGCGAATGAATATCTACGCGCCCACAACTGACGGCATCTTGGAGACCATGTGGCTGGCTGCTTCGGCCGAATATGCGGAGTTTTTTCGAGTTGTCTGATGTTCGAATGCGTAGATTGTCTAAGAGCCGAGGCGGTGAGGGAGGTTGTAAACTCTGATCTTTGTCTCTAGACTCTGTCATTGAATCCCAAGGGTTAGGGTTGTCAGAGTCAAGAGCCGAGCTGGAGCGCCGGCACTCAAACCTCATCATCACATCATGGGGATGGGATGGTAACTTGAACCCTGCTTTTTTCTTCCCAAGCTTTCCAATTGCCCTGCTCATTGACGCCCCGGGAGCCTGGTTCACAGCCACCACCAACGGCCCCCCAGAAGCATCATCCATGCATCGGTTAGCTCTCAATAAGCAACAGCTCCAGGGCTGGGCCAGGTTCTTTTCCAGCTCACGCACGAAACGCCACTACCCAGGCCGTCATCCCCCCCAAATCACTAGTCTCTCTGGGCACACCACCGCAGGAGACTATTAGCGGCAAGCAGCCATCTTAGGGCGCGCGCCGGATGAGCGTCGATCCCGGTAAGCCTTTGCCCCCCCGAAAAGGTGCAAAGAGAGGATCTGGACCTGAGCTGAACCGGGGGAAAATCACAAGGTTGTGTAGAGACTATTGATGATGGAGAATGTATGATCAGCAGAAAGAAAAAAAAGAGACTATTTCCTCTCCCTGCCTGCCACCCTTTCTTTCCCTTTTCACTTTACCCGTGCCGTGCCGTCTTTTGCTGCTTGTCTTGACATCCCGTCTAGAGCTTGTCTCGCCTTTCAACGAGCTTTATGTGGAAATTGCGCAACCAGGCTGTCATTGAAAAAAGAGGCTCTGTCCTCTTTCTCTTCCCTCAATTGAACAGACAAAGCCTTACTACCTAATTAACGCGCTTTTCCTCCCCATCTTCTCTTTCAGCTAAAGCTTGGGTTTTCCCCCCTCTCGTCCGTTCATCGTCATCAAGCTTCTTCTCCCCCGCATATTTCGCCCTCTCTTTAGAGTTTTAGAGCTATGGTATACCTTGCTCTGGAATTCCTACCAACGCAATAAAACTACCAAGAGAGAACACATATTCGTATTGATAAATAGCTGCAGCCATGATCCGTGGCCACGGCCGCGGTCCCGGTTCCCTCGGCTCTCGCTCCGGCGTCTCTTACATGCCCCCCATCGACGAGAACGAGGTCGCCTCTACACCTTCACCCAGCCCGCCCAAGACTCCTCTCCGAGTACCGCAAAAGTCGCCGCGGCGAGGAATGCGGACTCACAACGGTGTCACAAAGATCAACAGCAGCAATAATAATAACGGCGCCGCAAAGCTCAACGGCGTGCTTCCGCCGCCGTACGTCCCACCTTATATACTCTCTGCCGGATATTCGCCCCCACACGTTCCGCCGACGCTGCATCCTCCGCCGCCGAGCTATAAGGAGGCTCATGCGGTAAAGGGTAAACTCGTCGAGGGGGATTCGCTTGGTGAGGAAGAGGGGGTTGTTCCACGAGGGCGAATTTGTGGTGTTGATAGGAGGAGAGTGTGTTGCTTGTTTGGTGTCGCCGTCGCCATCATGGCTATCATTGCCATAGGACTTGGTATTGGACTGACAGTTGGCTTGAAAGACAAGTAAGTGAAGCCATCATGAAGAAGTGAACCGACCAATTAACCAATCCCTCTAGACGTCAAGACTCAACCGAAGACAACTCCCCATTGAAGGATCCCAACTTCCCAGCCGGCTCTTTCTCCTTCAAGGCAAACCTCCAGAAGCCGTCAGCAGAATGTACCTCGAATCCATCCACATGGCGCTGCTACCCCTATACAGAGGGTGAACCCGCAACCTTTTTCTGGATCATTACATACGTCAACACCCAGTTCTACAAGATCTCATCCACCGACAACCCCTTTGCACCCTCCTTCACCAACCTCACCCTCGAGCTCCTAGACGAAAACACGCCCAAGGAGCGTCTTCTCTTCTCCTTCTCTATGAACAAGACTGTCGTTCCGGATAATCAACTTTCGTCTAGTAACCGTGCTGCGCGGTGTACTTTTGACGACACACGCTTCGAGGCTACACTATGGACACACAAGAGCAAAGGCCACAACAATGACGACGACAAATCCGATAACAGCAATTTTGTCGCCTGGCCTGGTGACGTCGAGGTTGTTCAGAGCAAGTCCTTCAAAAGTGGATCGCCAAGATGCGTGGACGAAGATGATGACAAGGTGGGCGACGTCAAGTCTCGTTCAGGGGCTTGTGAATGTCGATACACCAACTTTGACACGGACTAATCAGTCCACCACGCGCTTTTTACAGCACGTCGACAACATTACATGAACTATTGGTAATGGATGCTTGGGTGATTTTAATAATGGTTTAGCGGAAAAAGGAACAGGCGATTAAGCGATGGAGTTAATGATACCCAGAGATATGACAAACTGCTTTTCGGTCTTTTGGTTTGGAATAAGCGTCAATGATACGTAGCGGATATGAAGTACAAAATGAACACCAATTAATGAAAACGAAACAATCCACCTACAAAAAGGAAAGGGAACAAAGCGGTAAAAAGCAAGCTGCCTGAACTTTGGACTCCTGCATGCATGTATCACTTGATAGGGTCTCAAAGGAATAAGACATGCGTGACAACCGAGGAAAAAAATTTAAAAATTGACTTGACCTGCCTTCTCAATTCAATCATCAAAGTATCCCTTTCCACCTGCGGTTATGTACGCCAAGGCAGGAAGATTGCCATCTACCAGCCTCTGCTCGAGATGCTTGTTTCTGGCCATTAGATTTCGGATGGCCATGGGCATGTCATCCATTGCCGTCTGAACAAACTTGTCGAGATGGCTCATCTTGACAGAAGTCTTGAGACTCCTTGTACTGGGCTTAGAGACTCGCTTGTTGACCTTTGATCCAGGTTCCTTTCGATTTGGGAACCGTTTCTTGCTCCTGTCGTATATTGAGCCAGTCTTCTTAGCCTTCCCTCGCCCAGCGCCATTCTTGGGAAGATCGAATTTTACTCCCCTTCGTGCCGTAGGAACAGGAGATCTATCGCTGCCACTTTCAGATACGTCGTAATCAGGGTCGGCGCGTGCATAACGCAAGTTGGTGTAAGAACCCCTGGCATCCTCCTGAGCAGCTTCGTCATCGTCCATAGCAGCAGGTTTGCCGCCATACACCGCCGGTTCAGGGCCGGGTGGATTGAGCCACGAGGGAGCTGCCGCTGCTACTGCCGCTGAAGGCTCGTCGTCAACAGCCCCCCGGCCAATCCGCTTGGGGACACGCAGATTGGCAGGTCGACGAGGGATCGGATGTTGGGCTTGACCAGGCTGATGCCGACCAACAGGTGGTTGAAGAGTCTGGTCTTCAGCCCTGTCCCGTCGATCCATCCACTTCTGAAAATACTCGAGTCGTGCTTCTGGGGCGGAACCTGCCTGCTGCTCATGTCGGTGAGGCTCTGATCCCGGGTCTGGGTGCATGAATGGCATCATGACAGCTCCAGCCATAGTCTCCTCGATGGCATCGGAAAATTCGTCATCCATTGAATCAGACATGGGATCCGGAGTCTTGGGACTAAAGAAATACTCCCAGAAGAGTGCCATCTCTTCGGGGCTTTGGTAGAAGGGATGCATCTTGCGAATCGCAATCTCTCGCAGAAGCGACGTGACGCTGGGTCGTTCGCCCGGCACCTCATGCTGGCATCGCATAATTAGGTCGCGCAAGGCAGGATCGACATGGGAGAATGATCGGTCTTGCAGCACCCACCCATAGGTGTCCCCTGATTGTGTCCCATCCATACTATCAAAATGATAGGCATCGAGTGGATACGCCTCGGTAAGGAATGTGATGGCCGCTTCCATCTATGGCTTGTTAGAGGGATCAGGATGTAGGGATGGTGAAACTAACCACTTTGCCAATGAAAAAGATGTTTGTCCAAGTACCGAACCGGCCAGCAATCGGATGTCCTTGAGTGAGATCTTCGCCTGCGAATTCGGATCCGTCCAGGTTGGCTCCCTCGTCCGTCCGAATGTGGTCCCAGTCCTGGTGAGCTTGCTCCTAGTAGCGGTTAGAGACTCTTGATGTATGTGTTGAGTATGCCACGTACCGGAGACACTCTGTGGAGCTTGCAGGGCCTCCTCATCTTCCAGTACTTGACATCGCCCCAGGTCTTCCACTTTTCGCTCATGATGAAACTAAAGGCACCGAGATCGTGAAGCTAGGAATTCGTCAACGCGTGCTTCATGCGCTCAGGTGTTTGGGGGATTACCTTGAAAATAGGGTTGTCCGGATGGCTATTACTTGCACCAACGAGAACTATCAACCAGGTTAGAAGGGGCGAATATGTAGAACACTATGCACGTACTGTTCAACTCTTCCAAGTCTAAGTGAACATCGTGCGATTGTTGGATATGCTCCAGCTGCGTCAAGAAGTGTTCCAGACGGTGAGTATCAATGGCTGTTTGCAACTCTTTTTCAAAGTCTTTGTTCATGGCAAGGAAAGAAGGCACATATGCAACAGCGGCAACTCCTCGGACCACTGGACACGAATCAGTACAAGGACACAAGTGTATAAGGGGAGATACATACAGCATTCCCAGATGCCCCAAAGAGTCCTGTCCGGGAATTGCACATCCATCTGACTGGCTGAGGTCAATACTTTGTACAAGTCTCCGTGTTCCATGAACTCAAATACGATGAGTCGGAGGGAACTGGCATTGAAGTTTGAACCATTCCTGTACTGGAGATGAGCCAGAGGATTCCTCTGTCTGACTTGATCCCGTATTTTCATAGCTTCAGCGTGTAGGTCGATGATCTGGCTGGTATGCTCGGCACCGGCGTATCGAAGATGAAAGCGGGATTCCTTTTCGACGTGAAAGCTTCCACCGAGAGCCCTTTTGATCACCACCTTTTTACTGGATCCATCCTCAAACCAAACCCTCCATAGGGAAACGAATCCATGACCGCCGGCGGCAAGGACTTTGACGAATTCGAACTTGAAGCCCTTCCACTGCACATCGTCAATGCCGCGCCTTGCAGTATCGTCATCTACGTGCTCAGGTATCTGGGTTTCGAGCTCCGCGCTGCGATAGTGGAAGTTGTATCTCTTGCCCAATTGGAGATCGTTGTGTCGGACCCTGTCCCAGTATTCTGGTGGAATCGTTGGACAGTTGTGGAACAAGACCTCGGTTTCGCCCCTGATGATGGCGGCCTGCAAGGTCATCATATTGCGCCAATGGAGGAGGTCGTTATCAGGGACCATGATGGTCCTGACTTGAATGTCTTCGGGCCGCATATTGAAATGATGGTGAATGAATGGCTGGAAGTGTCTATCGTGTGAACATGGCGAAGTGCCAAACTCGGATGGGGAATTTCCTTGGTAATAAGCATGTTCAGGAACAAAGGCGGAACAACTTCAACGTCGGGCTGGTTCTGCAGGGCGGCAGTCCGATTCGTAACAAGGGAGGAAGCTCAGATGTCAAAGCCAACCTCAATGGTGGCATTGTGAGGGACTCGAAGCCGAATCTGGATGTCTTGGGACAAAGAATCGCGGGGAGACCGTGTGCCGCTTGGCGACTTCTTTGTTACTGTCTGGTTGGGTCCAACAGCAACGATAACCGATTCTAATTCGGGAGTTGAAGGTAGGGCGACGAGGACGACCGTGCGCGGACGTGAAAGAATCCCTTTGATGCTGTGATGCACCCCATGAGGATGGGTGAAGGCGCAGGTGATTCGTCGAAGCTATTGTCAATGCAGCCATGATGGCTGAATCTGAGGAGGGGGAGCTCCTATTCTTACCTAAAGACGTCGTCTTTGTCCCAATGATGACGGCATCATTAGAGAACGAGCGTACCTTGGCCGACTTCGTGTGGCACAATGAATTGAGTCTCGTGGGGACGGCCTTGGTGTTGACCACCTCAAGTCTGGTGTCTTCATGTCATGTCCTCGGGTGAATTAGAATGGGGACCCAAGGGTAGGTCCGTAGGTAGAAGCAACGGGCACCATGTGGGGCAGCATGCCTTAGGTTTGCGCTGTAGCGCCGCGAGGTACGTATAATATCCGCCCGCGTGGAACGACGTGGGACCACGACTTTAGGCTAAATTGCTTTCTCCCGGAGCATCATCCTCTCGGTCATGATATTCAGCATCAATTCAACCCTTATTCTTCCGCGCAAATCCACCGACAGAAAAAACCTCTTCAAGCTCTTAAGACTGGGGAACCTAGGCAAATGCTCTTGGGCTTGTAAGAAAGCTGATGCTATCAACTACCACGTCACCCAGCCTTGACCAGAGTCATCCGACGACCCGGCCGGGGTATATGGTACGGGGGCGCGTCTGGGCTCCCTGGATGGTCTGCCGCATCAATCACAGAAGGCCAAATACTGTCCTGGCACACAATCCACCGGGCCTTTGCCGCGACACCGACTCCAGTTGTGGTTAAACGCACAAATGGGCGTCGACGGAGCTCCCGGTCTGCCACGGTAAGCTTGCCGCAAGCTCTAGACGACCTACGCCAAGGGACCTGCATCATCTGGGCTTACAGAATGGGACATGACACCCATCTCGCTGTCATGATATGTCCGGCGTATAATTGCTTTTGGCCTAGATCTCCTGCCGTTTTGCCTCGCTTCTCTCCCCCCCCCACGACGAGGGTTTGGTTCGCGGGGTGATTCTGCGTCCTTCTCTTGGCCCGGGGTGGCTGTACATGTGCCAGATGCTCGAACGACAAATAGAGTGACTCGAGTTTCGGCGTGCGGTGAGCTTTGCATGTTTCTGATCCTGCTCGGTGAGACCTTGACCGACAGTATGGGCTTTTGTCAAGACGGGCATGGAGAATCACTCGGAACGTCGGTCATGATGGCTAGAGAGCTGGCGTTTGTTCTCAGCCTCAGACAGCTCAACCGCGACGATAAGCGATTGAGATCCCAGCTCGACCATGGGCGTCTCGCAGTGGATCACACGCCCTTCTGGAATTGCCAGGCTAGTGATCCAATTTGAAAATATCCAGCGCGGCCACCGCTTTTCCCAAACATCCAGATGCCCACCCTTCGCCGGGTGAATTCCCTTGGGCCCCACAGAGGGCGGCAATGGTGGCCGGGCTGGTCAATACGACCTCGAATCGATGGATGAGACCACGCCTCATTCTTGCACGACCGTTGCACACCTCTCACGCTTTCAGTTCACGCCCGGCCAGACCCATGATACCTCCTGTCCCCTACCTTACCCGGGAACAACACTGCACTCTCCTCTGCGCTAGCCGTCCACGTCTCGCCGACCCATGCTCGATGGAGTCGCGCTATCAATGCCATGCCGTGCCATTCTCTGTCATGTCGCGCCCATGAGGGACGCCGGGTGAAGCTGCAAAGTCGAAAGCTGGGCCGACTGAGGCATAACCTCGAGACTGGATGTGGATGTGCTCCTCTCTGGCTCAGGAGCTCGACGTAGCATAAATACGCCTGTTCCCTCCCTCCTCTCGGGGTTTGCTTCTTCTCCCTCTTCCTCCTCCTTGTCCTCATCTACCCAATTATACCCCGAGACAACATCACAATCCACCAAAATGGCTGATATCCCCACCGTCAAGCTCAGCAGCGGCCACGAGATGCCCCAGGTCGGCTTCGGCCTCTGGAAGGTTGACAACGCCACCTGCGCCGACACCGTTTACGAGGCCATCAAGGCTGGTTACCGTCTGCTGGATGGAGCCTGCGGTATGTGAATACTTTTTCTACCAGCTTGAAGTCATTATAGACTTGCCCGTCTCTGTCGATAATATCCTCGACGCAACAACACCAACAACGTCTGCCCCTCCTTCGATGCTATATCCCTGCTCGCTGCCCCTCCATTGCCCCTGTCCACTCCCAATTACCCCGGCAGAATAGCCACAAAGGACCCCTGCAAATCTGCCCCTCCACCGGCGTCATATCAGTTGAGAACTTGGCCCCACCAGGTGATGGCTTCATGAGACCTGTAGGATTGAGCCATGATATGACACCCTTTCTTCCCCTCAAAGACCCAAAATGAAGCAAATTCTGATATAAAATCCCTACAGACTACGGTAACGAGAAGGAGTGTGGTGATGGTGTCGCCCGCGCCATCAAGGAGGGCATCGTGAAGCGCGAGGACCTCTTCATCGTCTCCAAGCTCTGGCAGACCTACCACGAGGAGCAGCACGTCGAGCCCATCACCCGCCGACAGCTTGCCGACTGGCAGGTTGACTACTTCGACCTCTTCCTCATCCACTTCCCCGTCGCCCTCGAGTACATCGACCCCTCGGTCCGCTACCCTCCCGGCTGGCACATCGACGACGCCCAGACTGAGATCCGATGGGGCAAGGCCACCAACCAGGAGACCTGGGGTGCCATGGAGAAGCTCGTTGAGAAGGGTCTGGCCAAGTCTATTGGTATCTCCAACTTCCAGTCCCAGGCCATCTACGACCTCCTCAAGTACGCCAAGATCCGACCTGCCACTCTCCAGGTCGAGCTTCACCCCTACTACCAGCAGACCGAGCTCGTCCGCCTGGCCAAGGCTGAGGGCATCGCCCTGACTGCCTACTCCTCCTTCGGCCCTGCCGGCTTCATCGAGCTCGACATGGACCGCGCCAAGGATGCTGTTCCTCTGATGCAGCACGAGGTCTTTACCACCCTCGCCGAGAAGTACGGCAAGACCCCCGCCCAGGTCCTCCTCCGATGGTCTACCCAGCGAGGCATCTCCGTCATCCCCAAGTCGACCCGTCTCGACCTCATGCTGGAGAACCTGGCCTCTGTCAGCTTCAACATTGACGAGGAGGACATGGCCCGCATCTCCAAGATGGACCTGCACCTCAAGTTCAACCAGCCCACCAACGTGAGTAGCAGCCCTTCCCTCATCTCGAGTATTATGCTAATGCCTTGCAGTACTTCCCCACCGAGAAGCTCTGGATCTTTGCTTAGAGAAATGACATGTGATGACGAATTTAAAAAGAAAGAAATAACTTGGGAAACATTTTGTTTTGGGACATTAGGCGTTTGTTGATGATGGGCTGCATTTTGTAGAGTCCAAAGGACGTGATGGAGGAAATCCGCCTCATAGAATTCAAAACACAGTTAACCCTTCAAAGGAATGTCCTGGCTTTTAATGGTTATGATGTGGCTGAGCTGAAACATAACCGGTCATCGAGTTGAATGATGCACATTTGATGAATTTCCCATTCACTTGAAACTGTCTAGACGTTATCGACAACTGTAGCTGCAAATCTTTATTCTGTCCTTGATAACCATCAGTGCGTGTGCTACTGAGGTGCCGGAATGCGGATGAAAGAACCCCCTCCCCAAACGCCATGCTGTTTATCATGATGCCTTTCCAAAGTCTTGATGTTTATGCTCTCACGAAAGCTGGTAGTAGTGTTAGTAGAAATTCTCTTCTGTGCCAAAGGGAAAACTTACTGGCATCAATCTGTTTGATCTGGGGCAATGTTAATCGGATCCTGTTCCTATACGCCACCGGCTCCTGCAACTGCAGCGGATTTCCCTCAAAGTACACCGTCGTGAGGTTTTTCTTGTCGGCGAGGTACTTGGACACCTCCTTGTAATCGCTGACGAGGTTATAACTGGCCCAGAGCTCCTCTAGCTCAACGAGGGGTGCAAGACCTTCAATACTAGTGACCTTGTTGTTCGAAATGTCAAGAACACGCAACTTGACGTTGTGCTCGAGACCCTCCAGTGATTCTAGAAGGTTGTGTGAGATGTATAGCTCCTCGAGTGTTGGCACGTCCTTGAGAGGGGACAAGTCGGTTATGCGGTTCGACTGGATGCTCAGGAGGCGCAGGTTGGGTAGACCGCCGAGACCGGAAAGCTCGGTAATCTTGTTCTTTGCCACCCACAGCTCCTCGAGAGCAACGAGGGTGTCGAGATTCTTCAGCTCGCGGATGCGGTTCGACCCAAGCTCAAGCGAAGTCAGCTTATCCAGCCCTTCCAGCCCCTCGATCTTGCCAATCTTGTTAGCCACAAGGAACAGCTCCTTGAGGTCCTTGAGGTGGCTGATGTGCTTGATGTGCTTGATCTTGTTGAAGCTGAGGTCGAGGCTCGTGAGGTTTGTCAGGTCGTCGAGGCCGCGGACGTGCGAGATGAGGTTGTCGTAGAGGTCGAGGTCTTGGAGGGTCTCGGCGAGGCCAGAGAGGCCGTCGATCTCTTGGATGCTATTTTGGCGGAGACATACGCGGGCGGCCTTTTTGAAGCGGTCGAGGCGGAGCGAGGTTATTGAGCCGATACGGGAGTGGGAGCACATGATTTCGTCCGTCTCGGGGTCTTCATCGTCGAGGAGGTCTATAAGCCGTGTTAGTGAACTGTCGCATATCCTGTGTTTAGGGTACTAGGATCATTACCCTCATCGGCGTCAATCGTCTCGCCGCCCAAGACATTCTCGTCGTCTGAATATTCAGGATCGGACAGAGCCTCTGGATTTGTCACGAGAGCAGCCTTGGGGACCCGAAGCTTTCCGTCCCAGCCCTTGCTGTTCCTTAGGCCAGGGCTGGTCTCCCCCTCGGCGCGCGGAGACGGGTTATCATCCTGGATATCGATGTGCGCGTGCGAGTCGCTTTCCTTGTCGGAGCTGGGCATGGTCGCGATTGAGCAGTTCTTGGAGGAGGGGCGGTGATGATGTATTTGATGGTGGGGTAGGAAGAGAGGTTGGGAAGCGTGTATCTGCCTTTGAAACAGAAAAGTTTAGAGAGTGGGTGATGAGAGTTTGAAAGCAGAACGTTTGAGAATGCAAAGAAAAAGTAACCGGGGAGGAAAGAGGAACAAGTCGCGGAATTCGGTCGGTTCGGTGATTGTAAATAGTTTCCAGTTTTTGGGGATCTCCAGGAACCAAGGCGACAAAGGTCCCAGTCTAGGCGGGCTGCATGAAAAATGTCCAGGCACTCACAATCACAGGCGGAGAAGGGCGCTGTAATGGTTGCGCCAATTGGCATGGACGTTGCTGGAGCCGAATGACGTTGAGGGCGAATCAGTCCACCCCAGGCTTGCAAGATGCCTGAAAGCGGGGGTCAAGCGTTCATGGGCTTTTTGATGGAGAATGTTAAAGAAGCAGTCATACAGAAATTTATTACGGAGAGCATATTGTTGAAAGGATTATATATTGTTCAATTCTGAATAGACTTTTCACATTCATTTGCTGGCTATTCCGCGTGAATATTCCTTAGGTTCCCTCCAGGTGCCCATGTCCTGTACCTCTGAACTCTCACTTGAGTCTGCTTTTCGCCTCACCAACTGGCAACACCACTCGTTCTCCTGCACATCATCATCCGCAGCTGCAGGGCCCCGAGCCCAGTCGCGAGCGAACATGTCATAAAGCCTCAACCCCTTTCGACCACAGCATCCCACATCTCTATCTTTCCCCTTGCCAGCTGTCCCTCGTTTGCCTGCCCTGCCTTTCAAACAATGGTGATCCAGCGAATCTCGCGGCCTTGGACCACCGGCAGGACGTTGCCGATATGCAGAGCAATCGGGCGGCCCGTCGGGGGAAGCACGAGGTGCTTCCATGTCGCTCCTGTCCTGATGCCCCCGCTGATCTTTGGTGGCCTGTTTGTGGCTCTGTGGTCTTGGAAGTGTGCCATGATGGTGCTGTTCCAGAACGCCATCATCTACAACCCATTCCTGCCGCCCAATGCCCGGAGCATGCGCATTGATGAGTTTTCGCGAGAGTGCGGGGGCGTTCAATGGAGGGAGGAGAGAATACGATCTCTGGATGGGACTGAGATTGCTTTGTGTGTGTCGGATATGCCTGCGTCTGCTACTGGGGCCAAGAAACCCGTCTATATCCTCTATTTTCAAGGTTTGTTACATCATGATGCCTTTTCTCGTACTTCATCTCATCCAGGACTAGGAAATGGATCTTCAATACCTCCAAGACTTCCTCATTTGTCTTTGATTCTTCGTCGAGCTCGCGACAATGATCCATCAGTCACCTATACCATGGTTTGTCTGAGTTATCGAGGCTACTGGACATCTCACGACCGGCCATCTGAGCCAGGTATTAACTTGGACTCACAGGCAGCACTGCAATGGATATCTCAATTACACAACTCCAGAGCAGAGGGAACTGACCAGAAGCCGGCAGTCGTACTTTGGGGCCAGAGCATTGGATGCGGATTTGCCACCAATCTGGCTGCCAAAGGGAAATGCCCTCCCAACATCAAACTTGATGCCCTTGTCCTAGAGACTCCATTCACATGTACAAGAGCAATGCTGCAGGCATTATACCCTCAAAAGTGGCTCCCATACCAGTACCTGTGGCCATTCCTCCGGAACCACCTGGACAGCTGGACCAACCTCGGCATGATAGCCAAGAGGTTCAAGGAGAGCCCACCGGGGGTTTACATCGTGGAAGCGGGGAAGGACGAGTTGGTACCCGGCGATCACGGTGAAAAGCTCCAGCGGCGCTGCGAACACGTTGGGCTCCCAGTGGAACGGCACAGGGTGCGCGGGGCGCTGCATAATGAAGCCATGGTGAGGGCCAGTGGGAAGCAGGCTCTCGCCGACTCCATCTCGACAGCCGCTGCAAGGGCCCAGCACGGAGATTGATGGGCTTTGAAACTCAGGGATATGGCTTCTTTGACAATGGATGTCTGGTTCAACTGGCGTGAATTCGGGACATGTCGGCCGTGGCGGAACAGGGATATCTAGAGTGTGTGACTGAGAAATGCCGTCACGGTCAAACAGACTGACGGATCCGTATGGTAGATCACCACCCCCAGTCGATGCCCTCAAGTCTCAGGGAGGTGTTTTGCACTAGGCGTCGAACTAAGACCCAGCAAACCGAGTTGTGTGGAGGTGTTGGGAGAGCCATCCATGCCAGGTACCGTACACACACACACACAGCAGCTTACCCCCTGGCAGGATTCCTAGCCCACGGACCCCAAGGCTAGCCCGGTGGTCCACCACCGTCAATGGGAAAAGAAGCATGGGTTTTGAAAAGAAAGTTGCTTGCTGGAGTGTGTGCGAGTGTGAGCAGCTGAATTCGCTTGGTCGTGAGGATTAGATAGAGGACGACAAGTTCCCACAACGATACGTCCTCAAGCAGGCTCAGGATGGGCTTCAATTGAGCCCAATTGGTTCCTCCAGATCTCGTAATGAATCTCCAGTAAAAAAAATGACGAGGCTCGCTCAGAAATTGTGAGCCTTGCAGCTCCATCGCCGAGCATGCGTTAGCATCCAGTCCCAGCACCACCAAGATGTCTGCCTTGTGATGGAGGCTCACGCAAGTGGGGGGCTCCATATTTCCTCGAGGCGAACTGTGTTGTTCCACGCACTGAAGAGCAAGAAGGAAGCTTTTTTTTCAAGCCAACGGGCCAAAAGGAAATAACGAGATGGTACTAACCCTTGCATTATTATGTACGCACCCCAGCCCCCCCCCCTTTTCAACAGTGTGACTCCATCCCTGTCTTACACGGCAAACCTCACTGCCCCGATTCCAATTAAACACCCCCGTCGACCATCACGTGGTTCCGTGGCAATATCGCGTTTCCCCTTTGGCTCAGCCAACGCGTCCCACTGACGACTTATCACCACCTCCCCGGGGGCTGACTCGCCTTGCCTTTCCAGGGGGCTTTGCAGGCCGGGTGTGCCGCTATAGCAGGCAGAAGATGCCTTGATTTTCCGCACGGGGCATGCCTGGCTATTATAAAGATGGCGCGTCTGCTCGCCCATTTTGATGAATGCCAGATCAGAAAAGAGTGTGAATACTCATTTAAACAAGACGGGCTTCATTCCTGACCCCGAGGTAGGTTTTTAGAACCAAAAACAGATTTTCTTACGGCGTCTTTTATCTTTTGTTATCGTTTGCCTCACTCTTTTTTCCCCCTCGTTGCCTGCTGCATCATCACCAAGGCACCCCCCACACACACAACTCAAGTATAAGAAGCGTGAACAAGTCCTCATCGCTCGCTCGCCTTCGATACCAAATAATCACGGGAAATCCCTTCGATAGCCGCCAATATGTTTTCCTCATCCAGACGACACGAATCTTCGAGCAAGAGCTTCTCCAAGAGCCACAAGGTCAACAAGTCCAGCTCTTCTTTCAGCAAGGACAGCGGTGTTACCAAGCGACGACATGAGTCTCGCCATCGGAGACCAACTACGGCTTCTACAGCCACTGCCAGTGATGACACCGTTATGGGAAAGTAAGTATACATCGTCTCTTTTCATGAACAACACAGTTCTAACATTGTCAGCAACTTGACTTCTGCCATCGTCACTCTCGTCGTCGGTGCCGAACAACGTCTCTTCGCCGCCCATGAAGACGTCCTCTGTGGCAGCCCCTTCTTCAGCCACGCTCTTCGAAACGGGTACATGGACGCCACCACCAAGCGCATCGCCCTTCCCGACGAGGAGCCTGAGATCTTTAGTTCCGTGCTCGAGTATCTCTACAAGGGTGATTACTACCCTCGTCTGGTGCACAACAAGCGTCGCAACTCTTGGGAGATTGAGCCCACTACTGAAGAAGAGCGTGCTGCTGTTGAGAGCACCGTCTACCACCGTGGCGTGGATGGTGATCTTCTCAAGGACACTGTCATTTACTGTGCGGCTGAAAAGTATGGACTGGATGAGCTGAAGAAGCTGGCACTTCGCAAACAAGGACTCCGTAAGTCACTTCGTCTCGTCTCTGTCGAACCAACTAACATGTTTACCCTTGAAGAATCTGGTATCCAGTGCAGCACCATCCTCGCCTCGGCTAGATACGCCTATGCCAACACTCCCGACACAGACTCCAAGCTGCGAGCCCACTACCTCGCCCTCATCATCCGTTCTCGCAGCACCTTCAAGCGAAGCGGAACCATGCAGCTCGAGATGTACAACGGAGGCACGCAGCTCTTCTTTGACCTCTTTGTCGCTCTCTGCAACCATGTCGACGACATTTCCTCCGCCCAGTGAGTTTAATCCACTCCACTTCAAGTTAATCATTGCAAACTAACAAGTATACAGAAGCACGCCTCGTTCAAACCGCCACTTCTCTTAATAGCCATCACCAAGACACGCGGCGCCTTTCTCCCTCATCATTAATGAACCATGAATTTTTCTCTTGTTCTCACAATACACGGCGACGGCTTTGCAAAGATTAACAACATGCAAAAAACTAAAGAAACCAACGGGGACGGGACGGAGTGCAAGGCGTAAACAGGTTTTCTTTCTACGGAGTTATTTGACAAATTTGCCCGGGAAACATCTTTCTGTACTACTATTCTTCTCATGAACCTCTAGGGTCTTTTTCACTTCGGAGCAAAGGATGTTTTTGGAATATTGGTCTCGCTATGGCGAGCCGGGTTTGGGTTACTTTTTCACGATGGGATCTTTTTGCGAGCGGGATACCAAGACTGACATCTGACGACGAATAGGCGGAAAGTTGTATCATTACCCCTTTTTTCACGACGCTCTTTTTTTCACGAGCTATTTTGAGAAGCGTAAAAAGAATTTGAAGCTTTGTCACTTATGGACATCCGACTCCTATTCCGTGAAGACAAGCGTGAAAGTAGCTTGGACTAGAATCCGCCCAACAAGGTTCGCCAAGCCGCCCTGTTCTTAGTGAAACATAGATTGCTTGTATCGGAATGTCTCCCCGGGCGTGAGTCATACGACCGACTGGGGTGTGTCGGATCGAGTATCGGCGTGGACAAGAAAGGCGACCCATCCGAACCAAGAGTGTGAAAATGCGGGGAGACCACCACGCCTCAGGATTCGATGGAAATCTCGGAAGCGCAAGATAATGCCCTTACCGGCAGACACACGCTTTAGGACTTTGCATCGACTGTGGGATGGGGGCTACAAGGACGTGGGTGGAAGCAGATCGATAACAAGAGACATGGGTGATGCACGGTATGGAGCTTCAGCGTGAATATGGCGCAAAGATAACTTCAAACGAACCAAACAGGTCGGGTCGGCTCAGATATCAGCTTGGGCTTAAAAAAGCAAACACCAACGAGTGTCGCCGATGCTATTGTATGATTTGTCGACGCCAGCGTCATCCTGACGGCTGCGGTGTCTCTGTCCTACCCCGTGCTGCTCGATTGTGTTCACGCAAGCGACGGTGAGTCTAAAAGAAGCATCTCTAAACTACTGTGTTTCGCCAAGTCTTGATTCAGATTGTGTTGCACACAAACGACTTTGCTCGCTCGCCTCACACTCCTGTGCCGGGGAAAGCACCCTTCTTGGACAGAACCACAATGCCTCGCTCCCTAGCGATATAACCTTTCATCAATTCCTAGAAAACAAAGGTGCCCAGTCAGTGACTCAGTTCTTGGTAAGGCTGAGGTGGAGGGGAGTGCGAATAGAGACCGTGAATGCCCCAGGCAGACATGAAAATAAGGCAGCATCTTGGTGACGAGTATATAGTCAAATGACTCCCGTGGGGATGCCAACAAACAATTTTTGCCCGTTTTCCACCGAAAAAAAGGAAGTGCAGGGATCAAAAGGCAGCCGGTGCCTCGTGTACACGAAGGAATCGAACAACTCACCTTGTAAATCATGTTGGCCAGTAGGCACTCAACCTCGTCACCCTCGATCATCTGCCCGCTGCTCATGCTAATGGCCGCCTGGAATTCCGTCACCGGGATTCTAGTACGACGCACGGGAGCCGTGTCGGCCTCTTTTGGCTCATCGTAGCCGCCGGCGATAAAGACCTTACGCAGGAGGTTACGCAAGGCGATATCTCTGCCCCGCTCGAGTGTCAGGTAGATTCGCCGCTTGACGAATTCGTCTTCGCCCTTTTTCAAGGCTTCGTCGAATTCCTTCAGGTTTCCGGATTTGATGCATCGGGCCAGCGGGAGGAAGAGTTCCTGTAGTCGGGGGTAATTTTCCAAGAGAGTCTTGGTGGGGAGGACATGGCTGGTGATAAGGCGGCAAGGGATGAGGTAGGTCAGGATTCGTCTGGCATCAGGTTAGCGGTGAATCTGCTTTTGTCAAGTCATGCCTACTCAGATTGGGTGATGGCATCTTTGTGGCACAAGTTCCATGCTTCGTTGAGGTGGGATTCCGCCTGATAGACTTTAGTACACATCATGCAACGGACCAGATGGTGTCTTACCGCAAGGTAGTCCTCTTCTAGGAAACGCAAGACGCCCTCGTAAAATTTGAATGTCACTCGTTGAGACTTTGGGAACATTTCGAGGGCGGGCATGTCTCCCTTGTCGTTGTACACTGACAACGTCTTGATGATAGTCCGCGATAACGATGCCGAGTTAAGCTTGAAGTAAGTTTTGAAAAGCAGGTTGATGACGAAGTAAATCCCCCATTTCCTGGATTCTTCTAATGGGGCTCTGGGTATTGTCAGTCACAAACATAGCAAACGAGGGGATGGCCCATACCTGTCGTTTAGACACAGGGAAAAAATTCGCTTGAGGTGACCCTCGCAGTCTCGTAGTTGGAGCTGCCCTTCGGTTTGAGGGTCAAAGTCATCGTCCATCAATGAAGCGCCAGGTGCGCTGCTGATAGATTGGCGTTCCTCGTCGGATTTGATGGCGAACAGTCGCAGGTACTTGCCCACCATGTAGAGAGATGGGATCGTCCACGCCTCGAATCCGTGCGAGTTGTATCCGCGAATAAGTACAGAAGTCAGTTCCTTCCAGGCCTCGTACACTTTTGTCCATGTAGACTGCACCATTGTTAGCAAGGAGATTCCCGAGTGCAGTCACTCTCATACCTTGCCACTTTCTCCAGCCAAAATCTCACCAATTGCCTTCCAGTAGGATTGGTAGACATCAACCCAGCCCGTCACCTCATCATGGTCCAGTTTCTGCCGATGAGAAGTGTTTGACTTGATGAAGTGCTTGATATCACCCTTGACGCTGTGAGAATTCGTACTACGCCATACAGCCAGCAGCCGTTGAGGGTCATCTGGTGGGGGAACAGGAGATAAGGTTTGAGCTAGCTTGTAGCCATTTCGCAAGGCATGAGCCTGCGCAAACTGCTCGAACAGGGTGTTCATGACCTTGGCCACAGATGCAAGAACGTCGCGATGTCTACTCTGGCAGGTCTCAAGTCGGGTATCGGTATTTGACTGGGTAGAAGGCGATGGCGAGCCCGGATGCGGATAAGCTTGACGATATGTAATGATGAGCTTGAGATGATGTACTATTATTGTCCGAAGTGTGTTTCGGTCAAAGTTGATCTCGGTCCTATGGCTTTGTCGTTCAGGCTCATCGCCTTCCTTCCCAACTTCTTTGAGCTCGACCACATCTGATTGGACGTTGGACCCACAGTCTTGGCAATCAGCACAGATGACGGTGCACGTGACTGTTTTCACGAGTGGGTCGTAACTGACCAATCGCCTTCGGGGCCAAAGCCCTGCAGGTGCTACGTCTCTTAGCCCTCCCACACCTTCGCACAAAAAAATATCGCCCGCGACTTTCAACTTCGGCCATCTTCACTAACCTTCACGCAGTTGGAATTGACCACCGTCACAGTAAGTCGGCAACATAGGACACATCCAAGCAGACCACTGACAGATATTACAGATGGGTAAGCATTTTCTATCTCTCGCGCTCGATCATGGCGATGCCGCCCGCCGGAGGAGGACCGACGAAAACAATTTCGATAATTTTGCACTTCGACTGGGACGACAAGAATGAGGGATCAGACTGCTTCCTGGGACTGCGACGGCTCCCGAGACTGACGGATTGGACTTTGATTGCGCCTCGCCGGGGTTTCTTGGGAAATTTCGTCTCGAAAACCCACAGCCCTCGAATTTTCAATATCTAGTCTCGACCAACCCCGACCAGTCCAGGATAGCTCTTCGACACTCGACAACCCTCCGGCGCGCGGCATCACGACACACAATTCCTGAGAACAAAAATACTAACCATGAACTCAGGTCGTCTTCAGGAATACGAGGTCATCGGGCGCCACCTGCCCACCGAGGCTAACCCTTCCCCCGCCCTCTACCGCATGACCATCTTCGCTCCCAACGAGACGGTCGCCAAGTCCCGATACTGGTACTTCTTGCGTGGTCTCAAGAAGGTCAAGAAGGCCACCGGTGAGATCGTCAGCATCAAGGTGGTGAGTAGCGACAACTGGACTTGATGCACATGGACGACACTGACCTGAGATGCACAGATCCACGAGAAGCACCCCCTCAAGGTCAAGAACTTTGGCATCTGGATCCGATACGACTCTCGTTCCGGCACGCACAACATGTACAAGGAGTACCGTGAGCTGTCCCGAACAGATGCCGTTGACTCTCTCTACTCCGACATGGCTGCCCGCCACCGTGCCCGCTTCAGGTCGATCCACGTACGTCGCGCTCGCATCGCCTTGCGTAGACCTTAGCTAACCCCAGGACCAGATCCTCCGCGTCGTCGAGCTCGAGAAGACCGAGGATGTCAAGCGACCTTACATCCGCCAGCTCACCCAGAAGGGCCTGAGCTTCCCCCTCCCTCACCGAATCCCCAAGGAGAGCGCCAAGAAGGTGTTCAGCGCGAAGCGACCATCCACTTTCGCTTAGAATGTTTTCGGTTTCGAGGACGGTTGGGCAGGCTCTGCGGGTGTTACAACGGATCATGGAAATATCAACTGCATTGCTCGATAAAACGGGTGACGAATGAACCAAAAATTCTGAGCATGCTGATGCTGCTGGGTGATGCACAATTGAATGGGTTTTTCTAGCAAACTACCGATTGTGAACTTGTCAAGACGACTCTCCTGTACCGCTCCCGCCCGGCGAATTATCCATCTGCGTATCGTTGTAAAACTCTGTCCAAAATGACCACTCCATCGGGGCGCCCTGTTCCATTCCTTGGCCTAGGTCAAGGTTGAGTAGCTCTGGTGGATACTCGAATAATATTGAAGGGTCCATGACACTGGTGTCGTATTGTGCCAAGGGAGGTGCTTGATTTGGTATTGTTGACTCTGCGGTTGTTGTCTCGCACACCATAGGCTGGGTGATGGTCTGAGTTGGAGGTATCGTTGGCATTGACGTGGTGTTGAGGTCGAGTCCTCTCAGGAGAGCCTCTGCCCTTGCTGACCTTGCCTTTTTCAGCAACTTCTTGATAGGTCGCCAAAGTGAGCCCGTTGCAGTATCAGCAACGTGATTTCTCGAAGCAGGAAAGTTGCGCTCAACGACAACCCATGCCCTGTCGACGAGCTCGCCCTGTGTCTGCACACACAACTCAGCCAGCGCAACCGCCAAAGGATGCCATTGGACATAAGTGTCCGTCCACCAAGCAAACCGGTCCTCCCATTGGTCCTTTGTCATGCGTTCGCGCAGTTCCATGATAGACACGGCAGTGCGCAGCATCGTCTCCTTGGAGACGCGGGGCCGGTCTGGAGCTGGTCCACCGTTGAAGGGGTATTGGATGTTGAGCCATAGCTTGAGGATAACGACGCGAGCGATTTCAGAGGCGTACATGGAGGGGAGGTGGGAGGGTCGGGCAGTGTGGATGAATGTGTTTTCGAGTAGACGGATATGTGCTATGAGTTCGTCTTCTGTGTACAGGAAGTGCTCTGCTTCTCCTGCTGCGTTGAAATGAGGATGCGATAGGAGGCCAAATATGCTTGAACACATAGCCGTGCACATGCAGATGACGTTGTCGGCGGGAGTCGACTTTGGGACGAGAGGTCCGGTTGAATCTGGACCAAAGTAGTCGTCGTCGATTGGTGTTGGTAGGACAGTATCGAAGCGAGCCCGGGTGAGGATGGCGTCAGAGCCTCTATCCTCAGAGCCGCGAACGTCAAGGACAACGATAAAGTGCCACAATCGACGTCTCATCTCAGCTACAAAGGGGGTATATCGGTGACCGTCTCCATCGCGGTCGAGGCCCATCCCTTGTGCTACACGAATAACGAGTGATGTGAGAGCCCAGGAGGAGCGGTTATGAGAGTAGACGCGAATCATGGAAGTGTAGAGCGTAAGAGCTTGTAATGTCTCTACCTCATTCGTGTTGAGGTAATCTGCTTCGGCGAGAGCTCGCTCAGCAGCAATGCGATACCGAGCCGTTAATTCGGTCTTGTTCTCGCCCAGTTGCTTCTGACAGTCGTCCGGTCTGAGACACATAGCTGCGCAAAAGTAGATGGAAAACATTACGGCGTTTGTTGAAAGGCTGAATGAATACGTTGATGAGATGTCGATATGTGATTGAATCTGTTTGGTGATGGTGGGACGGTGGAGGATCTTGACAAGAGGGTCGACATTGCGGGAGTATATGGTCCAGAGACGTATCATCATATCCGAAGGAGGGTGCTTCAGGGGTTCCCGCTCGTTGTAATATGGGTTTCCGAGTATGAAACCTGACGGCGCTGTGGGTGCTGGAGGTGCCGGTTCAACGGACTCTGGGCTATCGCCTTCTTCCTCTTCCTCATCATCTTCAGAGGGTTGATCCAGCGCTTGCCGGATTCCCTCGACTTCAGAACACAAATTCCCCCAGAAGCCAGCGCTGAGGTACTTTTCCCCTGCCTGCGCATTCGCAGCATGGGTAGCAGCGTCTTGCGATTCCTGACATTGGTCTTCCAGCGTTGCCGATAAGGTTGTGGCTACCGACCCGGGCTGCGTCTCCTCATCGAGTTGCTTCAACTTGGATGGATCTGCCAGGTTGACAATGTTCTCTAGGCGACTGATCCGATCCAGCAGCTCGCTCTGACGCGGCCTGGGCGCGCGACGGGTAGGCTTCCTAGAGGGATAGACGCATTCAAGGCCGAAGCGGGAACATTGGGTGCAGGCGGGCTGTACCTTGTCGCACTTGATCTTGCGAGTCCTGCAGCTCGAGCAGCTGAGGACCTTTGTAGGGCGGTCTTCTCTCGCGCTCATTGTTATCCTCGCTCTGTGGTGCGTTGATGATGGTGTTGAAAATGCTGTAAGTTGGCTCTGTCAGGGATTGACCAAGTGCCGGCCCCACCCGATAGAATGATTGACGATTCGATTTTGTGGGCGTGAGACTTTGGGGGCTTTTTGTCCATGGGCAATGCTACATCACCTGTTGGAATTGAGGTTATTGTGAGAAACCGTTTGCTTTTTTTGAGTTGGATGTAGGTGCTATTAGTTCACTCATGACGTGCCTAGATATCTTCAAGTTGTACACGGAGTTACCGGTCTTGAGATGAATGCGTCAGCCGGCGGCCGACTCTGAAATCCTTGACCGTGAATTTAGGAAGGTAGGTAGGCGTGACTCATCGGGCAACATTATTCGTATAAAACAAGGCGAACGAGATGCGATGGCTTTGGTGTTGATTCTCACCTCATCATCATAGAAATTCTTCCTAACTCACTCATTTGTGGTTGTTTGAGACAATCTGCTCACTCAAAAGATGGAGCCATCCCCAATCGAGTTCGTCACCGTCAAGACGACACTTCCAAAATTACCCTTTCCCAAAAACAATGAGCGGGAGCCTTTTCGGACGGAGCGTCTGCTGATGCGGCCCTTCACGGAGGACGACTTTGAGGCATTGCGCGTCCTTCGTACGCAACCCGAAGTCATGGTGTGGTTCACGCAGGGTAGGCCAGACAAGGATGTTGAAGAAACCAAAAAGGCCCTCGCCCTTCAGCTTCCCCCGAACGATCTTGAACGATACAACTGGGCCATCTGCCTCGCCGAGACGGGAGAGTTCATCGGCATCGGAGGAAACGGCATGTGGAACGGAGAGCTGGGTTGGCCTGAGGTGGGATACAGCCTCGTGAAGGAGCACTGGGGCAAAGGCTACATCACAGAGTTCCTGAGGGGTTACCTCGCCCAGTGGTGGGCGCTTCCTCGAGAAGAGGTTGAGCTCAAGGTGGACAAGAACTCTGTCCGTGGGGACGGCGGCGTCGAGGAAGAATGCGTAGTAGCCATTACAGTGGACGACAACGCATCGAGCCAGAACGTGCTGCGAAAGTGTGGCTTCGACTTGGTGACGGCGTGGGAGGAGACGGATCTCAGGGACACGAGCAAGATGGTTACCCTGTATGGATTTGTTGCACACAAGGAAAAGTCTCTATGAAGACGAACGGAAGCCAATTATGGGATTAATGAATATGAATATTTCGACACTGCATGGCTGATTGATAATTCAAGAGTTCGGAGGGGTTGTGCCGGACACGGCCGGACATCTCAGAAGTCCGTGAGAGTGTCCGGCACCGAAAGGACCCACTTCTGTCCGTCTCCGACACTACAAACTTACATGACGTCGAGATGAATCGTGCCTATTTATTCGCTGGGACACACTCCTACTCCTTGCATGTTTCAACCTCAATTCATTCTCATCATACATAATTCAACTAGGATCAAAGAGTTGTCAATCTCATCCACCCTCAACAACATGCACTTCCCTGTTCCATCCCTACTGGCAACGGCCACTGGCCTCACTGGCTCAGCATGGACCTCTGGTAAGACCCCCTCACAGAGACAAGATGAGTCTATAATATTCCATCCATAGGTGCCATTGCCAGCCTCTCTCTTGTTGGCATCCCAGCCGCCCTCTCAGCACCCTCTACCTCCGCCACCGTGTGGGCATCCATCTTTAACCACGGTGTTGCCATCATGCCCAAGGTTGCCGTCACAACAGCACTAGCCTATCTATACGCCGCCTACGACGCTCGGCAGAACGGCCGCAGCTGGAAGGGGTTCGTGTCTGGAGCTGCCTTGACTGTCGCTATTGTGCCGTATACGTTTGTGTTTATGAGCAGCACAAACGAGCTGTTGCATGGGGCTGCCAAGGGAACCCTACAGGCTACTAGTGATGAAGTGGCCAAGTTGATTGGAAGATGGGGTATTTTGAACTTGGGGCGGAGTCTACTTCCCCTGGCTGGGACAGTTACTGCATTCCTGGCATTGTTTGAGAATGTGTACTGAGTTATGAGTCGGGAAAAGGTGTTTTGATGGCGCACATGGGACCAAACGCAGCTCTATTTAGCTTCATAATTTCATCCCTTTACTTCAGTCCCTTCCACTGTCCTCTGATAGCATAGCCCCTGCCTCTGAGCCATCTCGCCATCCATTAGCCTCACTTGCTCATCGTCTTCTCAAACTCTCGGATCAAGTTGCGACAGTTGCTCAGATTCTTCTTGGGCTCCCAGGTGTTCTCCTTGGCAGAGTATCCCTTCCACTTGACGAGGTAAAAGTGCTCGCTCGTGTCGGCATCGATCTGCGAGCCGAGCACCTTTTCAACCTCCCATTCTTTCCCATCCCCACGCTCCGCCGTCTTCTTGGCCTTGGTGGAAGGGCGTCCACGACCTCTTTTGGCTGGTGCCTTAACTGCGAGAGGATCTGCCTTCTTGTGTGGGACAACGGATGAGATGCGGGTGGAGCGACGAACAGTGGTGGTTGTTCGTCCGCGGGTGCTGCGCTTGTGCTTGCCCTTGAGAACCTTCTCAGGCTTCTTGTCCGTGACTTTGTCGTGTTTCTCGGGCTCGGCAGAATTCTCAGAGTTTCCGTGAGTACCAGATTCGACTTCAGTACCGGACTCGGCATCCTCGCCGCTGCCCTCGCCACCCACGATGTCCGAAACTACTCGCACCATGGTATCGTCGTCCTCGATGCTCGGAACAGGGCTGTAAAAGAGTGAGCACCAAGCGATGCGACACGAAAAAATAAAAGAATGACTGACCTGCGAGTGCTATCGGAGAGTTCAGGCTTGTCGCGGGCAAAGAAAACAGTTGGTTTCTTAGGGGTAGGCATGGTGAAGCTGGAGAACTTGAGGAGGTTGCCTTTCTGTCGGAGGATGATAGGCTCACTCTTGTAGTGGAAACAAAATCTAGACGCGAATATACTCTGTTTGTTTCATTCGCTTCACTATTCAATGTTGAGTTAGAAAGGGAAAATACGGACTCGGGGCGATAGAAAGTGACAAACGTCGGAGCAGTAACAATCAACAGCTCAAGCGGGAGACCATATCTTGAATATTGAGCTTAATTGCACAGGCACACCTTGTTTCGAGAACTCTGGAAAATTGGAAAGAGTTTTCGAGGCTAACCGACGAAAGATGAAAGAGTGAGTTGGCAGTTCGTCAATGACCCGGCAGTGCGAGATGCAGGTTTCCGGAAAACATGACCAGAGCACAAGTTATCTTATCAGTTTCGTTGGAACGACATGGAACGCGTGCTACAGCGTGGAGGAAGTCTGTTGCTCGCCTAACGCCGAGTTTATTAATCTCTGTCTCCCTGCATAAAACAGGCTGCTTGCTCTTGACTGACAGACCGCTGCTAGGCCCTAACCAGTAGTCCTGTGATAACCTCCTAATTCATTTCATGATATCAATACTGGAATATCATTAGAGAACACGCCTTAGTCTTTGCAATCGTCATCGTGTAAGACCCTGTTTGCTGGACTATCACGCTGGCTGCTTCAAGCTGGCTGACTACATCTTCGGCTCGAAGAGGGTAAACCACAGCCAAAGCGTCATTCTTCACCCTTATCTACCGCATAGTCCTTGGTTTCCGGGGGCTGACTCTCTGTTGTGGCAGTCTCTTCGGGGTCCTCTTGGACGTCTGTGAGGCTCGATGGGTTCAACCTGGGATCATATTAACCCTGTGAGTCCCAACAACGCAATGAAGCTCGACTGACCGATCAAAAAGCTCAAATAGTTGCTCGGTTTGCCGATCCTTCTCCTCTTGTGTCAGCACCCGTGGTTCCTGCGAGCTACCAGTACTACCGCTGAACGCCTCTGTAGCAGAAGCAGGAATGGGCATGCTTTCCTGCAAAAACAAGCCTCCTGCGAAGCCATATCCAACATTCTCCACGTATTTGTTGGCATCCCTATCCGACATTTCGAGGAAAAGGTCAGAAATATCGACCCGAAACACTGGGCATTTACGGCTGGTCAGGTGTTTGAGTAACTTGCCGGGCAAGGTATCTCTCGTGCCCAACTCGTCTACGCGGTCCTCAACTGTGGGCATGATTAAACCGCGCATGTGTTTCTTGACCAAGTCTGGGGCACTGATGTAGACCTTTCGTATGACCTTGGCGGAGGGTGACGCAAATTCATCCAACTCCGTTTCCGCATACGCCCTTACCACACGTTCAAGAATGTTGATCAGCCTGTCCACAACCTTGAATGTGTCGCCTTTTGGGTAGAGGGCTGCCTTGTTCATTTCGGTTTCAAAATCGAGATTGGTAAAGGCACTGATAAGCGCCTTGAAGGGGCCATCAAGGGGTTTGGGCTCCGGGTCTGGATGCTTTAACAAGATGAATACGAGATGAGGTACTGCGGCACTCAAATCTGAGACGCGATCAGGGCAGTTGTGCGAAACGACATACAAGAGCTTCGAAGTCTCGCTGAGCGCTATGTCCTGCATGGGATCAGCTTTGGACTTGGAACGGGACTTGGACTTGGGTTTGCTCGATAGGTCCTTGGCATGGCGACTGAGTATGTCGACGGCCTTTTTGGATAGATCCTTGGCATGCTGATTGAGTTTTTCGACAATGTATTCCGCCAGGCGGTGCTTGGTAATGAGCTCCTCAATGTCGATTGTTGTGTCGTAAGTTGAAAGGAGAAGAATGCGGGAGTTGAGAAATTCGTCATCAAAGTTCTCGCCCTTGAGATCTTTGCAAGCCCTTATATCAAAGCCCTTATCGACAAAAATCTGTCGAGTCTCGGGTTTTAAAACCATGGCGTTTACCAAAACACGAAGAGCCTCGCGTGCCGTCTTGGTGGATGGGCTGTAGAAGGCATGGTGCATGAGCGTGACGACCCCCTGGAAGAGTTGGTGTTAGTGGGACAAGAAGCGGAATGATAGACAACTATGATGTACCTTTTCCGAGAAAATCGGATCAGCATTGTCGGGCTCTCTGCTGTAGATCTTGAGTTCCTCTAAGGCGAGATCACGGTCTGCATTGGCGTGATATTAGGAGGTGGCACCTTGCTGGCTGTGATTAGGATACATACCTGACGGAAGGAGTGTGACCTTTTTGAGGTCGCCATCAAGTTTGTCGATCAAATCAGTGACACTCTTGAGCTTTTCAGCTCCTGTGGCCTGGCCAAGTGGACTAGTCATGATGGATGCTGACGATGGCTTCGAGGAGTGATGGAGAAGACACGATGATGAGTTGTTGGCATTGCTTCATGAAATAGACTCGGATTTAAGAGCAAGAGAGCGGCCGCGGCTTCCAAACGTGTCGGAATTCTCTGCATCATACTTGCCATTGCAAGGCAGAGGCTTCATCCGGCAATCGTAGCCATGACCGTCTTACCTCGGGATCATTTGTGATCCTTAGCTTTCCCCCGTCCGGTCGGAGATGCCATACGAGTCTTCAATGAAAACCGAAAAGGAACCAGCACTGAAATTTGCAAGCATACGAGCTTCGATACTATCTCATCCTCTGACCTAGGGGACGGCAAGTTGCAGGCAGAGAAGCCTTAGTCAGCTGCCCTTGTCCGGAATCGGGGCCGAACCGGGGAAACGCGCACGGACCTCTCGTTTAATTGATTTTCGACCTGACCAGCCAAAGTCGCGCGCCCCGACGCGTTTGCCGGGGTAGGCAAGCGCGGCCCGCTCGTGTTTGAAGGTCCTGCCTGACTCGACCCTGGATGTTGAAACTGAGTTAGAACAGTTGACTTGCCAGCGAGATCTGCCTCAACACCCACGCTTTTCTGTTCAACGTGCATTCACGGTTTCTCTTTGCTTTCAAGATTGTTACTGATTCCTGTGAATTTTTGTTTTCGTCTTTTCGAGTTTCGCTGTCGACTCTCGTTTCAACCAGCTCTCTTTTTCTGCATGTGTCGCTAGTGGTTTCCCGGCCAATTCACTGCTGTCTAGATCGCCAAACGCTGCATGGCAGCCATGGCATCTTCAGCTTCGGCCTCCAACCCCGTCCTCGACGCTCTTCCCACCCGGCCACCGACTCCTCCTCGAGAATCACGAGCGTCCATGAAGACCGCCGCCGGTCGCCCGTTCGACCCTCGACTAAATCTGCAGACACCGCCTGGTGCACACACACCTTCGTTGACCGGGGCAACCAACTCCAACTCGACCTCGAAGCGCATACGGAAGAAGGTCGAGTGGTCAAGTCATACCGAGTACAAAGAACCTCCCGATTACCGTGACTTGACCAAATATTTCAGGTCATCGCCACTGTCTGCTCCCTCATCCGCTTCCTCAAAACCCGTCAAGGGCATCCTCAAACCATCTGCATCCCCGAATCCTCTCGCATCGCCTCTCAATGGCCAGTTTGATGGTCTCACATCCCAAGCCAGCATTGCCGAAATGTTGGACTCGACCATCAAGCAGCTGGCCGGCTCCGACCGGGCCTCGCGGCTCGATGCCTACATGATGCTCTCTCGTGCTCTCAAGGCCTCCAACAATCTACCTGATCGGATCGCCTTGCAGGACAAGATGAGTCTCTTCATGTCGTTTATCGAACGCGACGTCAAGGCCAAAAACGAAAACGGATCTCTCGATACAACCCTCATTATACACGCTCTCAACCTTCTTTCGACTTTCCTCCATTTCCCGGCCATCGCTTCGACCCTCACTTCAGATTTTGGAGTTTTCATCATGGATCACTGCATTCGATCTTTCGCCGACCCATCTCTACCAAAAGACCTCGCACGTCACTTGATGCAAGTGGTTGCCTTCCAAAGCTTCCCCCCCAAGATCGTAACTCTGGATCGAGTTGGTCGGCTGGTCAGCTCTCTACACAAGATCGAGGACCACCTGACCGGCAAAAGCATCATCATGAGCCGCATTCAAATCTACAAGCGGCTTATCAAGCAATCCCGGAATCACATGGCCGTCCACACTGACTGGTTGGAGGATATGTTTACAGATATGTTGAGCACGATTCGAGATATCCGAGCACAAGCCATCAGCTTAGGTACTGAAGCTGGCTTTGCACTTCGAAACGAGAAGCATGTCATGCGCAAGGTGACCGAGATACTGCAAATCACAGACGAGGAACAGACCTACATCGAGTTCTACATTCGGAAACTGGAGAGTATGCTGAAGGATAAGCAATCCCTGTCTACTGTACCCCAAATCTGGGGTGTTATCACACTCTTCCTTCAGTGTCCACTCAACAGGTGGCAGTATTTCAACTCTTGGTTCAAGATCGCTCAGGACGCCTTCAACACGGCCGACATGCAAACCAAGCAAGAAGCGAACTACGCCTGGAACAGATATGTCTATCTTTCTATAACCAATAGCAAGATGCCACCCAAATCTTTGGCATTATTGGGCCAGCCCTTGGCGAGTCAATTACGAAGGAAATTCAGCTCAAAACAAGCGGACGATGCGATGAAGCTTCGAAGAACAGTCATTGGCGGAATCTGCAATCTCTACTACTACGCCTTTCGTCCTATCCACGACAGTACTTGGATCGATGCCGCCTGGGATCTTGTCCTTCAGCCCGTCATGGCACAGCTGATCAACGTGGATGGGAAGGCCGATGGGTCTGCCGATTCAGTAACACATGCTTCTCGCATTGTGACTGGCCTCCTGGATGTTTCGACCCCGCGAAGTTGGAAAGAAGATCGCATCAGGGAAATGCCCCTAATAAGCCCCGACGAGTTGCCCTCAATAGACCCCCGCTGGACTCGACGGAATTCCGAGAAGGTCTTTCAGCTTGTTGGCCCAATTCTGGAAAAGAGGTTTATTGATCTGGCAAACAAGGAAAGCTTGGCATACAGACTCTGGCAGGCTTTCGTTGGGTCCATTGCCGCTGCCTCAGCAAAGGACATCAAAGTGGCCGACGATACGGCAAGATTCATTGCCCAGTCTTTTGATATCCTGTCAAACATGTGGTCCAAGGGCTTACCTGAAGGCTCTGAATCGCTTTCTACCAAGTTTCTTTTAAGCATTCATCACTACGTCGAGGTCCTTGTTTCTAGCCTTGGCCTACTCCCTTTCACTGAGAAGAGATTTTCTGTATCTCTTGCCAACACCTTTGAGCCTGCTTCAACACCTTCAAGTCGACATGACCGAGCAGAGAAGTCAAGTGGTACTGCTCAAGCGCCAGTCTACCACCTCTTCTCCATGCTCTCCTCGATCCCTCCTGGCGCAACCGACAACGAGGATCTGGCCGAGTGTTTTCTATCCGTGTTTGAGCCATTTTTCCATGACAAGAGCATGAGGGTTCGCGTGGAATTATCTCGGGATATGCTACGATTGTTGCCCCGAGACACACTTTCCCCATATGGCCCATGGGTTCTGGCAGCGCAGAATATTCGCTTGCTTCTGGATCAAAGCTACATTTCATCGGGTTCTCATCCTTCGAGCAGTGAAAGATTACTTGGACCCGAATATCGAGAAATTGTCTCCCTTCTAGAGCGTGGCCTCGTGTCTCATCCTAAGCTTCCTTCACCACAGTGGTTCTCTCTCTTCGACTTGCTCTCGGATCATGTCGTTCAAGAGTGTGGTGATGCCGGCCGAGCACTTGGCATCGTCGAGCCCCTGGCAAAGATTGTCGCCGACAACTTCTTCGAAAATGAGGAACAGTCGAACCAAATGGCTCTGGATGTGGCGACAGCACTCTTCAAGGCTGCAAAACTTCCCCGTGATCGTCAAGCCGTGGAGGCCGCTCGACGGCGTTTATGGGGTGCACCACCGACTGTATCTCGATCAACCTCATTTGATCCTTTCCAGTACCTGTACCAGCTCCAGGATCGAAGTATGAAGTTCTTTTACGAACACTACGACAAGATGGGCGACAGCAGCTCAATGGCGTCCTTCTTTGAGGTGGTCGATACTTTCATGACAGATTCCTTCCCTCAAACTGGTGTCATGATCTTGTCCAAGCTACAGGACGGGCTTTCTCCATGGATTCAGGACGAAAAGGCTCAGATCAAACTGAGTGACGAGTCCCCCTTATCCAACGCAGTAAGCTTGTCTGTCGTGTATTAATATGATGTAAAGCTAACGATGAGTAGTTGAGAACCACCTGGGACAATATTTGCAGCCAACTATCGAGTCTTGGCCGCCTGGAGGACAAGGACCTCAACGCCATCGAACCGCTTTTTTCGGCCGGGTTTAAGAGCAGGCACCGACATGTGGTGAACAAGATGGCCGAAACGTGGAATGCCTTGGTCAAGGATGAAGAGAACCTGGACTGCTCTGACAGTCTGAAGTCAATCATCGCTTCTTTGCGGCCAATGGTGGATGTTTCATTCCCTGGCATGGAGGAATCCAGTGGCGAGTTTGGTGCCCAAGCTCAGGCCTTTGTTGACTCGCAGGAGGACATGAGCTTCATTGCCCTCTCGTCCGCCAAGTCATCTGGTCATGTTGACCAAGCAGTCTCACCGGCACCATCAATTACGAAAATGAGCCTGAGGGGTGCTTCGACCCGCAAGCGTCGGCGAGATGCCACCCCTGAGGTGGTACAGATGAAGCCAGTCAAACGGACCAACACACCTCGTCTCCGACATGACAACTCACAGATCCAATTTGCTCCGATTGTTTCTTCTCCATTGGTCGAAGATTCCCAACATCTCACCGAAAGGCAAAAGGAGGTCCGCCAGCGGCAGCACGAGAATGCCGCGTTATATCCCAGTATTAGGTCCAGTCCCCGAACTCGATCCCGAGCCGCTGTCGAGGAGCAAGAAAAAGAATCCGACACAAAGAAGACGAGAAACCTGGAGTCCACACCCGAACGACCTTCGTCGTATGAGGACTTTATTACCTCAACGCCAACTCCTCGGCGTGGACAAGCGTTACAGCTGGAGGGCTTCAACGACCCGCCATCATCGCCACCAGATCCTAGACGGAACCCGCTGCTTTCCGAGATTCAGACCCGATCAAAGGCCAAGAGCTCTCTTGAGAGTTGGCAATTCTCTTCGCCCCCAGGATCGCCCTCCAATAGCCAACCACCTACAGAATCTCAACCTGAGCTTCCAGCTCCGTCGAGCACCAAGAAGTCGGGCAAGAGCTCGCGGTCCAAGAGACGGAGGAAGTCGAGGGCTAGTTCTTTGGCCAATTCTCAGGTTAACGAGGAAATTATTCCTTCGAGTGTGCCGGTGGAGGAAGATGTGACAGATCTGTCTATTCTTCCAGATGCGGGCGAT